GCTCCAGTGATCTGGGCCTGTCTTTCAAAGATAAAGGTGACCAGTGTGTGGGCAGTTTGAACGTGCTAGTGAAGCACAGAGAAATCTTGTAACTTACCAGATGGTCCAAGGAGCTGGGTTGGAAGCTCAGCTCCCCCACGTTTTGGATGTGGGACTGAGGCAAGAAAGCCTCCCTCCTGGTCTGTTCCTCATCTGCGAAGTGGCTGGCCAGTAGCAGGCGCTCAGTAAATACTCACTTACCTTCCATCTTTCCTGCGCTCAGATGACACCAGCTTTGATTGTCACTGTGATGATTCTGGCCTTTATTTACGCAGGTGAATGTAAAGGATCTTGGGAAGTTAGGTAGTGAAATGCTGAGCATAAATAGTGAACCTGAGGGTTCAGTGCTACTCTGTGACATTTATAGGTCAGCATGATGGGGGAGTCTAGGTATTCTTTTAAATATCCTGACCGTTGTCATTCAAAAAATGTGGTTGGGAGGGTCACTGTGGGCTGACCAAAAAGGCCCTAGTTTGATCTATCAAAGACCTGGTGTTGCTGGATATGAGAGTTGGTGGCCAGAGAGCGTCTCTGCAAGGTCATTGGATGGAAAAGTAGTTTTGCACCTGTTTTGTTTTGTTTTTTTCAAATTGATTTTTAGAGAGAGCTGGCTGGGCATCGAACCTGCAACCCAGGTGTGTGTCCTCAGCCAGTAATTGAACCCGCAACCCTCTGGTGCATGGGCTGACACTCTAACCACTGAGCATGCTGGCCAGGGCTTCATCCATCTCCTTAGAACTTACAGGTTCTCCTCCTCCTCCCTCTCTGCTCTCTCTTCCTTCCCCTCTTCCCTTTGTCCCTGTGTCCCTTCCCTTCCTGCCCCTCCCCCACCCTTCTCCTTGCAGGGAGTAAAGAAGGGTAAGGATCTGGGTAGTTGTGGCCTGTGGGTGTCTGTTTCCTAGATGGAGATGAGTGAGACCACAGTTTATAAAGCTTGGGTCATTCTATCCCCCAGAAGTCTTCAAGGACATGATTTGCTTTTGCATTTAAATGTGGGAGTGGCTCCAAATGCCTCTCACCATCAGCTGCTCCTTCTCGTCAGCTGCTGGCTCGAGTTCCAGTCTGGGAACCAGACACACAGATGTTCCCTGTGGTCCTGGGAGTTTGAACTTTTATATCCTCATTAGCCCACATGGGAGCCTCAGGGGGCATGCTAGCCTGTATAGATGTTACAGGATATACTCATGACCACTGATGTGACTAGGGGTTTAACTCACCATCTTTTTTTTTTTTTAACTGGGAAACGATATGACCACATCGAAGTGTATAGCAGAAGAAATGAAAGACCTAAGCCTCCCTGACTAACAGTCTTACTCACTGATTTCTGAACATTAGGTTGGGGTTATCTGCTTAGCAAAATTGACATCCCCACCCCCACCCCCAATCTGCAGGTTATATCAGAAGTCCAGAAGGCCCATTTTGAGGTATTTTTTTGAGTAGATGGTCCTAGAAATAGGCATGTGTGCTTGAATAACCCGAGAATTGAATCCCCGGCTTTTGAACGGCTGAGTTTCCATAGCACGTGCAGGCATTTGAGTCCCTCGTGGGAATGACCGTGACACCCAGTGCTGACATAGAGCGTTTTCACTCAGTAAGAATGGTCACATGCGTGCACATCAGAAATGATTCTTTACAGGAACATGGTCATTTCGAAGAGCAACACATGTCAAAACACCAATCTTGCTGCTTGGTCTTTGCCACCCCTATTCCATTCAGTCTCTTCTCCTAAAGTTACAGAGTATGCCTTACAATCAAGTGATAGTGCGACCTTTTACCCTTTGTCACTTATGCCTTAAATTGGCATAGAACCCATGTACTGCTTCATCTTCAAACGTTTGCGAATTATTCTAATTGCTTGTTTGAATAATAATAAGTATCTTGTCTTCAGGGTACATTGTCAAGAGGATGGCTTTATTTGGTATATAATTAACTCCTTTAACTTCGATTTGACTGTTTTACCTCTGTGTTCTCAAAGTCTTGAGGATTATATACCACCGAAAAATTAACCTAACCAAAGAATTATTTTTCCAAAAGTTTGTTATCAAATTATATCTAGAGCTATGATCTCCAAAATGAGCACTGGGAAGTTTACCTTCTATCTCAAAGGGATGTGGTCACCATATATCGAAAGCTAAGCTTAATCTCTTTTCTCACACCTACCCCCAACCCCCAGTCTTATTTGTGATAAAATGGAACTGCTGTCTACTCAGCCCTCCAGCTCTCCCCTTTCTTCTTTTCTCCCACATCTAGCTATTTGCCAAATCCCACGCACCGGGGCTTCATGCTTCAGTGTACACCTTCCCCCATTCCCACTTGCCATGGCCCTGGTCCAGGCCCACATGTGTTGGTTTCCCCTTGGTCTCTCTCCTCCATCCTGTTCTGCCCACCGGCTCACACTGCTTGTGGATCTCTCACGATTGCCCGTTGCACCGCTTCCCTGCCGGGCACCTTCGGACCTCAGGCGGGTGGTTCTCACACCTGAGCCAGTGTTAGAGCTCCCCAGAGGGCGCGCTAAGCAGTGCTGAATCACATCCCCCAGTTTTCTGACTCAGCGGATCTGACACAGCGCTAGCTATTTGCCTTCCTGACAAGGACCGAGTGTTCCCCTGATCATCCTTTGAGGAGCGTGGTTCTAGGGTGACCGTGCTCCGCAGACTCCAGTCTGCTCCTGTCTGTTCATTCTGACCTCCTCCCTTCTCTTCTGCTCAGCCAGTGCACGGGAGCCCCTCTGGTCACGTAGGATAGGCATCGGGCTCCTCCAGAACAGCTGTGTCTCGTCCTCCTGACTCCCACCTTCCCAGGTGACAGGTGTGGGCACAGCACAGCAGAGGGCATGGGGAGGACGGCACTGCTTTTGCAGAGAAACACCGAGCAGAGCCTCAGGGGGACCGCGCTGTGGCCGCCAGACCACCTGCGCCTCCGGGCAAAGTGGCCGAGGCCGTTGTTTGTGGCAGGCAGTGGGCCCCTCTTCACCAGGATTCCACACCTTGTACTTTTCTTCGCTCTTTTCTTCTTCCCACGCTGTCATTTTACCCCCACCCCCTTTCTCTTCCCACTTACCCATGATGCCCTGGGTCTTTTGGTGCTTTCTGGGTTGAAGAGGTTTCTGAATCTTACTGTAAAGCCACAAAATTGCTTCCGAATTTTAATATGAATATTTTTTGTAGTAAAGAAATTGGCTAAGGACTGGTATTGTAGTTAGGGCATGTTATAGGGTATCTGAGTAATGTTCTACAGATTCATATTTTATAGGAAATTTCTTGTTTAACTAAAAATAACTCTGGATGTGGATACATGGTATCCCCATTTTATAGAAGAGAAAAAAGACTGAGAGATTAATAATGATGCATGATTCTATTTCCATCTTTATACACACAAAGAATAGCTTCTTTGTCTTCTAAAGTAGAATGTTCTAGTTAATAATTATATTTGGAATCATGGCTACAGGTATCAGAAAGTTTCTATCAAGTTAGAGAAGACTGTGAAGACTAGAATATATGACTGGGTGATATTTACTCCGAAAAATTATTAGCAGTTTTAGATCAAGAGTTAAAGGCACATATGTAGCACTTATTAGATACTTAAAGAATGTATATAAATGTATAAACATAGAAAAAATTCTGAAAGGGACTCACTGAACTGGTAATAGGGTCTATTTTTTTCCATGATATACTTCTGTTATTAAAAAATTTTCTTCACTATACAAATGACAACCTGGAGGGGAGGAAAGAGAGCATGTGGGAAGAGGAGTGACGGATCTAACTAAGAAACCACAGGAAGAAAAGGATCTTTACCTAGTGAAGGGTCTCCACATGGCTCTACTGCCGTGCATCCCGGGGGGGGGGGGGGGTGCAGCCCTGTCCACACTGCCTGTCTGCTCCTCGAGGCCTCGCCCTTTGTCTCCTCTTCACGAAGGCTTTCCTGTCTCCTTTCTTCAAACCTCAAGCCAGAAATGATTTCTCTAACTTTTGAACAGTCCTTTCTTGAGGTACCAGAAGTCCTTGTATCATAATCTAATTTCCCCAAGGAGATGTTTCCTGACCATTGCAAATGTGAAGCCCCTCTCTGAAATTAAAAAAATAAATAAAAAGAATTATAGGCTCTGGCATGATAGTAGTTGAACTTTTGTTCATCCATGTCTAAAGAATGCCTGGCGTTCCCCTGGACATCTGGACCCCTGGCAGTGTCTCTGTGACCCCAGCAGGTGCAGCTGCTTGCAGGATGAGAATGACTACCCCTTAAGATGGCTTGGGCTCCTGGTCAGGAGCTCTGGGACAGAGCAGGTGTGCTCTCTGAGCCAGCAGGTGGAGGTAGCGTAGGGAAGGGCACCGAGGTCTCAGATCTGCACACCTGTTGGTGCTGCACGTCGTAACAGTTACATACTATCTGAGAAACCAAAGTTTCTAACGAATTATAGAGCAGTTGGCACAGAGAGAAAACAGTGGGAATAATCTCCAAAAGAATATGGCCAACTATACTTCAATTAAGAAATATATATATATTGCCCAACCGGTGTGGCTCAGTGGTGGAGTGTCGACCCAGGCACCAAGAGGTCGCAGGTTCTATTCCCAGTCAGACACATTGTCCAGGTTGTGGGCCCGATCCCCAGTGGGGTGCATGCAGGAGGCGGCTAATCAATGTTCTCTCATAGATGTTTCTATCTCACTCTCACTCTCCCTTCCTCTCTCTTTAAAATCAAAGAAAAAAAATTATTTTAAATAAATAAAGACTATAGATAAGTGTTATGGAAGTAAAACTGAATGGTGTGTCATCTCCATAGGAGCCGACACAAAATCCACCTTCTGCACCACACCCTCACTTCAGTTTGTTCAACAAAAACAGTGCACTCCCCAGGCAGCTACTCCACAGGGCCCCTGGGGGATGGGGGCAGGCACATTAGGCCTTTCCTTTTTAGTGCTTTCTGCAAACGTGCTCATCTGTCTGTCTGTCTTTTTCCATAGGGCAGTGGTGGTGCTCGGAGATCCACGCTGCTTGACAGTGATGAGCTCTTGGAGTATTTCTATGATGACGTCAGAACCTTATACGAAGGTTTCCTGAGGGGCATCCACGTGTCAAGTAAGCATTGCACTGAATTCGCGTAGCTGACACTTAAGGATTTCATTCAGGAGGAGTGGTCTTTACCAGAGAAACATATTTGCTCATGTCGCTTAGGCCTCCTCTGGTCCCATGACTTCTGCTGAGTGAGTCAGAGCTCACTGGCCCCTTAAGACTGCCTGTGGCAACAGAGTGGGTTCCACACGCACCTTAGCTTATTACGGGCTGACTTTTTCTGCAGTCATGAGACCTCAGTTGGGCCCGGTCCAGTATTTTTCAAAGTTACTGATAAAGAGACTCATTTTAAGAAACAAATACTGACATCCGAAGGAAGTAGTGTTCCATCAGCAACACTGGAAATGGGACTACCCTCAATTCCTAACCGTGGCAGCAGAGACCCTGATATCCTGCACATGCCTTCCTTTGCAGACCCTCTCTCTCCCGGGCTCCAGTCACACAGAACTCCCTGCGCAGCCATGACCGCCTCTGCTCTCAGGACCCCGCACCTCTGTGCACTTCCCCCTCCCCCACCGATCATGACGCCTCTTCTCCCTACCCCCCAGCCCAGGGTGCTTGATCTATTCTTGCTAATTTTGTAAAACTCAGGTCGCATTCCACCTTTTCTATAAAACCTATCATTTTTCATCCCCTTCCTTCAAGTGAGGCGTTCCCTCCCACACCCAGCATCCTGTACCTTTTTACCCAGCCTTCTGTCCCATTGGCACTGCTCCTTGAGCACTGACACAGCCTGGCACCCAGTAGGTGCTTCATCGGGCAGCCTCAGTGCAGGGGAGGGTGCCCTGTGCTCCCCCCACGGTTCTTTTTGGTTTTGCTTGTTCCAGGTCCTTGGGGTCCACACTTTGTTATTTAAATCTTTTGGGGGTTAGCTTGTATTTTTGCCACTGCTCTCTAGACTGTTATTTCCTTACAGGTCACGGACTGTGGTGCTATTGCTCTGTCCCCCACAGCGTGCTACGTGTGATATGTGCTTGAGAGGTGCCGTTGTTTCTGCCCGATATTGGCAAAGTTGGAGGCTCAGTTCACTGCGTTTGCCCCAGCATTCCTGTAGCAGATTCATTCATTAACTATAAAGGGAGCAAACTTACTTCTAGATTATTGAATTTATGAATTTCTTCAGGGTTAGTATCAGGGTCAGAGTTTGTGAGAATGAATATAAGGTAAATCAGACTAACAAGGGCATATGAAAAATACGTGTGTGTGTGTGTGTTCGTGTACTTTACCACTACCACAAAGCATGTCTGTGTATAAATATACACACATTTTTTTCACTGTTAGCAGAGGATGGGATTCATCTAGGAGTATGGTGACTTACATTATACTTTTGAGTGTCCCTGATGTTAAGACAAGTTATTAACTTCTTGGGGGGGGGGGGTCACTTTCTCTACTTGAAAAATGAATGACTTACATGAATGTTTCAAAGAAGCTGAAGAAAAATAAGTTCAATTTTTTTAACTTATACTGATTAAAGGGAGTTGTTTTGCAGGTTATTTTATTATTGTTTTTCTCCCAGGGGAGCTTTTTATTCCAAGCTTTAGTTTTCCTAGGCTACCATAAGATTAACCTTCTATAGGGGAGCCAAAACCTACATAAGGTCGTTAGGAGTTTGTTGAATGATGGGAGAAGCCAGGCTGGGGTTTTTTAACCTGCTATTTTAAAGCTGTACCTGGGAAGCCATTTGTAAAGACTGAGTTTCCTGTGCGTCAGTGGTACTCACCCCCACCTGCACTTCAGAGTCACTTGGTAGCTTTTGAAGAATACTAAGGCCTGGGCCCCATCCCTGTCCAATTATGTTAAGAATGTTGTGAGTAGTGCCTGGGTGTAGTATATAGTTTTAAGTTCCCCAGATGAGCCGGGGTTAACTGCACTGTTGTAGAGCTAGAATCTGCAAGTTTTTCTGTGAAGGGCCAGATAGTACATGTCTTAGGCTTTATGGGCCATCTGGTCTCTGTTACAGCTACTCAGCTGCAGCCTCAGATAAGGCGTGAATGAATGAGTGAGGCTGCATTCCAAAAGATGTGTTTACAAAAACAGGCGCAGGCCTGATTTGGCCTCTGGTTGTAGATGGCCAGCACCTTTTCTTGAAGAATAGAGTGATATTATTTTTTATGGCCAATATATATATATTTTTCCATCTGAAAACATCTGATGGAACTTGTCATGTTTGGCCTGGTCTTATTTATTTTTGGAGGTAAAATTGACATATAATGGTGTATTAGTTTCAGGTATGCAGCGTAGTGATCACCACAGTAAGTCTGGTTAACATCCATCACCACACATAGTTACAAATTTTGTTTGTTTTCTTGTGATGAGGACTTTTAAGATTACTCTCAGCAGTTTTTAAATATACGATACAGTTTGGTGAACTATAGTCACCACGCCGTACATTCTGTACATCACATCCCCAGGACTTACGAATTGATCTCTGGCAGCCTGGTCTTCATTACAGCCCCTGTGGATTGAGGAGGGTCTGAGAATAAGGCCGCTTAGAGCTCAGAGTCAGGAGGTGGGTCTGAAGGAGTAGGCGTGTCTGGCCTGAGTCCTCACGACTGATTCTGGAACCCACATGCGCACCTCACTTCTCCGGGCCCCAGATAGGGCCATGCCCTGCCTTTCCTTCCCCTTCCTCCAGGCCCCCAACACACATCTGACCACCTCAGCTGGCGCTCAAACTGAGAATGTGGAGCCAGATGTCTGATGGTCTCAAAGCAGAAGTGTCGGTGCCTTGGTCAGATGGGAGGTGGCAAAACTTCCAACTTCAGATGTCCCCAGAGAAGGAGCTGTACAGGCCCAGCAGGCAGAGCTGGTGGTAGAGCCCTTCTTTCTAGTTAGGAAACATTCCTGTATGTGGTCAACTCTGATCTTCTAAATGTGGCAGCTTTTTTCCCCAGGTGAACATAGCTTTTCCCTTCAACAACTACAAACTGAGCATAAAGTTCGCTTGGGATTAATCTATAGAAAGGGACTTATATAATTCCAAATGTAAATGATTTGGATTATATTTATTACTGTGCTGGCTGTTAGTGTGAACAATTAATATGGGTTTTCTTTCTTTCTGCTTATTAAGTGCCTAAGTTGGAATTAGGACACATCCTGGTATTTCTTAACTTTTGCATTTGCCTTCTCTCCTCTCATTTTCCTCTTCTCCTGCCCCATTTAAGAATAAAATAGAAATAAGTAAACAAGCAAAAAATCAAAACCCAGGGAGAATTATTTTCGGCCTGAACTCACTGTTTCTAATCTGAGACCTCTGAAGTCTACTCGGTACTTTGTAGAATGAGGTGGGATAGAAATTGAGATATTTATATGTGTTACACCCCTTATGTGCCTTTTTATTTTTTTTAGATAATGGCCCTTGCTTAGGCTCTCGGAAACCAGACCAGCCCTATGAATGGCTTTCCTACAAGCAGGTGAGTTTTCTGGCTCTGTGGGCACCTCGCGAAAGCTGCAGTGTTTCAGTTTGTGGGTTGTTGGAGCCACTGAATGTTCGGGTGGGAAGGTCCCTGCAGGATGTATGTGCCTGACCAACGCAGAGCTTTAGGATAAATGTGCAGGATCTGAGTGGAGAAGTCTGACTCACAGATTTGGGGAAAACTAGTGAAGTGATTTAGCTGGTGGTTCAAAGTACTTTATTTTGTTTTTATTTGCTGATTGACTGAGACAGACATCGATTTGTTGTTCCACTTATTGATGCATCCATTGGTTGATCCTTATATGTGCCCTGACCAGGGATCAAACCCACAATCTTGGTGTTTTAGGACAATGCTCCAACCAACTAAGCTACCCAGTCAGGTCCCAAAGCACTTTATTTTGGAACTAATATGGATGCATTGTGGAATAGAATATAATTTTGAAGATAAAAGTCTAGAAATGTGCTTGAAGCAGGTAACTCTCCTTCTAGACCCGTGGAAGGATAGGATTACTCCTCTCTGCTGTGAGAGGTTCTAGAAAAATTGAGAAGCCCTCATATAGAGTAGCCCTCTCATTTTATAGATGACGAAAGGGATGGGGCCCACCCAAGGTCACAGCTGGTTAGTGGTGGAACCAGGACCAAGAAGTGTGGTCCGTGCCATCTAGTGTAGGGCTCTTCAGTGTGGCACGACCAGCTGGGGACTGCTGTGACCTTTAACCCCAGGACAGCTATCCACAGCAGCATAGGTGTTCAGAGATGACTCCTGTTTCTGTCATAAATACGAAGGAAGCTGGGATCTGGGTGTTGTTACTCTTGTTGTTCTGCAGCCCCAACTTGTCCATGGCTACAGCTGTTTAAATAGTAGTTTGTGAGTGGCAGGTAGCAGAGCAGGAAGATATTGCTGTTTATTTTTATATTTGTTATGATTACAACAAATCTACATGCCCGTGCTTCTCCTCAGTCCAAGCAGTACCTGCAGACCAGCAGGAGCAGCAGGAAGTGGCGGTGTTGCTGCCTTTGTCTCTGCGCAGCTGTCCAGGAAGTGGCTCCCTGCTCGGGGGTGGGTTATCCAGGGCACTGTGAGCACACGCCAGCTTCCTCCTTCCAGGCTTTGTGTGAGCGTGTGCTTAGTAGCGAGTGTGTTTGTCACTGGGAGCCACAAAGCCAGCCAGCCCAGGAGTCAAGCTTTATGTCCTAGACTGACGCACACACTGTCTTTCCTTCCCTCGTCTGAGGATCAGCGGCTTGCCAGAGGCTCTGCTGGGGGCTTGGGAAAGAGGGCAAGGAGACCAGGCCAGTGGCGCACCTTCTTGTGGGGGTGACGAGCCGTAGTTCAGATGACTGGATGGATTTCGCTGTTTTTATTTTGCCTTCCCAAAGCCACATAATAGTGTTCAAATAGCAGCTTTCAATGTCCCTCATTTTGTATGTGGTGTAAAGACAGTTTGTGGGTGCTGCACATACAATGGTGCATGATGGTCTTAAGGCTTCACAGAACCCCGAGTGCTTTCTGGGTTATGTCCACTGTGTTAGGTGCAGGACAGTAAAACCTCAGTATGATGGACTAATTCGAGCAAGGGGTGTCCATTAGAGCTGAAAGTCTATTATATAATAAAGGAGGTTTTCCAAATGCGTACGTTAAAAAATTGACAAATTTACCTGTTTTCACTTATGTAGACATGTCTGTGAAATTAAAATTAGGTATGTATGAAAAGTTTAATTTCACAGAAAAGATTTCTATATGTGTTACTGTAATTTAAGTTTTTACTGAATAGGTCTAGTAAATGTGTGCATTCACCAGTCACCACGAGTGAACAAATGCACACAGCTGCGGTGTGGCTTAGCGCACGTGGGAATATTTGTCGGCACCATTAAAACTGCTGCAGAAAGTCACCCACCAGACAATAGAACCGTTTCCCTCGCACGATGTGGTGTGATCACGTGCTAATCATCTGCCGAACGGTGTTTATGAGAGGTGCCTCCTGGATTTAAATATGTAGACTATAGTTGTAGATATGTAATATTTATTTATGTCAGCAAAATTACTACAGTGTTTTTTCCAACATATGGCCTATTCACTAAAATTTGTTTAAAATAACTGAATTAATAACAGAAAATAACCTGTTAATTGAATTATATGCAAATCTTGGTTAAAAGCATTTTAAAATTAACAGGGTGTTAATTATCATGTATGACATACAGATTGGAAATTTTGTCCGGTAAATCTGAAGTCCATTAAATCAAGGCCCCCCACATCGAGGGTTTACTCTAATATATTCCCACATCACTTCTGTATGTCAGCTGGAAGAGAGACAAATCTATTGCAGGTTGCATTTTTCAGGGAAAATAGAAAATCACTGAGGTTTCTGAAGGTGTTCACCCATATTATACATGTTTGTCAGTCTGATGAACAGAAAAACTGGATTCAACCTGATGCCAACTTTGGATTTGTACATTTCAATCTTTTTTTTTTTCACTACCCCAATGATTCTGACATGTAGGGCCTAGCAACCCCTTTTGAAGAAAGGCGTGGATCCTCTTTCTAGAGATAGAAATGCGCACATATTATCCCAGGGAGCTCTGCAGACGCTGCAGGCCTGTCACAAGTCCCTACCTTTAATGCCATCAGCAGTTGTGAAACAGGCCACGGGTGTGTGGCCGTGATCAGCATCCTGATGTCATCCTCCGCCACTCAGTGTCAGCTCTCACTCCCGCTAGCTGAGCGACCATGGCCTATGTGCCAGAACCAACCAGGTTCCGGGGAAGGAGTAGGTGTGGTTTCACCTCCCGTGGGCATGGGCGTGAATTCAGGGTGCTCTTGGGAATCCACCAACAGAATAAAAACAGAGAAGTCCAATTTTCAAGGTTTAAAAAGCTTTTTTTTTTAGTTAATTTGGAGTAGGAATGGGCAGAGGATGGGGGCAAGTAATAGTCCTGCCAAAATTTTAGAAATCTACCTATTTTAACTTGGTTGTAATAATAGTATGCATTTTTGTATTTTTTTCCTTAAAATTGTTATACATAAGTTTGGTATGGTTTTCATCATTGTAATATTTACTCAATGTGTGGCATTTCCCCAGAGATGTGCTGTCATGCACTTAACCCCCTAGCTGTTGGTCTTTTGTCCCCTGGAGTTTTGTGACTTTAGGTAATTTTGAAATATACATCTTTTACATTAAAAAATTTAAAACACCTTTTAAGATTAAGTTATTGCCTAAGAAATTCTCAAGAATGGAATTGGAGAGCCCAATGATAAGAACTTGTTTAATTTAATTTTTTTTTCTTTTAAAGATCTCTCCAAAACTTGCTGTTTCTGTGTTTATACCAAATGACAAGTGTTGGCTGCTTTGTTGGTCTTTTTTTAAAAAATGTTCTTACTGATTTTTTAGAGAGAGAGGAAGAGATAGAAACATTGATGTGAGAGAGAAACTTCCATCAGCTGCCTCCTGCACGCCCCCTACTGGGGATCAAGCCCGCAACCCAGGCATGTACCCTGACTGGGAATCGGATCGGGACCTCTCAGTCCATGGGGGAAGCTCAGTCCACTGGCCGGGCTGCTTTGCTGCTCTTTATTTTAAAAAAATTATATGTCCCTGTATTCCTTTTATAATTTTATGAGATTTTGTAAAACTGAAGCGTGAAGTAGAACTGGGTAAGAAACCCTGACCTGAGAGCTGCAGCTGTCGCTTTGCAGAAGGAACTGTGTGGTCAGTTTCCTGAAGAGTGGGTTCTGGTGACTAAAACCTTGTGGTGTTTCGACGTGTCCCTGAAGGTGCCTGTCTGCTCCCGTGCCCTCTGTGTGCGGTGCTGCTCGCCGCTGTCACGGTGAGCTCCGTTCCTCCAGTCGCCTGACACTGTTCCTGGCTTCCCTCCCCGTTAGGTTGCAGAGATGGCGGAGTGCGTGGGCTCGGCGCTGATCCGGAAGGGCTTCCGGACCGCCCCCGATCAGTTCGTCGGCATCTTTGCCCAGAACCGACCTGAGGTAACACCTGCCAGGCCCCGACTGTCAGGCTCTGGGCTCTCGCCTGCCCCGCTTGAGACCAGGTTTTGTGGTCTGATTTCTACTGAGAACGTGGCTTTGGGTCACACCTTAGAAAGTTACACATGTCAAAACCCCAGCCAGGGCCTGCTTAGCGTTTAGGTGGGGGCAAAAGGAAAATCACTTTTTAAACATTATTGCTATTATTTTTTTTCAACCAGATCCCCAAACAAAATACCTACAACAGATAGAAGTCTTAAGCAATTAGAAAAATAGCATTAATGACTTACAAAGAAATTGAGATGCAGTTTTGTCAGTAGCAAACTCATATTTTCTTTCTGAAAGATTTGATTTTTTTCCCTCTGATCAAGTTACAAAGTTTAAAATACCACAGACAACAGGGAAAGTGCTTCAGCTTGCCCGGGCCTTAATTTAGTCTCACGGTCTCTTACTGAGCTGTCCAGGCCTAGGCGTGGTGCTTCTGCAAACTCTGTATCAGAATACGTTTAAATGAGAAGTTCTTTTGGAGGCATCGCTGCTGGTGTTAGTGAGTAAGTTAAAGGCATTGCTGGGCTGGAAAAGTTCAGGCACCTGGCTTGAAGACCTACTTGTGTCCTACTTCTCAGACCTACTTATGTCCAGAAGGTATGTTGGCTCATCCATGTGCTACTGACTATTTAGTAAATGAGAATGGTTTCTTAGGGTTTTATGTCCCACTTGGGGAAAAACAGCATTTCCCACAGCTGGGTCATTTCTAGGCTTGTGGAATTTAATTTCTTTCATTTAGAGTGAAACCTATTCAAATGAACACACCCTGAATTTTTTTGTTTTAGGGAAATTTTATAAGGAATCTTATAATTAGGACACACATTCTTTACTTTAAGGAGTATTTTCCTTCCTATATTTATGAGTTAGTCCAACAGATGTTTATTGAGCACCTACTATGTGCCAGGCACTGTGCAGAGCACCGAAGTACAACAGTGACTTGGAGCCTCTCTGTGAGGTACTGCGTAAAGAAAGCCCAAAAGCCGATGCTTTCTCAGTAACGTGCTAAGTGTGGACAGAGGGCAAGAGGATTATGGGGACTCAGTCAAGGAGGACTTCCTGAAGGGTGCGGCTGAGTGGAGTCTTGACAGAAGTAAAGGTGGGGAAGTCAATGAAATGTTCTCATCCAGCAGCATGTCCGCGTTGGGGAACGAAGCATTTTAACATGGGGGAGCTTGGGGTTGAAGGAGAAGGGGCAGGGAAGAAAGGACCACATGTACCACTGGACCTGCTAAGGAGCTAGGGACTTACCTCCCTATTGGTAGTTTGAAATTGGTTCCAAGGGGAGGCAAGCGGAGAAAAACCAGTTGCAGGCCAAATGTGTGTGAGTGGCCGGTGCGCCCTTCCCATGACAGCTCTGCCTGTCTGTGGCCCCGGTCTGTTCCGTGTCCGAGTCTAGCAGAGAATTGAGAACTGCCGATGGAGATAACGGGTTCCCTGAGGATCTTGCCACATTTGCCTTGTAGGTTGATGAGTTATTATGTGGCTGCCGAGTTTGGAGGCCAGGTGACTAGTTACTGCATCACTTCTTTCCATCATTCCTTTTCTGGGGAGGTTTTGCTGGAACGATTTTTCTGTTTGACAAGTGTGGCCCTCCTTCCCCCATTTTCAGGCCCTGTTGCACACGTGGCCAGACTGATCTTCCTCAGACCCACAGTCAGTTTTGCTGAGAAACCCCCAGTGGCTGGGCATTGCCTGGGGACCAAAGCCAGGCTCCTTCAGAGCCAAGGGCTTGCCCCCCACACACACACACATCTAGCCTTCCTGTTCCCCACTCCCTGCAGAGACATACAGGTCGGTCAGTTGCTCACTGACCTCCCTCCTGCTTGTAATTCTGCAGTCCCTGCTCTTCAGGTCTCCTTGCCCTTCTCTCCATCTGACCAAATTGTGTTCTCTTGCAAAGGGCCGCTCAGTTACCTCTCCACAAAAGTGGCTTATCAGGGCTCTGAGTCAGTCACTACCTTATATTGTTAATTATCTTTTACATTTGCTTCAGTTCTTCCGGTAGATTGCACTCCTTTTTAAGAAGGGGACTAATACTTTGTCCTTGTTATGAGTCCTTCATGGTGCCTGGCATATAGTGGTAGATGTACACATTGGGCCATGTCCAGTGTTTCCCCTTTAAATCTAAGGTCAGTCTCTGTGAAGCCGTCCATGATGACATGTCATTTTCTCTCCCCAACCTTTACTGTTTGTTTAGTGGGTGATCATCGAACAGGGATGCTTTGCTTACTCAATGGTGGTGGTTCCCCTCTATGACACCCTCGGAGCTGAAGCAATCACTTACATAGTCAACAAAGGTATGTCTGTGGTCTTCGGGTGGACATTGGTCTCGTTGTTGGTTAGATTCAGTGATTCACACTTGCTTATATTTGATTAGATAGGGATTTTATATTTAAGTGTATGTCTACCTATTTTTTAAATGTGGTAGTTAAAATAACCTTAAAATTAAAAAATTATGCCATCAAAGTCTTTATATTTCAGAGTGTCTTGCTCATTGTATCTCTTCATTTTCAGCTGAACTCTCTCTGGTTTTTGTTGACAAGCCAGAGAAGGCCAACCTGTTACTAGATGGTGTAGAAAATAAGTTAACACCAGGCCTTAAAATCATAGTTCTCATGGACTCCTATGGCAGTGATCTGCTGGAACGAGGCAAGAAATGTGGGGTGGAGATCACCAGCATGAAGGCCATGGAGGTGAGTCCTTCTGCTCTCCCCACTTCTGGAGGCTTTCCCCGAGGTCATCTGGCCGCAAATATGGGATATCCAGTGTGACCACACCATCGCAGCCCTGGCTGGTTGTCTCGCAACCCATAAAAGATAGAGAGCAGAAACTCCTGTCTCAGATGAGAAAGAATTCTGTGTGCATGCCCAAAGTTAATGCACCGCATCTTGTAGAGATTTAAGTTTGTGTCTCCTCTTTAGGATATAATACCTGTTACTTACCGATTTGTATCTAAAATGGAGCCAGGGATGGACATCTGCCTCCTTATTCTTTTTTCCCAAATTGCTTTCATAGAGGCCTGGTGAATTTCTAGCAGGGATGTTTGATTTGGTTTATTTTCATATTAAATTTCTTCAGATTCACATTCGTCACAACTTTAAAGGTAACGATTCTAGGAAAATGTGGCTCATGTTGAAATTGGTTGTTTGACATTGGCCCATGTAAGAAGCTGATTTTCCCCTTTGGCCTTGGATTAGAGTTCAATCCCAAGGAGCTAGCAGGAGGACCTTATATGTATACATCATATGAAGTAATAGGCTAAGTGGAGTCAGCAATTCTCTTTCTGAAAACCGTATGTGTGTTTCCTGCAGCTGTTATAAATAGGGCTTAAGATTTATTTTAGTTTTCTATAAAGAATTTGAGGCTATAAATTAGAATCTATAAAACCTTTCCTGGGGAACTTAGAAGTCAGATGGAAACTGTCATTTGTTGTAACAGAGCCTTCTGCCTCACTCACAGACACACACACTAGCATGCACTCGCACGCACACACTCTCAAACATAGGCACACACTTGCACACACTCTCACATAGACACATCACACACATGTGCATGCTCTCATACACACATGCGCACATACTCACACATTCACAACACACACATCAGATGCTCACACACTCATGCATACTCACAGACACACATCATACACATGTGTACACACAGACACACATTACATGTGCACGCACACACATGCACACACAAACACGGCAGCATAGAGCATGAGTCAATAAGCGCTAAATAGATGTGCTGTATTGTTAAACTGGGTTTAAAATTTTTTTAAACTTATAATCAATCCCCTTTCATGATAATTATCTCTTTTCCCCTCATCTTTCCTCCTTCTCCCTAACCACCCCCCATTACAAACATACACATGATAAAGAAGTAATTTTAAGATTAAAAAATTTAAATGAGTGAAGATTCAAATAAAAAGTTTATATTAAAATCTTTATTTATGAAAGACATTGCTTTATACTTACCTGTGTAATGTAATTCATATTTTGTTTCTACAAGTTTTGTAAGCAAAATTTTAAAGTTTTAAGAAATTAATTTTTTTGGCCTTGTAAATGCAATGTTTATTGTAAAAATTGTTAAGTGTATCTTTAATTGACACCTCACATCTCTGTTGATTTCACTGTTGTCTTACCTTTTTTAGGTTTAAGTATAGTTAGTATACAATATTATATTGGATTCAGGTATCAATCACTATAGTGATTGGACATTTTTATACCTTACAGTGTTTTCACCCCACTAATTGTAATAATCATCTGTGACCACACAAACTTATTTAAAATTAGCTTTATGGTTGATCTTATGGTCATGTTTATATTACTATATATTTATATGGAATCAAAAATAGAAATACAGGTATTTGGAATTTTTGCATTATTTTCAATATTTTATTATAAAAATTTTAAAACATGAACACAAGTTGAAAGAATAGTACAGTAGACGGCCATGCCAAGATTCTACAATTAACTTTTTATTTTTATTTTTTTTATCCTCACCTGAGGACATCTTTGCATCTATCTTCAGACAGAGCAGTAGGGAGAGAGGAAGGGAGAGAGGGAACATTGATGTGAGAGAGACACATCGCATGGTTGCCACTCACATGACCCACCAGGGCAGGGGACAAACTGCCACCAAGGTACAAGCCCTTAGCAGGGGACGAACCCGGGACTCTCCGGTCCGTGGGTTGACGCTCCAGCCTCTGAGCCAAACTGGCCAGGGCTACAATTAACATTTTAATGTATTTGCTTAATCACATGTTAGTCCCTCACCCTGTTCCTCTTCATTCATCAGTCTGTCTTTTATTTAATACATTTTCAGTAGGTTGCAGATTTTATCACCGTTACATACTGCGGCATGCTAATCACTAACTAGAATTCGGTGTTTCTTCTGTTTATGGTTCTTTTTCGGCATTTGAGACCTAAAGGTGGCAACTTGTTTATTTTTATAATTACTGTACTTTTTTTAAAAATCCTCACCCGAGGATATTTTTCCCATTGATTTTTAGAGTGGAAGGGAGGGAACGAGGGGTGGAGAGTGAAAGAGACACATCAGTTGGTTGCTTACCGAACATACCCGGGGATCAAACCTGCAATCCAGGTAATGTGCCCTTGACTGGGAATTGAACCTGAGACTCTAACCACTGAGCCACGCCAACCAGGGCTGATTACTGTACTTTTTTCTAATTGATGACATAACACAGGTGTCAGGCAGTGGAACTTTCTTGGCAAACAGTGCACTGATTTGGATGCTGTTCTGTTGGCAGCAGCAAGAACAGCACCAGGTGCTGGACCAGTGGGTCACACCTGACCTTGGTTCAGCAACCTCTGTACTTGAGTTCTAGCTAGGAAAGACTTCAGAGCCAAGACTCAAACTATAAGAGAACATTTGTTTAGAAAGTCACAGAGCTGGAAGAAATGGGTTCAGGAAACAAGTTACAGAGGCAAAAGAAGTGCCCTTGGAGCTTAGGAGAGAGGAAGGTATAGGTAACTGGCCTCCGGGAAGAAGGGATGGGGAGGGGAGAGGCAGCCAGAGCCTTCTCCCTGGTGGGACATGGAGCTGGGTCCTCCCTCCCAAAAGCTATTAAGGGTGGGGGTTTTAGGCGAGGTCCCAGGGGAGGATTGCAATAGAATATTCATCAGCTTTCCAGGTGTGTCTTTTCAGGGTCAGGGTCAGAGTCTCTGCTGATGGCTGGGCACCAGGGAAGGGAGCATTAGTCCATGCAGCTGGGCCAGGGGTCAGCAGAGTCACTTGTCTGGTTTTGCTGCTTTTCTGGGCCTGAAGCTGAAATGTAACTGAGGCCTAGAGATAACCCCTAGGGAGGAACTGTCAGGGGGTCTAAACCCCATGACCAGCAATATGCTAGGGGAGGAAAGGTTATCCTGGGGGCAAGATCCTTGTTTTTCCAGTTTTGCCCATTTCTAGGCATCCGGGGATTTCCAGGTAACCTTCTGTACCTGGCCCATTGTCCTTGCTCTGCTCTTGTCTAACTGCCTGCCGCATTTCCCAATAAATTGGAAGCTCAATTACATGTCACTATTGCTTCATTTTATTTAATATCAATTTTGAAGAATTAGAGATCTCAAGAAGTGTAAGAATTTTGAATAGTTGGGTGGGAATTTACATCTAATAAAGATAATTTTTTTTTAATTGAGGAAATTCTCATTGTTTTAGCTCTTAGAGTTGACTTCTATTTGAATGTTAGTATTCCTGTTTTTAGTCAGTGATCTGTTGTGTATATAACTTAAAATGTAATTAAGATTTAAAACTGTATGCTGGACAGAAATTCACTGAGCCCTGAGCACACCCATCTAATTTTTATTTAATTCTAGGCTTGCTAACTCCATGTGCTCACTCAAGCTGTTCAGTTTTAATAGGAAAAGAATATGGTTTATCTAAAAAATAGATAGTAAAGTTGCCACAGAGACTGCATTTGTGCAGTAAACTGAACAGTATCAGAGTGAACCCCTGGAGTATTGGGAGCCAGCTGTTGGGAAATACTGACCTCTGAAATGAATCTGTCGTTCTTAACCTTCAAGTCCATTCAAGAGCGGCCTTAAGCCCTCTGTTCTTGCCTGTTTTATAGTTGGAAATTCCCAGGTTCTTTCTCTGCTTCATGTGGGGAGTGCAGATGTTTGAGCCTCTAAAATGGCTAGCATTTAAATCTGGCTGAGACTGATTTTTCTCTCAAGATTGAAGATGCTATGCAGAATTGGGTGAGCACACATCTAGTTGTGCTCTGATTTGGAGATGGTGCTGAGCATATACAGTTAGTTCTTTGGTGATGGTTAAGAGCTGGATTTTGTGAAAGGCCAGAATAGGTAGTGGGGACAAAAAATCCATCATAAAAGACTTTTTTTTTTTTTTATCCTTACCCAAGGACATTTTTGCATTTATCTTCAGATAGAGCAGGAGGGAGAGAGAAGAAGAGAGAAAGAGAAACATCCATGTGAGAGAGAGACACATCGAGTGGTTGCCACCCACATGACCCCAACCAGGCCTGGGGACAAACTACAACCAAAGGAAGTGCCCTTAGCCGGAACTGAACCCAGGACTCTCTGGTCCGTGAGCAGATGCTCTAACTGCTGAGCCAAACCGGCCAGGGCTCATCATAAAAGACTTTGATTTCTTCTTTTGAATAAATCCTATTTCAAAGGCCATTCCTAATACCATTTATATAGTCTTGTATAAGAGGGAAGATAACTGAAAAATGTCTTCTTAGAGCAATGGATACATTTTCTGGTCCGGGTTAATTTAAGTTGCCATAGTTTATTTAATTGGAAATGTATGCTGTTTTTGAGCAGTGTCAGTGAATCCCACAGTAAAGTCAGCTCGAAGTGACTAGATGTGATTTACTTATTACGTTTAGAAAATGTGTCCATTTAAGATTTTTTTCTCTTCTAATTAGGACCTGGGAAGAGCCAACAGAAAGAAGCCCAAGGTGAGACTCTGCGTCAGACCCTGCCGTAGCCTTTGTGTCTTCCCCAGTATGTAGCCATCTCAGAGACCAGTAGGGATGTTGAGTGACGTCTATGGCTCACAGTTTTCTGTTCTGATTTATGCCGCCTTTTTTTTTTTTTTTTTTAATGTGCTGCAGCCTCCAGCACCAGGAGATCTTGCAGTGATTTGTTTCACAAGTGGAACTACAGGTAAGTTTTGCAATGGAGTTGCCCCTAATTGGTATCTGCAAGTGTATGTTCCCTGCCTCTTCTCTGGGATAGATGGGAGGCAGAGGAGACTGAAGTGGGTCAGACACTGTCTTCTTGTCACGCGGTAGGACATTCTCAGAGTGTGAGCGTGTCAGGTATTTTCCTCACACATTTGTTAATGGTGACCCTTTATCCCTCTTCCTGAGACAGATTGTATCAGTGATTTACAGAAATAAAAAAAGAAACAACTCCTGGTTTTTCTTCTCTTGTGGCCACACACCCTCCGAAATTGCAGTAAACAATGTTTAAGATAACTAAGTTTCATGTAAAGGATTGCGGATTGCTCAGGAGTTTAGTGTTACTCAACATTTAGCTTTCCTGAGTGTACCTGACACCAGAGGCAGTGGCGGCCCTGATTATATAGGTTTCTGGGCTTCCTTTATGCCTGTCCTCTTTGGATGGAGTTCTGTCCTCTGACTTGGTTCTGCTCATATGTGTTCCTCAGGCAACCCCAAAGGAGCAATGATCACTCATGGAAATATAGTGAGCGATTCCTCCGCGTTTGTGAAAATGACACAGGTAAATTTGTGGGATGTTGCCATCTTTCTTCATATTCATTGGTTGGCATTAGGCCTCAAGAATGAAAGTGGTAAAGGCAGCCCCGCCATGCCATGTCCACGCGCATGTGGACCTCTGAAATACAGATAAGGCCTGAGTCTTACTGCAGTTCTCGCACACGCTTTCCACGGTGGGCCCACCTCCAACTCCTGCCCTGATCATGAAGTGAATTGACAGAGTTTCTTAGAACTTTTGTAGAGTGTAATTTTATTTGGCTCCTGCCCTGTAAATGTCTCCAGGAAAGGACAGAGAAGAAATGACTCTTGTGCTCTTACCTACTATTCCAGTGTGGGAAAAATAACTTATTTAAGTTGACAATGAAATATTAAATGCTGTTGAAGGTTTTTGAGTTGTTATTATTATTTATCATGGTCAGTTTGACTTCCTTTTTATGAGAATGACTAAAGCCTCGAACTTCCAAGTGTCTTAGTCTGCGTGGGCTGCCATAACAAAATAGTACAGACTGAGTGGCTGGAACAGCAGAGTTCTGGAGGCTGGAGTCTGTGAGCAAGGTGCCAGCAGATTTGGTTTCTGGTGAGGGCTCTCTTCCTGGCTTGCGGATAGCCACCTTCTCCCTCTGCCTCACGTGGTCTTTCCTTTTGTGCACAAGGAGGATGAGAGAGGTCTCTGGGTCTCCTTAGAAGGACATCCGTTATTTTGGATCAGGGCCCACCCTATGACCTCACTTAACCTTAATTACCTCCCAGAGGCCCTACCTCCAAATACAGTCATACTGGGTTAGGGCTGCAGCATATGAATTTGATAGGGGTGGGGGTGGGAGCACAATGCAGTCCATAGCCCCAAGGTTAGATTTCAAACTTGCCTTTTAGAAAGTTGCTATTGAACAGGATGAAGCCTCTCTCTCAGACCTTTGGCACATTTTACGTGATTTGCTTTCCTGGTCTCTGGGAGAGTTCTTTCTGTGGCAGGAGCCCGTGCTATTGGTTTGGAGAATGGGCAACTCAGGTGGTGCAGAAGGTCAGTCTCACACTTATACTCACATCCTCTTAGTCCCAAATACCTTTCTTGGCATATACTTTCTAAACAGAAGTTAAGATTTAGTACCTTTCCAAAGGGAAATGATCATTTTCTAACGGGCCTTCAAAGAAAAACTTAAAATGCATTCATGTCTCATTGAGGCAAATAATTACAGAACTTTGTTTAAAATACTATATTATCAGGAGCATTCTCAACTTTGTAAAACTTTTAATCATACTAAAATGTGTTGCACTAGTATGTGTTGCACTAAATCAGAAAATTGAAAACTATCAATATTATTGAGTCTGATTTCTCATTATATAACAATTTCCCACAGAGAAGTATGAGTTGGGATACAGGTCATCCTTGAATAAAATGTACCTAAGATTGTGGCATGTTCAGGCTACATCACATGCTGCTGGGAGTCCTGTGTTTGCCCGGGACTGGTGCTCTCACCCATTATGATATTGTTATGAAGGGTGGCCTGGCTTTGGGAGGGGAAGGGAAGGGTTCAGAAGTGGGTGCACCACCCCCTAGGCACCTTCATTTCTTAGCTGAGATGAAGCAGCTGCTGCCGGCAGCCCTGTTTGGGCCAGAACTCTTCATGTTGATAACACTTCATGCAGACCTTCTCTGTGCCAGGACGTGGAAACCAGATGTCCAAACTTTATCTCGCTATAGACCTTTTGTGACCAGTGCTTCATAGGGAAGCAAATCCCTGGTACCAGAGCAGAGCTTGCATTAATCAAATGGGGATATTTTCCATGGGTAAAGGAGGGCTTTATGGTAAAGGTGTTGATCAAACTAAAATACTCCAGATGCACTTGCACTATAGATAAAAGGAGCTTGAAAATAAGTTTTTCTTATCGTCTCTCCCCCTTTCCCTTTAAATTATAACATGCTGTCTTATGTTGGATGGGATCTCATATTTCTACAACATAACATGCTGTCTTATGTTGGACGGGATCTCGTATTTCTGCAACATAACATGCTGTCTTATGTTGGACGGGATCTCGTATTTCTACAGCATAACATGCTGTCTTATGTTGGACGGGATCTCGTATTTCTGCAACATAACATGCTGTCTTATGTTGGACGGGATCTCGTATTTCTACAGCATAACATGCTGTCTTATGTTGGACGGGATCTCGTATTTCTACAGCATAACATGCTGTCTTACGTTGGACAGGATCTCGTATTTCTACAGCATAACATGCTGTCTTACGTTGGACAGGATCTCGTATTTCTACAGCATAACATGCTGTCTTACGTTGGACGGGATCTCGTATTTCTACAGCATAACATGCTGTCTTATGTTGGACGGGATGTTGGACGGGATCTCATATTTCTGCAACATAACATGCTGTCTTATGTTGGACGGGATCTCGTATTTCTACAGCATAACATGCTGTCTTATGTTGGACGGGATCTCATATTTCTACAGCAAAACATGCAATCCTGTGTTGGACGGGACCTTATGTTTCTTACCCTTCGGTGGAGTTAAGCTTGCTGGGAAGTAGGGTCCCATAATTTTGAAATACTAAATGATTAGAGCACACAATCCCTTAATATTCCATTTAGGCAAAATATGTTTTATCTTGACTTAAGTCCTGAGTGGATTTACGTTGTCAAGAGAAATGACCTCTGTTCTATTCGAGTAATTAAAGTATTGCTTTTCATTTCATTCTTTGGTAAGAAATAAGTGCACATTGTAAGCAGAAACCATTTCTCCTTAGTGTTGAGGTGTTGTGTGCTCTAAAGTGAAGTGGGAAGGAACTGGAATCTTAATGCTTTTTTGCTTTGCTGGTGTCTTTGCTTACAGAACATTGTCACTCCCTCCCCAGATGATACTCTGATCTCTTTCTTGCCTCTTGCCCACATGTTTGAAACAGTTGTCGAGGTAAGGCATTGAGCTTTGTTTTACTTGCTTGCTTGTTTGCTTGTACTCTGAGTTGTTGTGTTTTACAGAGCGTACTTGGCCTGAATGCCAGTGACACACACATTTCGTTTTTACCACTTGCACACATGTATGAGCAGCTCATGCAGGTAAGTTGGACGTCACACTGCCATCCCTGTGCTTTTAGTTTTTTGCCAAGCCCTGTTATAGAAACGGTGCTAATTATTTAAAAGTATTATTTTTTTCTGGATCTGGATACTTGAACTTTAATCATTCATTTTAAAATTAGAAGCTCAGACTTTTGAAGGCTATGAACATGGACATGACTCCAGGAAGATTAACTGTGGAGGTAGAATTTTTTTTGAATACCTTTCTATAAAGGCTGCTGCTCTGTGAGAAGTCTCTGTTGTTTTTTTTAAAAAATCCTCACCTGAGGACACTTTTGCAGATAGAACGAGAGGGAGAGAGGGAGGAAGAAAGAGAGAGAAACATTGATGTGAGAGAGATACATCGACTGGTTGCCACCCACACAACCCCAACCGGGGCCAGGTCTCTCTGGTCCACTGGCCAACACTCTAACCACTGAACCAAACTGGGCAGAAGTCTCTGTTTTTTATTGTGCTTGTTTATAATTGCACGAGTTGGCTTAAGACTAATTTTTTTTTTTTTTATCATCCTTACCCGAGGACATTTTTCCATTTTTTGTTCAGGTAGAGTGGGAGGGAGTGGGAAGAAGAGAGAGGAAGAGAGAGAGAGAAACATCGATGTGAAAGGGACACATCGAGTGGTCGCCACCCGCACAACCAACCAGGGCCGGGGACAAACTGCAACCGAGGTACGTGCCCTTAGTGGGAACTGAACCCGGGTCTCTCCGGACCGCAGGCCGATGCTCTGACCGCTGAGCCAAACCGGCCAGGGCAAGACTAATTTTTTTCACCAAAATTCTAAGTGACCTTGGAAAAACAGGATGATCTTGAGCTGACCTTTGCCTGGGCTTCCTATACACAACTGTGTGACTAGTTTAAAAACTGGCCAAGAACCACCTTTTTTGCTTTTTGGACAGTTCTGGATTGTATACTTACAGGAAAAATAAACACCATTCATTCATTTAACAAGTGTTTATTGAGCACTACCCATGTGCCCTGTGCTAGGTATTGGGGCAGAGAGGTAATTAACAGTGGGTCTGCCCTTTGATTGCCTGCCTGCTGCCCCTATGGGATTTCCTCATTCCTTCAGGGCCAAGGGTCATTAGATGCCATCTGCTGTTCATCCCTTCTGCTTCCTGCACACCTCAGGAGAGCTTGTGAGCTTATCAACTGATGCCAAAGGAGTTGATGAAGGGCCCTATGCACCTGGAGGTGGTTTTAGACGTGTGCCTAAGAGGCAAGCCACACTGAACAAAGCCTATGAGCTTTTAATTTTTAAGCAGTGAACCGTGGTGTTCCTTCCTAGTGGTTTCTGCTTTCAAGTGTGAAACCATTTGTACTTCCACTGAATTATTATTATTTTTTATTTCTTCTCACCTGAGAATATGTTTATTGATTTTTCTTTTTAGAGAGAGAGAGGAGCATCAGTTGGTTGCCTCCCATATGTGCCCCAACCAGGGAACCCACAACTTTTGGTGTATGGACAATGCTCCAACCAACTGAGTCACCTGGCCCGGGCTGGTGCATCATCTTTTGAATCTTTCTTTTTAAAGTTTGAAAGAGGCAGACTGTTGCGAAGTGCACATGGCTTGCCAGCACAGTTCCCATGTAACAAGAAAACATTTGTGCCATAGATTATTGCTAAATGACCAGCCATGCTGGTGTTAGATGTCCTAGGTCTCAACTGCAACAGTCAGTGGCTTTTTAGAAATTCTTAGTTAGATTCAAATAAATGAAAATGAGACCTTGATAAGATTGGACTGTAGGTAAGTTGCTAAGTTTTTGTTTTGAGAATAAATTAGATCTAAAGTTTCTGGAAGACTGAAAACATCTGGATTATTTAACACCATGCCATTCAGTGAACAGATTATTTATCATAAAGCTAGAATAGCAGAACCTCTATGATCCTCACCAAAACCAACATACCCCGGTTTCTGGCAAGATCCTCATCTTCAGGAGGATGGAGAGCAATGCCACACCTCCGTGCTGCACAATGACCAAAGATGCTAGAACAGTTCTGAACAGCTGCCTCCATTTAGGGACTTGAAGATTTCTGGAAATGGTTCTGAAAAGCTATGGCTGAAGCCTTTGTGTCTGTGTGTGTTTCCCTCCCCAGTTTGTGATGCTGTGTCACGGAGCTAAAATAGGATTTTTCCAAGGAGATATCAGGCTGCTTATGGATGACCTCAAGACACTTCAACCCACTATCTTTCCTGTGGTCCCGAGACTGCTGAACCGGATGTTTGACCGGGTAAGTTCCAAGCACAGAACAGAGAGCAGAGTGCTGGGCCTCAGGTCCGAGACTCAGGTTTGAATCAGGCTCAGCCAGGTACCTTGTGTGTGACCTTGGGCAATCCTCTTAGTCTCACAGAACTAGAGTTTACTCCTCTGTAAAACCAGAATACATTGACCTCACAGAGTTGTTTTTAAGGACTATAAGAGGAAACAGGTGACACTTATAATTCTGAAGGTACAATGCAGGTATAGGTGGGAGGTCGTTTTATTTTTATAATTAACTCTTTGAGCCTCTGTTTTCTCATCTCTATAGTGGACTGTTGTTACCTCCTCCCCCTGCTGTCTGTCTCATAAAGTTGCTGTTTGCATCACATGAAAATAATAACTATGAAATGGTTTTATAAATTGGAAAGCTCTGTGCACATGTAAAATGTGACTGACTTAGCTACCTTCAGAGAAGTGGCAAGGCCACAGCAGGGCCTGAGAAGGCCACCACACAGCAAGGTCAGCGTGTGGCATGAGCAGTCTCCACAGTGGATTTGGACGGGCAATTTGATGCTCTTCATTTTGAGGCATGGTTTCCGCCATCCATGAGAACCTACCTGGTTTTTAATGGTTCTTTTAGAAAAAACTTTAAAACAGCTCTATTGAAATATAACTCACTTACAATTTACACATTTAAAATGGACAATGCAAAGGTTTTTAGTACATTCACAGAGTTCTGCGACCATCACCGCAGTCCATATTAGAACATTTTTATCACCTCAAAAAGAACCCCTTTATCTACCCTTTAGCTGTCATCCTCCACCTTGCCACTTGCCTTCACCCCTAAGCAAAAAGTAATTGACTTTTTGAATTTATAGATTTACCTGTTCTGGACTTTGATATGAATGGAATTATGCAATATATGTTCTTTTGTGACTGGCTTTTTTCACTTAACATGTTCTTCCATGTTGTAGGATGTATCTGTACTTCATTCCTTTTAACAGCCAAATAATATTCCACTGTGTAGATATAACACATTTCGTTTATCCCTTCATCCATTGATGGGCTTTGGAGTTGTTTCCACCTGTTGGCTATTATGAATTGTGCTGCCATGAATAGAGCCCAGGCTTCTGTGTAGACATGTGTTTCCTTTCTCTTGGGTTGATGTCTGGGAGTGGAATTGCTGGGTCATATAACTCTGTGTTTAACTGTTTGAGGAACTGCCAGTCTGTCTGCTAACGATGTACCAAGTTACATTTCCGCCAGCAGGGTCTAAGGGTTCCCATTTCTTCACATCTTCCCCAGCACTTGTTATTATCTGACTTTCTGATTCTGGCCATTTTAGTAATTGCGAACCTTCTTTTTCCCTGACTCATTAGATTTTTGGACAGGCAAACACCACCTTGAAGCGCTGGCTATTGGACTTCGCCTCCAAGAGGAAGGAAGCAGAGCTCCGCAGCGGCATCATTAGAAACAACAGCCTGTGGGATAAGCTGATCTTCCGCAAGATACAGGTGACAGACGCACACCTGTTTCCACTTGTTGTGGAAACTGACTTGGGCTTCACATTTTCTGTGAGGGCTTTTTTTTGTTTGTTTTTTTAAATTTATCTTTATTGTTGACAGAATTACAGATAACCCTTCTTTTTTCCCCCCATTCACCCCTTTCTATGAGGGCTCTTTTAAAAGAGAGGTATGAAGATGAGAGAGAAGGACACATTTTTATTAATTCTGGCACGTTTCTAAGAATTGAAGACAAAGCCATTACGCTAACCTCAGGATCCGAGATAAATCAATAATACTGTAGCTATCGAGCGCGAAAAAGGAATCATGATATTGTAGCTTTTCTTATTCTCCATTTGGTTATACTTTGTTGGAACAAGAATGTCACTCTTGTAACTTTTTGTCATGAGTGATAAAGAATAATATTATGTCTGAAAAAAATGCCTGCAGTGTGGTAGTTGCCACATATCTACCACGCTCTTGTTCAAGGATACCAGCGGGGGGTCGGCTTATTTCCATACTAGTTAAGAGCAAATGGCACAGTTTCAGGTGGAAACAAAGTCCCCTCAGCGCTCCTCGTGCCAACCTGTGAGTCCCTAGGCCTCAGAGCGCTGTGTCCCCGCAGAGAGGGAGCTGAGGCCCAGGGAATGGTGTCGAGAAAGGACCTTCGAGGAGCCCACCCACTCCAGCCATCTAACCCTCCTTCCCCCCTCCTGTCTTCCAGGCGAACCTGGGCGGGAAGGTCAGGCTGATGGTCACGGGCGCCGCGCCGGTGTCTGCCACCGTGCTGACGTTTCTGCGCGCCGCGCTGGGCTGTCAGGTGAGCCGGCCCCACGGCCTGACTGTCTCAGACTTCGTCCTGCCCGAGGGTCTTCTTTCCAGAAGCGATTCTTTTTCTCCCTGTGTGTGTCTCCCTTTATTTAGAAGATCATGTTATTCCTTGGTTGCTTAGAGAAAGTATTGTTATCTTTGAGCCCAGGCAGGGGGGGTATGGGATGGGTCGTAAGCGATCGCCGACTACGCACCATGCACAGAGCCTGTCTTCAAGGGCACGGGCAGCAGAGGCCAGCCAGCTGGCTCCTAGGACTCGGCGGGTGGACTCAGCCCTGGCAGAGCAAGTGCCTTCCTGGCGGCACGTGCGCAGTGTCCTTGCCTGACCACGTGGGCGGGGCTGGGTTTGGTGTGCGGATGAGGTGTTCGGGTGCTGTGATAATTCATGTTGCAGTAGTGGATGAATTCACCAAACAGAAAATTTGAAAAGAGGTTTCACCACATTGGCCATTACTTAGGAGTGAGAGGAACTTAATTACTTGTATACTTCCAGCAAAGGTGTCCCCTTTTTAATAATGTTTTATCTCTTGGTGACCCAGTTCTACGAAGGCTATGGACAGACCGAGTGCACAGCCGGCTGCTCCCTGACCATACCTGGAGACTGGACAGCAGGTGCGCTCGATTGGTGGGACAGTCCTTATTGACATTCTGTTATTCAGGTGGAGCTGAGTTCATCATTCATGGGCTCATTCATCAGCTTAAACAAGTGCTGTGTCTCTGATCCTTAGGCCCTGGGGTACACAGTCTTGTAAATTGGGGAGCCAAAAGCTGGGTGGCAATGGAGATGTCCCCCAATCCCGAAGGTGACAGCTGCAAGAGGTGATGCCTTTAGATCAGGATCATAACGTTTGGCCCAAGAGAGCTTTCCAGTAATTGATTGGAGTCTAATGATTTGCTGGTAAATTTTAATTAAATTTACACTGCTGTGCTGGATGTTGAGACTCCGGAGAAATAAACTCAGATCCTTTTTCCTAAAAGGACAAAGTGGAAACAAACACAAATTGGTGGAGCACCATAATGAGGTTCTTTGTTAGGGACTTGAAATGGACATTATGTCTATTTTTTTTTCTTTATTGATTTTAGAGAGAGAGGAAGGGAGAGGGAGAGAGAAATAGAAACACTGATGGAAGAGAACATTGAGTGGCTGCCTCCTGCATGCCCCTCACTGGGGATTTGGCCCACAACCTGGGCATGTGCCCTGACCAGGGATCAAACCGGTGACCTCTTGGTGCATAGGTTGATGCCCAACCACTGAGCCACACTGGCCGGGCTATTATGTGTATTTCAACCCAACAACATCTCTGTGAGATAAATTTTATAAGCTCAGAGAGGAAATGGTTGATTGTGGGTTAAAAAGTGCGTAAATAATGTACAAGAAGTGACAGCATCATGCTCTGGAGCTAGGGATCCAGCCCAGCTCTGACTGCAGACCTCTGTGCCCTCCCCTATACCACAGTGGTACACTCTGCCCTGCGCTGGATCAGTTCCCTGGTCTGTACGGTGTGTTGTAAGTAGGAGCACTGTGTACAGGCATAGACTGGAGTACCTAGCACGATCTACCAGCACAGTTCTGCTGGGATTGGCACTAACTGTGAACCTTTTTTATGGTGTTTAATTTTTAATTCTTGATTTCTTACCAGCTAAAGACTTTGGAATAGGGATCTTTTTAAGCTGAAATGATCAAAACGTAGGAAGAATTATTTGTGATGTTTTTGTAACGTTATCTAATTTCTGTTATTTTTGCCTTGGGGAAAGAACTCAATCCTAACACCCTTTGGCAAGACAGTTAAGTGACCTGTAAAAAGAAGCATCATCCTGTCTTAATAAACTTAGACATAAAACGGGGTCATTCACACTCAATGAAATAAAGACCATATTGTTCAAAACCAAGTGGTGTGTGAGAAAATAATCAAGCTTGGCCACAGCTGCCTATGTTTCCTTCCAGAGAATAGGGACAGTGGGGGTTGCTGTCAGGGAGAGGTGGCAAATGATGGGCCGGGGGCATCAGACCAGAGGTTCCGGGAAACGTGTGTGGAAGGCTTGCTTCCAGGTGTTCCTAGAAACCCTTAAAATCAGCAGCCAAATTGTTTATGCTTTGAAAAGTAGTCAGAGCACCAAACGGGAAAGTCCCTGGGAGGCTTTTGAATGACTCTGTCTATCTTCTAGGAGTAAACTCTCTCAGTTAATTTGCCAGGGGGAGACTGACTTTAATTGCAGAAATGGAAAGTTTATACTAGCTGTTCTTATTATAAGCAGGCTTCTTTGTTAGAAAAATAACTTGGCCTAGGGATAGTGCAGTCCCATCAGGAACAGCCCTTCTTTTCTCTCACACACAGGCCACGTTGGAGCCCCAATGCCCTGCAATTTGGTGAAACTCGTCGATGTGGAAGACATGAACTACCTGGCTGCCAAGGGCGAGGGCGAGGTGAGTGAGGGCCTGCCATCACTCACCGCCATTGTCATTGTCTCGGGCCAACCGCGCCAGGGGCAGTGCCTTTCCCGGATGTCATGCAAGGCCGTTGAGCCTCTGAGCTGGATTGTATAAGTGATCTTGAAGCCAAACTGGCTTCTTTGAAAGTACATATATGTTTATCTCCCAGAGGGCATGGGGGGTGGGCACCAACACCTGCCTTCTTCTCCCAGACTTGGTAGGGATGGGCCGAGAGCCTGCCAAGGCTCCAGGGCCCGAGAGCCGGGGCACAGCTCTGTCTGCAGTTGCCCTGGATACCTGCCTGCTGGTGTGCTCCAGCTAGGGAGGGAAGCCTAACTGCTTCAGAGGGACTTCACCCCTGGGTTTCCCGGCAGCTGTGACCTGGACCTAAGGGCAGCATCAGCTCTGCAGCTTGACCGCTGCTGAGCTTAGTGAGCGGGAAGCGTGTCACTGGAGGGGCCACGAGGTCCCGGTGGCACACGGGTAGGCTTCTCTGGACCCTGGAATCCAGGGCTTCTTGCGAAAGGTTGGGGGACACACACACACCCCCACACACCCACCCCCACTTCTTTTCTGGAGAAGCTCCAGGAAATGCTGCTAACAGATCACCTTCCCCCAGTTGTATTGAGGAACAGTTGACACATAGCATGGGGTAAGCTTAAGGGGTACCCGGTCATGACCTGGCTTCCATGGCTGGGAGATGGTCAGCACGTCAGTTACTTCACATCCCTCACCTCGTGCAGACGCCAGAACGTGAGAGAAAACGCTTGTCCTCGTGGTGAGAGCGCCGGCTGTCCTCTGAGTGACGCTCAGACGCCCCGCACAGCGCTGTGGGCAGCAGTCACGCGGTCTCCAGTCCCCACAGCCCCATCCTGGTCCTCTCTCCTCCAGGTGTGTGTGAAAGGGCCAAATGTGTTTCAAGGCTACTTGAAGGACCCTGCGAAAACGGCAGAAGCTCTGGACAAAGATGGCTGGTTACACACTGGGGACATTGGCAAGTGGTTACCAGTAAGTGGTCACCCTGCTCACAGACACTCTCTGCACGGTAGGGAAGAAAATGTCCCGTGGGCTGTCCGCCTGCCACATGGCAGCTGCACCCTGGCCCTTCTCTTTCCCGTGTCCTGTGGGCGGGGTGGTAGGCACACTCCCGTTTCCTGCAGGGAACAGGTCTGCATTCTTAGCGTACCTGTGCAGGAGTTTCAGACATCTGTGGCAGATATGTTTTGTTTTGATGTTTGCCATCAATTCTGGTCGCTGCTTCCTATTTGAAATCCAGAGAGCCTGGGGGTTTATATGTCAGTGCTGTGCCTTGATGTCGGGGCCTTAGTTAAACGGGCACGGGGACCATTGTGATAGACGCCAGGAGCGAGGGGCAGGGACCTGAATACATGGGTTCTCAGGCTCGCCATCTGCGTAAAGATAGGACAGGTGTTTCGCAGATTAGACCACTTCCTGTCAGTTTGGTCTCAGAACCACTTCCTCTAGAGAAATTCCAGAAACCACCGAATGGAGGCTCAGGCAGAGGCAGTACCCAGAGATTTGGCCAATTTGGCTGCTGCGGTAGTAACCACTGCTTTTAAAGGTTGTTGCTGTGTTTAACTGCAAGTGCTAAAGTGGTTCATGTAATTTTTATTGTGTATTGTTTGATTCTTATAGATCCAGGGTGTTTAATACTGTGAAACGTTTATTGATCTGAAAAACGCCTCCTTAATTAATTCAGATTTCAGAATATCCAAGCTATTTAGAAATAAAGTTCCTCTTCCTAGGTTCAAGAGGGATTCAGTACCTGTTCCCATCCTGGCTCCGGCTCTAATGAGCACGACTCATAACCTCTCTGGACCCCCGTCAGCTCCTGTTGAAAAAGGAGGACGGATGTGGAATGAGAGAGTCCAGGAAGTTGCCGGCAGATGACTTTTAGAAGCATGACAGTGACCCCAGGGTGGGGATGGGTTGAAAGTCAGGTGGGCAGTACTGGCATTTGGCCGATCTGGTCCAGAGATTCCAGTGTCCCCACAGTTATTATGTGGGCAATTGACCAACTCTTCCCAAAGGGCCAGGAGCACCCCCACCCTGAAACAGTGACAAAGAAACTGAAGCCCTGCCTTTGTGTAGGAAACATTTGCCGAGTCCTTACTTTGTGCAGAGCACTGTGGGAGGATAAGTCTGTGTCTCTGCTCTCAAATAAATGAACTCAGTGGGAGAGGCAGGTGATTGATCATGGGTGGAAACCAGCCATGGCCCACTCACAGCCCCCTCCTTTCTGATGAACAGAATGGTACCTTGAAGATTGTCGACAGGAAAAAGCATTTATTTAAACTGGCACAGGGAGAATACATAGCACCTGAAAAGATCGAAAATGTCTACCTGCGGAGCGAACCTGTTGCCCAGGTGTTTGTCCACGGAGAGAGCTTGCAGGTAGGTGCCTTCTGGCAGTGAGCTCTGATGGGCAGGGTGGGCAGGCCCGGTCCCCAGGCACACCTTCGTGCCCAGGGGATTTTCTCGTCTGACGTGCTGGAACGTAATCGATGCGTTATTGGGTTTTGCTGTCGGACGTTTCTTATTCAGAGAAGTTTTTTTCTCTTTAATTTTCATTTTTATTTTACCCAGAGTGATCTGATGTACCAAGGGAACAGATTGGATAAAAGATACAAGGGAGTGAGTAAAAATAGGCTTTCAGTTTAATTAGGAAGGAAAATGTTGATGTAGGGATTATAAGAAAGTTTAGAATTTTCTAACATATTAAACCTAGCTGTTTATGATACGCCTCCTAAGTCATCTTTGCAAAAGTGGTTGTGAGTCAGTGTAGACTTAAAGTTGGAAACCAAGGTCAGTGCTGTGGTGAAACATCTATTTGCCCTAGTGGACAGATGGAGACGGGGGAGAAGGGGACCTGAACGTTAATCATTTTATAAACCTTGAGATTTTTAGGTAACTTTAGAAGAATATTTTCTTGTAAGAGAGTGTACCTATTTTTCTTTGACGTAGAATCTTAACATGCCTTTGATTTTTATTTACTATTTATTTATTTATCTGCTGTCTGCCACCATATTTTCTTATTTGACTCTGTTTTGTTCTTTTTTTAAAGTATACACAAAAGTAGATAAAAATTAGGGTTTTGTTATATTTTGATTCCTGGTGGTTCTTTTAAAACATTTATTATAAAATTCCTGATGCTGTCTATATTTTAGAATCAGGAGTTCTGAACCCGGGTCAGTGGACTCCTGGGGCTGGTACTGTGTCCTGAGGACAGGATCTATCACTTTATCAGTTTCTCCCAAGGGTCTGTGATGCAAAATCATCAAGGACCACTATTCTAGAACATGTGGATCGAGCCGTGTAGTAACTCACTTGTCTGTGTTAAAGTCATTTCTCATAGCAATTGTGGTGCCCGATGTGGAGACGTTGGGTCGCTGGGCCCAGAAGAGAGGAGTGGACGGGTCCTTCGAAGAGCTGTGCCGAAACAAGGTAGGCTCCGGGCCGCCATCCGCTGCTGTAGCGTCGCGTGCACTCAGTACGGGGACCTCCGACACAGGAAGTACCTTGTTTCTCTTGCCTTGTTAGGACGTCAAGAAAGCGATCCTGGAAGACATGGTGAGACTTGGGAAGGAGGCCGGCCTAAAGCCATTTGAACAGGTAAGACTTTCTTGGAAGTGCATGACTTCTTGTAAAACATGTTTTTGACTTGAAGATACTTTATGAATAGGTTACAGAAGTCTGTGAGGAATGGATAATGGAGTGGTTTGGCAAGGGGAGGGATTTCTTTAACCAAGGGCATGAATTCTCTTTCTTGGGGGTCAGGATACAGTCCTGACTTCTGTCCTAAGAACAGGCCATGGCCCTTGTGGAGACAGTGCGGCTGGGCCAGAGGTGAGAGGGTGGTTTGGACCCAGCATAAGGGTCTTTATCCCCTTAGGGGGGCTGAAGTACTTTTCAGACTCAGGTTTCATCTGTGCCTTCTCCTCCTATAACAGCCTTGTTTATTTGCAGGTCAAAGGCATTGCTCTCCACTCTGAATTATTCTCTGTTGACAACGGCCTGCTGACCCCAACAATGAAGGCTAAACGGCCAGAACTTCGAAATTACTTCAGGTCACAGATAGATGAACTTTATTCTACTATCAAAGTTTAAAGGGGGGAGGAGAGCTCAGAAGAAACCACACACCTCCACGATCTTCTGCTGGTGGCCTTCACATTGGCGATTTGGACTCACGTTGGCAAGCATAGGGAAGGGCACGTCTATGTTTGACCTGTGCATTTGGGATTCTTATCATAGGAATGTTAGAGGACACGGGACACTGCCTTACAGTCACCTCGTGTGGCAGACCATGTATATATGTGGTGATACACAATTTCCAAAATGAGCCTTAAAAATTGTAAAGGGAAAATTATAAATGTGCTAAGTTATTTGCGACTTTCATAGTTCAGAAGGCGGATGTGAACACTTCTCCCTGCTTTTCTAACCGAGGGACTAGGACTGGGCTGTTTCTGAGCTGTCTGCTGCTCGCTGCGGTTCTGCAGCCGTCTGCTGCTCTGAGGAGTACAGTGCACTGGAAGGAAACTGTCCCTTATGAACCACTGCCCTGGCTGCAGAATGTCACAAGTGGACCAGAGGTGTTATTTTGATCCCTGTCACCTTCCCTTCCCCACCTCACGCACTCACACCCCTTCGGTCGAAGGCTATGAAACTCCTGCTCCTCCCCGCAGTCCCCTGTTGTTCCTGTCAGAGCAGAAGGTAGCCCAGTGAAGCAAAGGACAGACGACTCAGAACAGCATTGAGACCGAGTCTCTGACGAGGGCCCCTCGCCAGAGCGCAGGGATCCAGCGCCCACAGAGTGGCGAGCTCACGGAGCCTCCATCTGGACCGAGTCCTCCCCCTGTCCCCCGGGGTTATGAAAAAACCTGCCTTAGACTCTACAGTGAAGACAAGCATTTCAAGAAATAATTACCTGGAAAGACCATGCTCAACTGTGACACCTAAATAACTGTCCACCTTATCTTCACTGAACCATCCCTCTGTTTGTGGTGGCCAATGGGTTCTTAATGTGGTGTTTATCAGAAGTTCATGTTGTGATTAACTAGCCCTTCCCCAGAATAAACTCTCAGGCAGGGCACGTCTTTGGGAGGTAGGGAGTAGGTAGACTCGGGCACTCATTGAATGGATGTAGTAATCAAAGGCTCTCCTGTAATCATGCTACCTGATTTCTATGAAATGTTTTTGACAAGCCAAAATTCTAGGATGTAGAAATCTGGAAAACGCACTTCCTGGGATGAACTCCTCCAGGGATTTTTAAAAGAAATGAATTTGGGAAAGTAGCAGCATTTACTCGACTGCAAGCCTTCGCCACATGTGACTGGACTGGGCTGTCACGTGCACACTGGAGCAGCTGTTTCCGGACGTGTGTGCGTATATGCAGCACAGCACGGGAGGGCTGTACTGAAGAGCCGACATCGTGTAGCGCTGTTCAGTAGCCTGACTTCCTACGTGTACTCTTAATTGCACAAAAAGTCAATAATTTGTCACATTGGGGTTTTGAATGTTTGCTTTAAGTGTTGGCTATTTCTATGTTTTATAAACCAAAACAGAATTTCCAAAAACAATGAAGGAAACCAAAATAAATATTTCTGCATTTCATGTGAGTGAAGCCTCTGTTTTCAGGTCAGGAGTAACATTCGGGCAGCCGCCGACGTGCCCCAGCGGAGCCCCCCGTCCCAGGCCGCCCCTCCGGCACAGTCATGCTCGAGGCTCCCCGGCAGCAGGGCTGCTGGGCCGTGGAGAAGGAACGTGGTGGGAATGATGCGGACATTGTTGAGAATGCACATTCTTTGCGGGGAAACGACATTTCAGGAGATGCTGGCTGTGGTTGGTGGTCTGTGCTGGATTGGATGCTGCTGAACTTTCGTCAGTCTCTTACTGTGTTCTTACTGCTTTAGACGCAGTCCAGAGAGCAGCTGTCCTCCTCTCGTTTCTTTCCCTCTGTCCCTGTCCTACGCTGTCATTGTAGAGATTTTCTTTTCCATGGGTGTTAATCAACCCCCAGCTCATTAGATAGCCTGTGTGTGTAAACCCGTCTCCCTCTGGCCCCTTAAATCTTGGGTTTGGTGTGGTGATGTTTGCCCCTTCCTCTAAAGTCCCAGCCCCAAGCTCATCTCTCTGCTAAGGCTCTTCTTTTAGTTCTTGAGTCCTTACCTTGCCTTACCTTCCTCTTCCTCTCCTTCCCTAGTGCCTTTCCTTTTCCCTCTCCTAGCACGGAACACAGTCCTTGGGAACTAGTAGGTGTTCATTAAATGTCCTGTTTGAATGAGTACTTGAAATTTTGAACAAGATTCCTCTTTGTAATGAAGCTGACGTAAACATTGGATTTATTCTCTTTTTTAAAAAATTGTAGTAAAAAACACATACAATTTACCATCTTAATCATTTTAAGTGCACAGTTCAGTGGCATTAAGTGGGTTCATGTTGTGTGACCATCACTGCCATCCATCCACAGAGATCCTTTCCCCTTGCCAAACTGGAACTACCCATTAAGCATGAGCCTCCATGCCACCATCCCTCAGCCCTGGACAACCACCTTCTTCTGTCTCTGTGAATTTGACTACTCTAGGTACCTCACATTGTAAGAACGAGGTGGAACGCAGTGCAGGGTCTCCAGAAGTGCAGGTGTATTGGGAACCAGCCTGCCGGACTACCTCTAAGGAGAGAGTAGCAACCGGCTTGTACAGACCAGGGATATTTAAATTTAGGGCTGGGGAGGTGGTTGTTCAGCCGAGGAGACATGGTCATCTTTGATTGGTCGGACCTGGGTCTCCCAAGTTCTTGATTGGTGGGGAGCTGGGGTCTACTGAAACTTGTTTTTCTTGTCCAGTGACCATTTGCAGCCTTGGGTGGGTTAGGGTGGTTCCATCATTCTGTTCCTCCTGACTGGAATGATGGGTTTTAGTTTTCTGGAATGAAAGGCTTAGGGAAAGGTTAAACGATAAGAGTGATGGGTTTTGGTTTCTTGGAATGAGAGGTTTAGGGCAGTAATATGGAAGTTAAGAGCTAACACACATAAGTGGGATCATTCAGTATTTGTCTTCTGGGACTGGTTTATTTCACTCAGCACAGTGTCCTCAACGTCCATCCATGTAGCATGTGCCAGAATTTCCTTTTTTTAAGGCTGAATAATATTCCATTGAGTGTGTATACCACATTTTGTTGATCCATTCATCTGCTACAGACACTGGGCTGCTCCTGCCTTTCAGGTATAATGACTAATGCTGCTGTGAACATGGGCACACCGGTACCCATTCAGTCCGTGCTTCCATCTCTGCTGGGTGTATGCCCGAAGTAGAATTGCTGTAGCATACGGTCATTCTGTGTTTCAGTTTTTTTGAGGAACTGCTATACTGTTTTTCATTGGCTGCACCATTTTACATCAGCAGTGCACTAGGGTCTCAATTTCTGTATATCCTCGCTATTACTTGGTTTCTGGATTGTTGTGGTTGTTTATATACATATATATGTGTATATAATATATATATGTACACATACACACATATATACAATAGTCATCTTAATGGCTTTACAGTGGTATCTTGTGGTTTTGATTTGCATTTTCCTGGTGACTAATAAGGTTGAACATCCTTTCATCTGGTCATCTGTATGTCTTCTTTATGTCTGTCAAAGTACTTTGCCCATGGGTTGTTTTTGATCTATAGGAGTTCTTTATATATTATGAATATTAATCCCTAAACACTTCAATTTTTAACTTCCATTGTACACTGTTGGGGGGCAGAGCCTGCTCAACTCCAGTAGATGCATGATGGTGGTCCTCCATCCCACAAACTGAACCTGCACCTCCAGAGCCCAGTGATCTCTGTCCGAAACCCTTCTCTCCGGCCAGGACAGAAAGGGCGGGCTGTATGCGAAGCTCCTTCCAGTAACTGCCTTTCCGTGGCTCCTGAGACAGCCTGAGCCCTGAGGCCCCGGTGGGAAGTGCTGATCTAGCTGTAGCCACCCTGCTGCCCCAGCTCATGTCACCCCTCCCTGCAGGCCCAGCTAGACACACCCTCACTATCTAAACTCGAAAAACAGTCAGACTTTCAGTATATTTGTTTGGCATTTGGTAGTTACGTATTTTAGCCCCACACTCAGTTTGTAGGTTACTTGGAATAATACTAAGAGCTAAAATGCGTCGAGTTGCTAGGTGCCAGGCACTGTTCCTAGCGTTTTGCACAGAGGACCCATTGAATGCTTGCAGGCCTTCAAGCCAAATGCAACCCTGTCCCATGTTGCAGGTGAGGAAATCGAAGCATGCAAATGGTCTGGTCAGTGTTGTGCCAGACAGAGCTGGAGCCGGCAGCCTGGCTGTGGCCGCTGAGCTCTCCACCTCAGCCTTTGGCAGGGAACTTCTGAGAGCGTGGCACTGATTGCTTCTTGGTGCCAGCAGTTCTGCCTAAGCTTCGGTACAGGTGGTTTTGAGTCCTGTCTGAAGGTTTTTCTTCATCCTGGCAGGGCTGAGACCCCCCCCTTCATGGACTTTTTAGTCCAGTTTTATGGATTATCAAAAGTTAAATATGGTTGCTCTCTGTGATGTTTGTGATCCCAGATCCATTAAGGACCAAAACTTGGGTAGGATCCGCTGCTCTGTTTTAGGAGGAGAATAGGTGTAAAGCTGGGTGGCAAACACATGCAGGTTCACGAGCTCCCGTGATGTTCTCGGGGTCGTCCGCTGCGGAGGTAGCGATGGGCAGGGATTGCGGAGGTGCCGGGCAGGCTACCCTGCGTCCTTGACTTGGTTCTCATTTCATTCTCGCGAAACCCTGATGGGCACTGGACACCTGGGCAGGCGGTCAAGGGGGGCCCCAAACAGAGCCCTATCAGGCATGCTTGATATTTGAATGGCAGTTAAAGAAGGAGCTGGCGACGAGAGTTGAGAACTTCCTCCCATGGAGAAAGGTGGGAAACCAAGACTGATCTCCCTGAAGCCAAGAGAGGCAAGTGCTCGAGAAGAGGAGGGGTCAGTCATGTCACAGGTGAAAGTGGAATCAGGTGGGGACAGCAATGGCGGCTGGGTGCAGCCGTGGTGGCCACAGTGCCCCGGCAGAGGAGGGAGACCAGAGCTGTGTGGACCAGCGGAGGCGTGAACTGGGGAGTCGAGAGAAGGGTGGACAGCTCTTTTTTGAAGTTTTAGCATGAAAGAAAGTAGATGAAAGGATGGTACCTGGAGAAAGTTGGGTTGTTGAGAGGGTTGCTTTTGTTTGCTGGTGGTGCCAGTTTTTAAGACAGGAGATAGTAGGTACCAGAGCATAAGGATGAGCCCATGAGAATGGTGGGGGGCGGCGGGGAGAGGGTGCAGGAAAGGGGAAAACTGATGTCTTGAGGGGATGGGAGGGTTGAAATCCCAGGCAGGTGCAGAGTCCACCATCGGGCGCTCCTTCCTCCATCAGTGTGGGGGGACGTAGAGAATGAGGGGCCATGTGAGTAGAGATGTAAGGAGACCATGGGACTGGTGGAAGCATTAGGGAGCCTTGCCTTTCCCCCACGGAAGTATAGGTTCCTGTCATGCACGAGGAAGTGGAGCCTGAGAGCTCAGCTCCGGGTTCCTGGTAAGCGCAGGCTCTGACTCCAGGGCCTCTCCGCGCCCGGGGCGCTGTTGGCGTCCCTTCCTCTCCAAGGTGCGGTGCCTCCTGCCCTGAGCCCGCTGAACGACCACTCACGGAGGCAGGTGCATTCTCTTCATTAGCCAGTTCTCAGGGGCAGCCAAACCCTCCACCGTTTAAGTCACGTCACAAGGTGGAGGACAGTAGGTGCTTCAGACCCTGGATTTCCTTTGTGTGTCTTCATCCAGATCTCCAGCGCTTGTTTTTCATGCCAGCAGGTCCCCAGTTGCTGGGTGCAGCAGGTGGCCTGAGGGCAGAAGGCCTGGCAGCCCCTTGAGAGGTGAAGGTGGTGGGTCTGCTGGAGGAGCAGACTGGAGCGCCGCTCCCATCCCTCAGCCCCCAGCCCCCCCATGTTTCTGCGGAAAGTGGTTGGACACAGAGTCTCACCACGGGGGACACTCCTGAGGTTTCCAGGACAGGGCAGACCCCCCCCCCATCCCCGTCTGCTTCAGTGCTCAGGTTAGCTGGCCTGCAGCTCAGCCCCAGGAGGGACCCATGCCCCACCCAGCTTCCTCTCCCCGTGTCCTGGAGCAGATGCCCACATCTGTGTCCGTGTGGAACTCACTTCTTCACTCAACACGGGTACTTGGAAAATTGACCCTGTTACCCACTATCTGCATATTTAGCATAAAAAGAAATTCCGATTTTCCCTTCTGCCTTTTAACCCCATTGCCCCGAGTTGCTGGGATGGGGGTTCTCGCTGGGCGCGTTCTGCATCCAGCCCTGTTTGCAGGCACAGAGGGATTCTGTTCTTGGCTGGAAATGGGCGGGGCGGGTTTCTTTCACAAACCTATTGTACACACACATTATTAGCCACTCTCTTGTTGAGACTGGTAAATGGGGGTGGTGGTATTTTGGCTGTCAGATTTCTCTAACAGAAATGGCCCTTGCTAACCATTAAGGCTGCTGCATTTCCCCCAAGAACTCTGGTCTGGCTTCCTGCTTTGTATGTGGCTTGTTCGGATTGAAGGGTGAGTCAGGGAAGTGCCAGTGGTGCCCAGCTGCAGGGGTGCTTAGGCACCCAGATCGTGCAGGACACCCGTGAAGTGCAGGTGAAACCGGTTCGCTCACATTCTGCGTCAGGTGACATGTGCAGATGCAGAGGGACTCTTGTCTTTGAGAGCCTTGCTTTCCCACACCCCTGATACTGCCTCCCTCCACCCTGTCAACAGCCCTGCCCCGCCTGGCTGAGCTGTCACTGGGCCCTGACTGGGGGGAAGTTCCCGGGCTGCCCAGCGGGCTTCAGCGACCACAGCTTGCTTGAGTCTTTCTCCTGCCCTCTAGGAACTGTCCACTGCCTTCTGTCCCTTAGTCCTAAGGCCCTATCAGGGTGCAGGCCGTCTCTTGCTGGAACAACTGCACCAGTCTCTTAATTGACCTCCTTGTCTCCTACATTTGTTTCTATTAACTCACTCACTTTTCTTTCTTTCTTTATATGTTTTTATTGATTTTTTAGAGAGAGAGGAGGGGAGAGAGAGAGAAACACTGATGTGAGAGAGATACATTGACCAGCTGCCTCCTGCACGCCCCCTACTGGGGATCGAGCCTGCAACCCAGGCATATGACCTGACCAGGAATTGAACCAGGACCTCTCAGTCCATGGGATGATGCTCAGTCCACTGAGCCACACCTGCTGGGCCAACTCACTCACGTTCCCCCTGCTCTGTAGCAAGAACAATTTTTCTAAGTCCCAAGCCTTGTCTTGTGATACCCAGCTAATCATTCAGAAGTGTCCTCGTGCTCTCAAGTCCAAACCACTAATGTACTTAGAGGAGGGCTTCTCAAACTTATTGTGCCTCCCATCCACCCCAGGGGTCTTAAAATTTGGATTCTGATTCAGTAATTCTGGAACTGGGTCTGAAATGCTGCATTTCCAGTAAGCTTCCAGGTGACGCTGATGCTGCGAGGAACTGGAGGGTCCCTGTTTCTCTCCTAGCCTCATCTTCTGCTGTGTCCCCAACTCTGCTCTAGCCACACTGAGCTTCTAGCTCCCAGAATGCTCCCCGCGCACGCTCACTGCTGGGACTTTGTGCATGCTTTCTCCCAGGAGTACTCTCTTTCCCTGGCCCGGCTGGCTCCTGTTCCTTCATCTGTTATATGATAGATGTCACTTCTAGGAAGTTCTCTGATCCTCCCAGCCCAGGAAACAAAGTGCCCTGGCAGTGGTGTGAGGTGGAGGGGCAGGGTGGTAACAACCTTTCTAGGCTGTGACAAGTTCAAAGGGGAGAGTGCATGAGCCTATGAAGTACAGAGCAGCAGCTGGAGAATGGGGGGGGGGAGCTCTTGCTTCCTAGAGAAGGTTCTAGCAAGGTTTTCTGTGCCACCTGGGGTTAGGGAGGGAAACCTGTCTGACCTGAGCTTGTCTGAAGGGTCCATGTCTGATAGTCCCCCCACTACTCAGTTCTCAGCTGAGCAGAATCACTGAAGTAAGGACAGTAGTTGCCCGGAATTCCGAACAATGTCAGCTTCTCAGCTGTCGGTGTTCTCAGGTGACCCCAAAGTAGTGTCAGAGTGAGCAAGATCATTAGAAGGATGAAAACTTTTTCAGAAAGTTCTTTTCGGCCACAGCTTAAAGTGAGAATCATGGAGACTCATTTCTACTACAGCAATCTTATTCCAGGCCCCCTTCCTTCCTTATTTTCTTAAGAAAACATTTTTTTTTGGAGGGGGGTGCTGTCCTTTCATTGTATTTACTCTACTCATTTGAGTTATGAAATTACTTCCTACGCAGGATGGAAGTCAGCTATTCCTTGGCTAGAGAACTCCTGAATTGTGTTAGAATGTTCCTGCCAATGTCCCTGCACCAGCCTCTCAGCCCTGCAGGGAGCTGGGAATGGAATCTGAGACATGTGACTGCATCAGATGCGGTGCTCAGACCTATTTAGCCATGTGATCTCAGCTTGGGTAGGAGCAGTGCCAGTTCGGTCTGGAAAAAGGAGAACGTTCGTTACAGAATAAATAAGTTTAGCAGTTGCTTAGAGCCAGGGAGCTGACGGAAAGCATGTGACACAGGAAGGCATCTCATGTCACTGCCATTTGCTACAGTGGAAAAACTTTTCTGCCCTTCAACTTTAACAGACACCAAGCAAGACATCCTTTCGGAATTGTATTCCCTCCTTTCTTAAAGGGAAAACCCAAGTGCAGGTCTCCTTCTTCCTTGTCTCACCCTTGCCTGCCTGGGACGCTCTGAGTGTGTTTTGCTGCGTCATAATTACAGATGTTGAGCAGTTGGTCTGTTTAAAACAGATAACAACTTAGTTTCTTCCTGATGAAAACTGCCAATAATCTGTTGGTGCTGTAGAAAGTTAAAAAGGAAAGTTGGAAAACCTGAGAACTATTTTCTTTTTCACATGAGAAAGTCATCCTCTTTTGCTTAAGGGAAACTTACAGGCATGGGTTTGATAAATTAGGGAAGAGGAGGGACAAGAAGGGAAATTAGTTGAGCAAGGGCATTTAAGACATCTAATCTTATTAACTTGAACTGACTTTGAATTAATATTTACACTGTCTGTAAATGAGTAGCTCTGGTCTCCAAACACACGTTCAAATCTCCTGTCCCGTTCTTTATCTGCCCTCTAGTGGACACATGCCGAACAAAAACGCCAACAGAATAGCTGACTAGAAAGAACAGAGGCGCCTAAGAAATGATAAGCCCTTCTGTCTATCTAAGGGCCTCTGTAATCTTGACCTTTTCACTACAGTCCTGTAAGATAAATAAAAATATTCTCATTTATGTTCTTCTTTAAACATCAAACTAATAATTTCAAAATATGGAACTAACAGGTACATTAACCCACTCCACAGGGAAGCTATAATTCCACAAGGAAGGGTTTAGGCTCAATCATTCAGTTTATCCCAAGAATCTAAGTTGGCTTGTAGTTCTTTATATTCTGTATTTGTATTATAAAAAGAAAAGGATTTTTTCATTTTCCAAACATGGAAGTTCAACATGAAGTTAGCACATAATTTAAGCATCCCCTATGTAGATGTCCTCCAGCGTCCTGCAGTCACCTGTTTTCCACTATCTCTGAGCTCCCTCTGTGGTTGCTCACATTGCTTGAGGTGCCCCCCGGGGTCGGGAGCCTACCGCCTCCACTCCTGTGCTTCCAACACCCATCCCGACCACTCTCCCTCACTCTTCACAACCCCCAGAAATATGCCCATGTGAAGCTGAGTGTGGTGGATTAGTTTGGGGGGAAGCCATGGCCAACCTCATATTTTACGATGGTGCCTGTGTAGTGCTGCATTCTTTCCACCACCGTTAACCTTTTATAAATGTTTGCTGGGAGGCATCGATGTGGAGGGTACTTAAGTTCTGTAGGATATAGACATATATCTTATATGTGTATATTAATAAATAATGTATAATATTTTTATGTATACATTAGGAAGCGATTTATTTTATATATATGATAGATATATATCTCCTATTGGTTCTGTTTCTTGGAGAACCCTGACTAATACAGGTAGGCATGTCACCAAAGCTGGTCCAAGTAGAGTAAATCTTAGGCCTTTTCCTGGGATGCTGGAACATAGCTGCTCTTTTTCTCTGAATGGTGGAATTTAGACATGTGACTTAGAATGGCTGTCAGGTGCAAGCTGACATAAATACAGAATCCTAAGATCTAGTGCAGGCGCCTCCACTTACTACCTATGGGACTGCTCCTTAGTTTTCTCGTGTGTATAGGAGGATTATAGTACTGAACACAAAGGGTTATTGAAAGGATTAAATGCCCTAATAGAGACTAAGCACTTAGAACAATAACTGGATCATAGTAAATGCTCAACAAATTCAGATGATGATGATGATGATGATGATGATGATAGAAACTAGCCTAAGGAAAAGGCTGGCATACAGGAAGGGCAAGAAAATGGATTCAGAGCCCTGGTGGCATCACAAACCACCGGATCAAACTGAACTTGACATTTGGATATTTTATGTACAAAGAGCTAGCATTCTGCAATAAGATAGATGTCTTGAATGACCCATTCACGAAAGCTCATTTAGTCCAACTTAATGAAGCCTATGTCCTTTGTGTGCTCACGGAAACCCTGGCAGCACATACTAAGGCCGTATTTCCAGATCAGACCCTGTTGGTTTGAGCAGACAAGGCAAGAACAAGAACCCTGGCTGACTTTTTCTGCATGGCTCCAGTCTTGCTGCTGGTGACCCATCTTGCTCTCTCTGATGCAACAAGGCAAAACAGACCTCTTTTTGTCTTTTCAGACCCACAAGCACAAAAGGTTTGACTACAACCTTTCCCAGAAAAATGAAGCTGCCTATCTACTCTCTTAGGGGTGACAACCTTCATGCTCCAGGAACTCATCAGTGGGGAACTACCGTCAATGCTTCAAAGGTGATTTACTCTCCTATTCATTTGCCCCTGTGATTCTTGGATGGGATGAACAGGCATTTCGCTGAAGAAGAATCAGGAAGGACCTATAAACAATGAAAAGATGACCAACTCAAGGGAAATGCAAATTAAAAAGAATAGAATACTTTCATTCACTAGTTAGGTAAAAATTTGAAAGTCTTAAAAATTCTAAGTATCAACAAGTATATGGAGCTAAGAGGACTTTTATATACTGCTGATGAGGGTATAAATTGTAGTCTACAAAACAATGTGTAAAAATTGGCATTATCATGTATAGCTGAAAATGCCTTTAAATGATGAGGTGATACTATTACTACTGAGTATCCCCTAGAGAAACTCTTAGAGATGTATCCTGCAACACACAAGAATGTTTAGTGCTGCTCTATGGTAATGACAAAAAAGCTGAAAACAACTGCTGCATCCATACCCAGGAGAACAGATAAATAAAATGTATATTTACACTATAGTGCATTCCAAAGAATGAAAATGAATGAACTACAACTTCGTGCATCAATGTGGGTAAATCATAGCTTTGAGTAAGAAAGAGCACTTGTGGAATACATACCAAATATTTATAGGAAGTTTAATAACACAATTAAAACATTATTTAGGGCTATACCAAGCTTGGGAACGATACAGATTTATTTCCTAATCCAGTGGTGAGTATGTGGGCTCTTTTTTTTTTTTTTATGTTTACATTATGTTAGATTCTTCTGTGTGCATGAAATAATGTTAATAATTCTATTGTGGTAAAATACACATAACATAAAAGTTTAGCATTTTAACCACTTAACTGTACAATTCAGGCACTACCTAAGCACACTCATTCACACTGTTACATAGCCACCCATTGCCATCCATCTCCAGAATGTTTTCATCACCCCAAACTGTGGGTTTAACGTCAAATCCAAGAAATCATTGCTAAATCCAGTGTCGGGAAGGTTTTCTGCTAAAAGTTTCATAATTTTAGCTCTTAGGTTTAAGCCGCTGACCCATTTGAATTATTTTTATTAATGGTGTGGTGACGGTCCAGCATCATTGATGAATGAAGAAATACACCAAATTCTTGTCATTGGTTAAGGGCAGCGGACTAGATCAAACCCTGCCTACCGGGCATTGCACGACACCAGGCAACTGCGCACGCGCCTCCGCAGCAGGAGCCTCCACTCTGGGTTTGGATCCGCCTCTTTGTTCCGACGCTCCAGCACTGGGTCCTCCATACCCCGGCTTTGGAGCCTTGAAAATTGGCGCAGGGCGAGGGTAGGAGGGAAAGATCGGCAAATCTTCGGTGTCAGGATCCGAGAGCAACTAGTTGTAAGACGCGGACTCCAGCTCCACTTTTGTATTACACCAAGCCGCGTTTTCCCTCGCGCTCTAGGACGGGGCGGAGCCCTGGGACCGCCGGTAAACAAAACCCGGGGCGGGGCGTGATACGTGCGCGTGCGCTCCTCCTGATTGGCTCTTGGAGCAGCGCGGGGGTTGGCGGGAGATTTGAGGGCTCCGGGTTTGGAGAGCAGTCGCGGCCGGCATGGCCTCTCCGTGGTGGGTGCGGCCCCTGCGAGGCGCCAGGTAAGTTTGCGGTCCTGGGGCGGGGGGGACGCGCGCGCGCTCCGCAGACCGGGTTTTTCTTATTCCGGTCCTGCCTTGGTTTGTGCTTCCGAGGCGTCCTGGCTGGGCCACCCCGTTAGTTCCTCGTTGTCACTGAGGTCCTAGGTTTTCCCGTCTGTAAACTGGGAATAATAATCCCAGCCTCATAGGATTACCGGGAGCCTTAGAGGCCTTGTAGTTTAAACCGCCCGGCGCGCAGGGAACATTGTTAGCTAGTGTCAGCATTACTTTGTGCGGGAGAGTGTAGTCCAACGTAAACTCAGGTCGATTGAAACAAAATATCTAATAAATGCTAAGAAGCTGCTTCTTGCTAGACATTTTATTTTTGCGACGTTTACTCTGCTTAGTAGTCCGTGTTTTTCTTTCCAAATCCTTGCTGCTGTTGTAACTCAAACCACGGACCTTAAAGCTGAACCAAATCTCCGCGGGGTGGGGGGACCACAAAGCTGCCCCTTATTATTCTTTTATTTTTATTTTTATTTTTTGTTACAGATGTTTCTCCTTTTTTTTCCCCATTGACACCCTCCTCACCATCTCCCCCACCCCATCCCCGGCTTTGTTGTCCATGTCCATCGGTTATGCGTACATGCATGTAAGTTCTGTGGTTTATCTCTTGCCTCCCTCCACCACCCCCTCTTCTGAGGGTTGTCAGTCTGTACCCTCCTTCCACATATCTGGGTCTACCGTATTCCTCAGTCTGTTATGTTCATTATATTCCACAAATAAGTGATATCATGTGGTATTTGTCTTTCTCTGCTTAGCTTGTTTTGCTTAGGATAATACTCTCCAGGTCCCTCCATGTCGTCTCAAAGGATAAGAGATCTTTCTTTCTCACAGCTGCATAGTACTCCATTGTGTATATGTACCATAGCTTTTTTATCCATTCGTCTACTGATGGACACTCGGGCTGTTTCCAGGGTCACATGGCAATTCAATTTTTAATTTTTTGAAGTAACACCATAGTGTTTTCCATAGTGGCTGCACCAGTCTGCATTCCCACCAGCAGTGTACTAGAGTCCCCTTTTCTCCACACCCTCGCCAACACTTGTTGTTTGATGATTTGTTGATGGCGGCCATTCTGACAGGTGTGAGGTGATACCTCATTGTTGTTTTAATTTGCATCTCTCTGATGATGTTGAGCATTTCTTCATATGTCTTTTGGCCATTTGTATGTCCTGTTTGGAGAGGTGTCTATTCAGCTCCTCTGCCCATTTTTTAATTGTATTCTTTATATTCCTTTTGTTGAGTTGTATGAGCACTCTATATATTTTGGAAATTAACCCCTTATCTGATGTATCATTGGCAGTGATGCTCTCCCATACAGTGGGTTGCCTTTCTATTCTGGTGGTTGTTTCTTTTGCTGTGCAAAAGCTTTTTAGTTTGATGTAGTCCCATGTGTTCATTTTTTCCTTTGTTTCTGTTGCCTTAGGTGATGTATCAGTGAAAATTCTGCTGTGTATGATATCTGAAATTTTGTTGCCTACAGTTTCTTCTAGGATTTTTATGGATTCACGGGTCACATTTAAGTCTTTTATCCATTTTGAGTTTATTTTTGTGTATGGTGTAAGTTGATGGTCGTTTCATTTTTTTGCATGTAGCTGTCCAATTTTCCCAACACCATTTATTAAAGAGGCTGTCTTTACTCCACTGTATGCTCTTGCCTCCTTTGTCAAATATTAATTGAGCATATTGCCTTGGGTCCATTTCTGGGTTCTCTGTTCTGTTCCACTGGTCTATATGCCTGTTCTTGTGCCAGTACCAGGCTGTTTTGATTACAGTAGCTTTGTAGTATAACCTGATATCTGGTATTGTAATACTTTGTCCTTCTTTTTCAAGATTGCTGTGGCTATTCGGGGTCTGTTTTGGTACCATATGAACTTTTGAAGTATTTGTTCTAGTTCTGTGAAATATGTCATTGGTATTTTGATGGGGATTGCATTGAATCTATAGATTGCTTTGGGTAATATGGACATTTTAATGATGTTAATTCTTCCAATCCATGAACAAGGTATGTTTATATCTTCTTCTATTTCTTTTTTCAATGTCCTGTAGTTTTCTGCAAATAGGTCCTTTACTTCGTTGGTTAAGTTTATCCCTGGGTATCTTAATTTTTTTGACACATGGTAAATGGGACTGTTTTTTAAGTTTCTCTTTTTGTGAGTTCATCATTGGTGTATGAGAATGCCGTCGATTTCTTGATGTTAATTTTGTATCCTGCTACTTTGCCAAATTCATTTATTAAGTCTAGTAGATTTTTGATGGAGTCTTTAGGGTTTTCTATGTATAATATCATGTCATCTGCAAATAATGACAGTCTCACTTCCTCCTTTCCCATTTGGATCCCTTTTATTTTTACTTCATGTCTGATTGCTGTGGCTAAGACTTCCAGTACTATGTTAAATAAGAGTGGCAAAAATGGGCATCCCTGTCTTGTTCCTGTTCTTAGGAGAAATGCTTTTAATTTCTGCCCATTGAGTGTGATGTTGGCTGTAGGTCTTTCATATATGGCCTTTAGTATGTCGAGATATGATCCCTCTGTTGCCACATTGCTGAGCGTTTTTATCAGAAATGGATGCTGGATTTTGTCAAATGCTTTTTCAGCATCTATGGGTATGATCATGTGGTTTTTATTCATTTTATTTATGTGGTGTATCATATTTATTGATTTGCGAATATTGTACCAGCCTTGCATCCTTGGGATGAATCCCACTTGGTCGTGGTGAATACTTTTTTTGATGTTTTGGTGGATCCCATTTGCTAGTATTTTGTTCAGGATTTTGGTGTCTATGTTCATCAGGGATATTGGCCTGTAGTTTTCTTTCTTTGTAGTGTCTTTTTCTGGCTTTGGAATTAGAATTATGCTGGCCTCATAAAACGCGTTTGGAAGTGTTCCTTCTTCTTGAATTTCTTGAAATAGTTTGAGGAGAATGGGTATTAGTTCTTTTTTGAATTTTCAGTAAATCTCCCCCAGGAAGCCATCCGGGCCTGGGCTTTTGTTTGCTGGGAGAGTCTTGATTACATCTTCAATTTCCTTAATTGTTATTGGTCTGTTCAAGTTTACTGTCTCTTCCCGATCCAGTTTTGGGAGACTATGTATTTCTAGAAATTTGTCCATTTTGCTTAGATTGTCAAATTTGTTGCTATATAATTGTTCATAGTAGTTGTTAACGATCTTTTGTATTTCTGTGGTGTCAGTTGTTACTTCTCTTTCATTTCTGATTTTGTATATTTGGGTTCTCTATCTTTGTTTCTTGGTGAGTCTAGCTAAGGGTCCATCAATCTTGTTTATCTTTTCAAAAATAGCAGCTCTTTGTTTCATTGATCCTTTGAATTGTTTTTTTGGTCTCTATGTCATTTATTTCTGCTCTGATCATGACTGTTTCTTTCCTTCTACTTGCTCTGGGGTTTTCTTTTTGTTTGCTTTCTAGTTCTTTAAGTTGTGCGGTTAGATAGTCTATTAGAAATTTTTCTTGTTTCTTGAGGTAGGCCTGTAGTGCTATGAACTTCCCTCTCAGAACTGCTTTCACTGCATCCCATAGATTTTATGTTGTTGTGTGTTCATTTTCATTGGTTTCCAGGAAGTTTTTAATTTCTTCCTTGATCTCCTCGGTAACCCATTCATTGTTTAATAACATGCTATTTAGCCTCCGTGTGTTCAAATGTCTTTGCATGTTCTTGTTGCAATTGATTTCTAGTTTCATGCCATTGTAATCTGAGAAGATGCTTGATATGATTTCAGTCTTCTTGAACTTGTAGAGACTTAGTTTGTGCCCTAACATGTGGTCTATCTTTGAGAATGTCCCATGTGCACTTGAGAAGAATGTGAATTCTGCAGTTTTGGGGTGTAAATCTCTGTAGATATCTCTTAGATCCATTAGGTCTAGTGCTTCATTTAGAGTCTGTTTCATTGCTAATTTTTTGTCTAGAGGATCTATCCAGTGAAGTCAGCGGGGTGTTGAAGTCCCCTGCTATGATTGTATTGCTGTCGATTTCTCCTTTGAAGTCCTCCAAAAGATTTTTAATATATGTTGGTGCTCTTCTATTGGGTACATATATGTTTATCAAGGTTATATCTTCCTGTTGGATAGATCCTTTCAATATTATGTAGTGGCCTTCTCTGTCTCTAGTTATGGCCTTCATTTTGAAATCTATTTTATCATTGCTACCCCAGCTTTTTTTTCCTTTTCGTTTGCTTGGAAGATTTTTTTTCCATCCCTTCACTTTCAGCCTATGTGAGTCTTTTGTTGTGAGGTGGGTCTCTTGTAAACAACATATAGATGAGTCATGCTTTCTTATCCAATCAGCTATTTTGTGTCTTTTTATCAGAGCATCCAGTCCATTTACATTTAAGGTGATTATTGATATGTACTTATTTATTCCCATTTTTGTTTAGTGTGGTTATATTTTTCTTCCTGTTTCTTCTACTAATTACAACAGTCCTTTTAACATTTCTTGCAGTGCTGGTTTGGTGCTAATGTATTCCCTTAGCCTTTTTTTGGTCTGGGAAGCTATTTATTTGACCTTCTATTTTGAATAACAGCCTTGCTGGGTAGAGTAGTCTTAGATTCAGATACTTGTTTTTCATGACCTTGATTACTTCGTGCCATTCCCTTCTGGCCTGTAGTGTTTCTTGTGAGAAGTCAGCTGAGAGCCTTATGAGGGTTTCTTTGTAGGTAACCTGTTGCTTAGCTCTTGCTGCTTATCTCTTGTCTTTAATTGTTGGCATTTTAATTACTATGTGTCTTGGTGTGGGACTGTTTGGGTTTTTCTTACTTGGGGCTCTCTGTGCTTCTTGAACTTGAATGCCTTCTTCCTTCACCAAATTAGGGAAGTTTTCTGTCACTATTTCTTCAAATATGTTCTCTAACCCTTGCTCATTTTCTTCTTCGGGGACTCCCGTGATGTGAATATTATTACATTTCTAGTTGTCTCACAGTTCTCTTAATCTGTCTTTCTGTTTTTTAATTTTTTTTTTTCCTTTTGGTTTTCTGATTGGTTGATTTTTTTTCTACCCTGTCATCTAATTCACTGATCCTGTCCTCGACTTTCTCTACTCTGCTGTTTAGACCTTCCAATGTGTTCTTTATTTCTGATATGTCATTCTTCATTTCTTCTTGGTAGTTTTTAATTTTCAATTGGTTGATTTTCAAAGTTTCTGTCTTTACTCATGGTGTTGATGTCCTTACTCATGCTGTTAAGCTTCCTCAAGATCATGGCTCTGAGTTATAGCTCTGTTAACTTGCTTAACTGCACCTCATTTATCTCATCTTCAGTAGAGGTCTCTTGTTCTTTCATTTGGCATTTATTTCTTTATTTCACCATTTTGGCAATCTCAGTGGGCTTTGGAGCCTGCCAAATTTTCCCTGTGAGTGTTGGTGCTCTGCTGTTTGTGGCTCCCTCTACTGGGTTTGGATGAGTGTGGGAGGACCCATGTTAAACACCACTTTCAAGTCTTACTTTCCTGGGCAGAGATGTACGCCCAGGGAATGGTACAGTTATCCTCTAGCTTTTTGCCTGGAGGCTATTAGTCGCAGTTACTTGAAGAGCCTTGGGTTTTCAGTGGAATGAAAGACTACCTCAGGTGTTCAGTGTAAGGGCATTTCCCGAGGGTGGGGCAGATGGTTGTTAATGAGCCTCAGTTTGCATTTCAGTGGCCAACCTGGTGGCGTTGAATTTCCAAGGGAGGGGCCAATGGCCACTGTCCTGCGTGGCTGTAACTCAGCAAAAGCTCTGAGCGCCCTCCAAATCCCGAGTGTCCCCATACAATTCCAGTCCAGTCCGCCCTCCCTCTGCCGGAGCCCAAGGTGAGTGGCTGTGGCTGTTTTAGCCTCTGTCCTGGCTCTGCACTGGGAGCCGCTTGGGAGTGTAACTCGAAGGCGCTGCTCACAGCTAAGGGCGCTGCTGTCTGTGGGCTCCCAGCCCCCCTCTCACGCCTCAGCCACCCTACCAGGATCGAGTCAGGGTCCCTGGTTATATGGTCCTCACAGGCTGCTTTTCTGTTGCTTTTTGCCGACGATTTGTCTTTATTTTAGTTGTAATTCCAGTTTGGTCCTGGGAGATGGTCTGTGTAGCTTCCATTCACTCCGCTGCCATTTTGGAATCCTCCCCCTTTTGTTTTTCTTAAAAGGGGCACTCTAGAATGAGTTAAGCAACTAAAAACATCTTTTAATAAGGTATAGTTGGTATACGATATTATATTAGTTTCACGTGTACAACATAGTGATTGGACATTTGTGTACTTGGGATGTGATTACCACCATAAGTACAGTAACCTCTTATTTTTATCAAAAAGGGCATGTATTTAAAAATGGGTTGCAGAACTGAGTTCTGATATGTAATTTGTTGATTTTTTGGCAAATGTCCCATTACAGTGTCTGTAGCGCATTTAAAGGTTTGGTCTGTATCTGGTTAGAGGGGTCTCGGCATGCTGTGGTCGTTAAACAAGATCAGACGTTGAGTTCAACCTGGGCTGTGGGAAGACTGCCTGGGGGAGGTGGCATTTGTAGATGTGGGGTGAGGGTGGAAGGCGAGACAAGCAGAGAAGGGAGGTGGAATAAATCAAGACTACATTTCTGTGCCCGGTGGGGAATATCTGAAGACTCCTCCAAATGGAGAAAGGGATTTGAAAAATATATATAGGGTCCTTCAAGGTCAGCTGATCAGAGTTAAACTGGACTTGATAGTCCAGTGGTCAGTGTTTCTCTCATATAACATTTTATTTATATGTAATATATAACATTATTATAGATAACACTTTATGTATTTGTATATAAATATTTTTACCTTTGAGACTCATGACATCTGTTCATCCCTCCTCCCAAAATGCACTAGTGTGCATACATCAACATTTGTACATATGGTTATCCCCTCTCGCTCCTAGCTTAACACTATGTTGACCGGCAATTTTATGCAGTTCTCATGTCACCACTATTTTTTTGTAATTGGGTGTGAAAGTGAAACAATCTAAATAAACTTCAGTATACTTTATTTATACATAATGAATTTAAATGAAACTTTGTACGTATTATATTTTGTACATATTATATATTTTAGTAATTTTTTTGGTGTGGTATACTGTAAAGCAATCACCTTTAGAAATACACATTTTACAGTTCTAGTTGGATTTTTTTTTAATATCAGTGACTATTTTTTCTAAAACGTGGTCTTTAGTTGCCTTTAAAGCCTAAAAGGTGAATCAGTGTAAGGAGCTCTTTTAGAAGTATCAGAAGTGTTAGGTGCTGAGCTGCGCTCATTTGAACCAGCAGATATCCATTCCCCAGCTACTTCAAGAATATAGAATGATGTGCTGTTTTTCGAACTTCGACCCTCAGGGCAAAGAGTCACTAATATAATACGGTCGTCCCTCGTTTATCGCGGCTACTCAGTTCCAGGCTCTAGTGGTCGCACCTGGCGCTGAAGGATTTCTGGGGTGCTTGAGTACATAGGCCTACAGTCCATACGTACAGTAATTTTAATTTTTTTTTTTTTTATCCTCACCCGAGGACATTTTTCCATTTTTTGTTCAGGTAGAGTGGGGGGGAGAGAGAGGAACAGAGAGAGAGAGAGAAACATCAATGCGAAAGGGACACATCGAGTGGCTGCCACCCGCACAACCGACCAGGGCCGGGGACAAACTGCAACCGAGGTACATGCCCTTAGCGGGAACCGAACCCGGGTCTCTCAGGACCGCAGGCCAACGCTCTAACCGCTGAGCCAAACTGGCCAGGGCAGTAATTTTAATTTTAATTGTAATACAGGGGTGTATAATTGACTCAGACAACTGAGCGTGCGCTGTATCATTTTTACTGTATCAACTTTTTAATGACTATTTTTGAAAAAATTGCGATAGAGTGAAGCCGTGAAGTCGAAGCGCGCAGTGGTGAGGGATGGCTGTAATCCTTTATTACCCTGAGTTTCAAAAATTGAAGTAGCTAATGCAAGTACAAACATGAGTTAACTCATGAGTGGTCAACACTCTTAAGGTAAGAAGGAAACAGTAATTTTTTTTTTTTTTTTTTTTACCATAGTGAAGGCTAGAGACAGTGGAAAGAGCTTAGGTTAAGAATTTATGCATCTAGCTTCTAGTTCTTTTTCTGTTACTTGGCTGTGTGACCATTTAACTCTTCTGCACCCCAAAATCATAAATGTCATAAAGTGGTTACCTGTTCTGTCTTCAAGCCTGAGAATCAAATAAAGCAGTGGTTGTCCAGGTGGTGTTCCTTTACCAGCAGCATGGGCAGCACCTGGAACTTGTTAGAGAGGCAGATCTCAGACCCCATCCCAGACTTTCGGAGTCAGACACTCGGGCAGTCAGACACTCGGGCAGTGGGGCCTAGCCAGCCCTCAGGTGATTCTGGTGCTGGAAGCTTGAGAACCACAGCTTTAAACAGTTCTCCAACTTCTTGTTTACTGTGATTAATAGTTACGATGTTTAAATCACAACTAGTACATAACGTGCACATACATAACAAAAGGGTTATGAACATACTGTGCCTAGTGCACTCTTATATTCTCCTGACTAGGCCCTTTACTAGAAAAGAAACACAAGTATTTAGGGCTAAAGCCACACAGCATCTTCACCAGTTTACCATACACATACACACAGAGGAAGCAAATGAGACACAATGTAAACAAGTGTGAACCTGGGCAATGGGTATGCAGAGGTCCGTACACTATTTTTGTCACTTTTCTGGAACTTTGAAATTCTATCAAATAAAAAGTTACTCAAAGAAATACTTGTTCAGACACACTAAACTGAGTTTGCTGTCCCCAACTGGGTGTCTGCATGGCATGTCTTCAAGTCAGGGACTGTGAGTATTGTACCCGAGCACCCCTGTGTCCTGAACAATGCCCAGTGCACAGAAGACCCTCAGTACATATTTACTGACAATACTATTTCCCGCCTTTTTCATTTCTAGTTTTTATTTCATTTACTATTGTTTCATTTTGTTACCTTTCAGGTTGTTGAAGATACCCAGCTTTTTCTGTTTATCCTAATGCCCAGTGGAGGGAGCCAGAAGGGGTGGAAAGAGGGCTGACTCTGGATTTGAAGTGACGCAAATTTTAATAGTTGCTTTGGGCAACTATACATGGGATTGATAAGTACTAGTGTACCTCCCTTTGGCTCTCTTGTATGGAAAAAATCAGTCTTTGCTATTGATTGGGACCTCAGACACAAGGATGGCAGGACTAGGAGCTTTCCATGTTCCTGAGGGGGAGTGGATGCTATTTTATACATAGATGATGTGATTTGACCTGTAAAAAATACAATTAAATTTGTGAGATATGGGTTCTGTTTTCTAAAATGATTTTGCTATAACCTGAATTTCACTGGGTACACACCATCAGTGCAATTAATGAGGAATATAATTTGGAAAGAAAGTGCTTGAAAGGGTTGCAAATTATGGTCTTTTCCCAGTTATTTTTTAAATATTTCCTAATTCTTTTGTGTGGTTTGCTCTTTAATAGTGCAAGATATTCAAAGAACACTGTAGGAAGAACATATTCCATGGAAGATGTAAGTTGTCTTTTTATATTTTAAAGTGATTTTCTCATAATTGACAATACAAATTAACCAAAATTTGGTGGGAGTCTCAGAGTTTCGTCGACTTCAGTAGGAGGGGTAAGTTTCGCAGACTGGGTAAGCTCAGCGTTTGTTGTGGTGACAGTGTATTCCTCTTCCTCCCGCTTTGTCCAGTATAATGGAGGAAATTGTTAACACTGTAAATCTTTTCCTCCGGACCTAGCTTAGTTTTATTTTCATTCAGATAGCTGACATTATTTTAAAAGTGTACAACTTTCGCCCTGGCCAGTTTGGCTCAGCGGTTAGAGCGTCGGCCTGCGGTCTGGAGAGACCCGGGTTCGGTTCCCGCTAAGGGCACGTACTTCGGTTGCAGTTTGTCCCCGGCCCTGGTTGGTCGTGCGGGTGGCAGCCACTCAATGTGTCCCTTCACGTCGATGTTTCTCTCTCTCTCTCCCTCCCACTCTATCTGTACAAAAAATGGAAAAATATCCTCGGGTGAGGATAAAAAAATAAAATAAAACTTTCTGTATGTCGCTATTTTCATTTATAGCCATTTCTCTATATTATTATAGTTTTAAACAATTGTTTATGACTTCACAATATTCCATTTAGTCCACACTGTAGTTTTACTTTAGGATAGAGTCATAGAATAAATCTGTGTTCAAGGCAGGGGCATTTCTTTAACTCTCTTTTTTTTTTTAATCCTCACCTGAGGATATTTTTCTATCTTATCTTCAGATAGAGTGGGAGATAGGGAGGGAGGAAGGGAGGGAGAGAGGGAGGGAGGGGGAAAGAGAGAGAGAGAGAAAACATCAATGTGAGAGGGACACATTGATGTGAGAGGGCCAGTTGCCTCCCACACGACCCCAACCAGGGCCAGGGACGTATTACAGCCAAGGTACATGCCCTTGACCGGAATTGAACCCACGATTCTTTGGTCCGTGGGCCGCTCTTAACTGCTAAGCCAAATTGGCCAGGGCTCTTTAACACTCTTGATAGCCAATTTCAAATTACCTTCCAGGGTTCATCCCTTTGGCATTGGCAGTTCACCTGAAGACATAGGAACAGTGTAGGAGGGTGCCCACTTTCTGTGTGCCAGGTCAGGGAGTCCTCTCTGCTCTCTGTCCCACCCTGGTTGTCTGTCCTGTGTGGTCTCTCCTGCCTGCTGCCCTGATGTCCGCTTTCGGAGGGTGGCTCTTCTGCTGCAGGATGCCCCTGCAGGGTCCCTCAGCTCTGGGCCCCCCTGGCCCCAGGGTGCTTGGGTAGATTTCTCTCAGCTCTCTCCCTGGGTGGCCAAAGTCAGAGTGCCTGGGATGGATTTTTTCAGCTCTCCTGCTCTCTCGTCCTGTGGAAGGCAGTTGTGTCCTGAGGGCCCATTGCCTCTGGAGGATGAAGGTGCTGTCGGTGCCTCTTCCTGGGCATTCCACCCCAAACACCCCGTGAATAATTTTTCAGTGGGGGTCTGTCAGTGGTAAAGTTTTTTTTGCCAGTTTTATTCCATCTTCTTTATATCTTCCAGAACGTCCTCTAGTAATCGCACCTTCCACATTTTCCAGAGCTACTATGGAAGTTTTTTCTCATTTCTCTAGGTTTTGGTCTTTCCTGAGGATTTGGGGTAGCAAACTTCATGGGGCTTATTAGTATATTGAACTGCAAAGCCTGGTCTCTCTGCTTTAATCAGGAATTTCCAACTCTGTGTATCCTCAGAACTGCTGAGGACCTTTCAGACCTGTAGTCGCGTTCTGGGTAGAGTCCCATCGCTTTCCATAGACCAGGAGCTGGCAAACTATGGTCCATGGGCCCAGTCTAGTCTGTCCCCCACTTTTGGATAGCCCTTCAAGCTAAGAATAGTTTTTACGTTTTTAAATAGTTGAAATAAAATTGAAAGAAAAATATCTTAACACGTGAAATGGTATGAAATTCAAATTTCAATGCCCATAGTACAGCTTTACTGCAGCACAGCCATGCCTATTCTTTCTGCACCGTCCCCGTGTGCTCTCACACTGACGCTGAGCTGAGCCTGCTACAGGGACCCTGTGGTCTTCGAAGCCTAATTTGTCAAGATCGCTTCTTTAGGCAGCAGTGATGGCAGGGGTGTCCTTTATAGGAATGTTTGATCAGTTTTGTGACATTCTTGTTTTTTAAAGCCAATTCAATGACTTTGCCTTTGTTCACTTTTAGAAAGCCAGCCAACTGCACAAGCCCATTCACGTGTATGATTTTTCTGATAATTCTGATATCTCAAGCGTGGGCAGGATGAATGAAAATGAGAAAGATGAAGACTCTTATGAATCCTTTGGTTAGTATTTCAGATCTTTATCCTAAAAACTTTAAAGTAGTTTAAGCAACAAAATTAAGGCTAGTTGCTAACAAAAATATAGAAATATCTTCAAATATAAAACTCACTTGTCTGCATATGAATGTGTTCTGGGGAGTTCTTGATAATTTGAATGAACTTTTCTCACTTTTGAGTACACTGGAACTAAGAACTCTATTAAACATTACCAAAGTAGAACTCTTCTAACATTTATTAACAGGCCAGTCTTATGGTGACAGCTATTATAGATACAATGTTTGTAACAAGAATATAAAATATGTTTCTCACTCCATACCACCAGTAAGGGGCTTGAATTAGGGAGAAGAGGGGTAATTTTCCCTTTTCTTAAACACACTGAAGCAAAGGATGCCTCAGGAGACCAGTGAGGAGCCTCACCTGTGTCCAGGGGGAGACGGGCTAGCTCCTGGCTGCCCGACCAGCAGTGTGTCCGAGCGGGGCTGCTTCTGTCCATGCCACTGACCACTCCGGAGGCCAGAAGCAGGCGACACAGAGGGGCCCAATTGCCGCACCTCGAGAACAGCAGTGGTCACACATTTTTGCTGGAATAATTTCTAAGGGAATTTTGAAAACCAAAACTCACATATTTTAAATTTGGTATCAATATTTTTCAGCCTTAATTTTCTGTTAATAAAAGAAAATGCTGTTCATTTTATAAGATGGAAAGTAATCATTACCGGAACACATCTTTTATTATGACTTGATAAAAATGTATTAATTATTTATCTAAAAATCTTTATGTAAAAGATCTGAATCTAAAAGAAATTACATAATTTAAAAAATTAAGATGTAATTCACTTACCCTAAAATTCACCCTTTCAACATGTGTGATTCAGTGGTGGTGTAGTGTAGTCACAAAATTGACAACCATCATTGGGTGGTCACTTCATAAGTTGTATAAATGTCTAATCACAATGTTGTACACCTGAAACGAATATTGTATGTCAACTGTAATTAAAATGTTTTTAAAAACTGTACAACACCATTATCTATTCCAGAACATTTTAATCACCCTACAAAGAAACTTTGTACCTATTAGGAATCATTCTCCACTCCTCCTCCTTCCCAGCCCCTGGCAACCATAAATCTACTTCCTGTCTCTGTGGACTTGCCCATTCATACAAATGCATTTGTACATACTATGTGGTCATTTGTGACTGGCTTCTTTCACTTAGTGCAGTATTTTCAAGCTACACTTAATGTTGTAGTAAGTATCAATCTGCCATTCCTAAAAATGTTTATAGCTCAATAATCTATTGTTTGGCTATACCTCCTTTTGTTTTTCATTCATCATTTAGTCATTTAGTGCCCATACATTGGGCTGTTTTTACTTTTTGGCCATTATGAGTTATTCTGTGAACGTTCATGCACAGGTTTTTGTATGACCTGTTTTCGTTTCTCATGGATATTCCCCTGAGAATGGCATTGCTAAGTCATGTGGTAGTTCTACTTCAGCTTTTTGAGGAGCTTGTTTTACAAAGCAGCTGCTCCACTTGACATTCCCACCAGCAGTGTCTAAGGGCTCCAGTTTCTCCACGTCTTTGCCAATACTTCTTATTATCTGACTCTCTTATTCTAGCCATCCTATTGGGTGTAAGGTGGTACCTCATTGTGTTTGTGCAATAAAATATATAAAACATAAAAATTTACCATTTTTAACCCTTTTTAAGTGTTCGGGTCTATGGCATTAAGTACTTCCACTTTGTTATGTAAACATCGTCACCATCTATCTCCAGAACTTTTTTGTGTCCCCTAACTGAACCTCCATTCCCATTAAACAACATCTCCTCATTCCCCACTCCCCCAGCCCAGCTTTTTGTTTGTATAAATTTGACTACTTTAGGTACCTCATATGAGAGAAATTGTACAGTGTTTGTTCTTTTGTGTGCTTTTTTCCTCGCTCAGCATTATGTCGTCAAGTTTCAGCCACATTATAGCATGAGTTAGTGTGGCTCAGTGGTTGAGCGTTGACCCATGAAACAAGAGGTTGCCAGTTCGATTCCTGGTCAGGACTTGCCCAGGTTGTGGGCCTGATCCCCAGTGGGGGGCATGCAGGAGGCAGACAATCGATGTTCTCTCTCATTGATGTTTCTCTCTCTCCTCCTCCCTTCCTCTCTCTCTCTAAAGTCAATAAAGAAAAAGAAACTACAACTAAAAGCATGTGCTCTCCTTGTCCACGATGGACAAGAGAAGACCTGCCAAGCTTCTGCCTATGAGAGATATAGATATAGATATATTGATGAGAGAGAACATTGATTGGCCACCTCCTGCATGCCCCCCACTGGGAATTAGGCCCACAGCCTGGGCATGTGCCCTGACTGGAAATCGAACTTGAGACCTCTTAGTGCAATGGGTCGATGCTCAACTACTGAGCCACACTGGCCAGGCAAAGGTTAAGTTTTTATGCTAGCCAAAGGCTCTAGCAATGCAGAGTCTAGTAGAGAGGAGGGGAAGTGAGGGAGGACTGGAATCCCTCACAAAGGGCCATTCATTTACAAATATTGAGTGCCCACCCTGAGCTCTGGGCACTTAACTGGGCAGTGGAGTCGTGGTAATATGCCAAGCACGCCAAGCCTTAGAGTTGATGATTAATGCAGTGAGCGTGACACTCCATCAGGGAGAAAAGAGAATGTCAGGCTTCCTATTTATAGTTATCTTTTATCAGAACATTTTCATGCAAGTACTAAAATACAGTTTACAACTGATAAATACCCACTGATTTGTATTTATTAGTGAAATGGTTTAAATTTTTCATTGTTGAGATGTGAGATCAAAAACATTTGGGAAGTAAATTGTGTAATTGATTTTGATTTTGTTAGCCATTTTAAACAAAAATTACTTTGTACTCCATTGTAAAGGAGCAAACTTAAATCTGCCCAGTCAGACTTTAAAGTTGTACTTCTAAAAAATCTTTTGTAGAACCTCCTTTACACAGCACTGCTATATATACTGATGAAGTCGAGCTCTCCAGACACTGCGGATCGTTTCTCCCTTCAACTCCTCCAGGGAAAGACGCAAAAAGAAGGTATGCTTATATTTCAAGCAAGTGTTTATTTCATTCATGGTTCATGGGATTTCTGGGAAGCTTTTAAAGATAGAACCTTATTTTTTAAAATAGATTTAATAAAAACATTTTTAAAAAACTTTTAAAAGATGTCTTGGGTCAAATTAGGTCTTTCCTTAAGAGAACTGGTACATAAAAACTTAATTTTAAAAAAATTGACATGGCCCTGGCTGGTTTGGCTCAGCGGTTAGAGCATCCACCTGCGGTCGAGAGAGACCCGGGTTCGGTTCCCACTAAGGGCGCGTACCTTGGTTGCAGTTTGTCCCCAGCCCTGGTTGGGTTGTGTGGGTGGCAGCCACTCGATGTGTCCCTTTCACGTCGATGTTTCTCTCTGTCTCTCTCCCTCCTAATCTGAACAAAAAATAGAAAAATGTCCTTGGGTGAGGATAAAAAAAAAAAAAAAAATTGACATGACTTATAATAATTAACTATAGGTACAAATATTCAGTTATTAGAAAACAAGTCATGGGGATATAATGTATATCATGGTGAACTAGTTAATAATACTGTGTTGCATAGGCTAAGAGAGTAGATCTTAATTAAAAGTTCTTGTCATAAGAAAAGAATTATGTATGGTGATAGATGTTAACTAAAACTCATTTTGTAATATTTACAAATATGTAATCATTGTACACCGAAACTAATGTTATGTCAGTTATGCCTCAAAAAAAAAAAAAAGTCTAATTTAATAACCAAAAAATATAACTGACACCTGATTATCCTAGAAAACATTGCCTGTGAAGGTGGTTTAACTTTGAAGTAAACCAAGAAGGGAGGGAGTGGTTTTATTAACAGAATTTTAGGTGATTTTCAGAGGTTTCTTGAACTTACAAATTCTCTATCACAAAAGAGATGTTCTGTAGTACCAGGGGGGAGCAGGGGAGACAGGCTGGTAATTACAAAGGAAATACAAAGTCTCTTATATTTCAGATGTGTTGTCCCCAAGGAGCATTGTTTTGAGCTGTGCAGCTTTATATGAAGGCATGGTCAGGGAAAGGAGGTAAAAATGACTCCATAGAGACGGCTGGAGAACAAATTATTTAATGAGAAACTCTTCAGTAACTAGTACTAATTATAACTTACTAGCTAGAGCCAATCCTTGCCTTAAGGACCTCTGTTAGGTAATAGGTCAGTTCTAGTTATTGAATATATTGTGAAAGTAACAAAACTGCGTTTTAAAAATTAATATCCCACTTAGGCAGAAATCTAAATTGGGAAGTCTATCTGAGGTTATCTGCAGGAAGCAAGTTTTATAGGGCTTGTGGAGACTTCAGTTTTTCTGTTACTGAAAATTAATAATAAAAGCCAAACATTTGGAAGAACACACACTTCATTTTAAACAGTAGTGAATATAATTTTTAAGGAGGAAATTTTTTTAAAAGGTAACACATTCACATTGTTTAAAAATATTAAAAGGTTTTTGGCTCATCTCTACCATCACCCAGCTCCTGCACCCACTTCTTCCCTCTCCTCATTATTGATTTCTTACATGTCTTTTCAGACTTCTTTGTGCATATGAAAGTAAGTAAGAATACTTATTTTTAACCTTTCTTATACAGAAAAGGCTGTATACCTTGCTACTTACCTTTTTCACTTACTGCATCTTGGAACTTGTACATATCAGTACATAAGGGCCTCTCTCACTCTTCTCTTCACCTGCAGGTGTCCCCGCCCGTGGGTAGTTGATGTACTCGGTGCTGGCACCAAGTCCTGCAGTCAGTGACCTGTCCACGTGCCAGATTACACACTTCCTGTTTCTCAATAGCACTTTTCATTATGGAAATTCTGGGTCAAATCACGCTTGTGTTAATTTTTATAGTTACCACATTGCCACCACAGTGATATCAAACGTTAATTTTTGCTAAGATGACAGTAGGTCTCAGTCTAGTTCTAATTTGTGTTTTTCTTAAGATGGAGTTGAGAATCTCTTCATATGTTTAAAAGCTCTTGAATTTTCTTTCTGCAAACTATATTCTCTTTCCATTTTTTCCAGTAGATGTTGGTCATTTTCTACTTGATTTCTACGACTTAATTTATATATTAGTGAAATTAACCTTATTTAATAGATTCTTTTTACTAGTTTGTTCATCTGTCTTTTGGCAAACACCTAATGGTGTTTGTTTGTTTTTTTACCACACATTTTTTTTCTTTTTCTATAGATACATTGATACTTGTATCAATTTCTTCTTCTAGGGTTTAGGGATTTTTTTTTTTTTTTTTTTTATCCTCACCCGAGGACATTCTTCCATTTTTTATGTTCAGATAGAGTGGGAGGGAGAGAGAGGAAGAGAGAGAGAAACATCGCCGTGAAAAGGACACATTGAGTGGCTGCCACCCGCACGACCAACCAGGGCCGGGACAAACTACAACCGAGGTTCGTGCTCTTAGCGGGAACCGTACCTGGGTCTCTCTGGACCGCAGGCGGACGCTCTAACCACTGTGAAAAAACCGGCCAGGGCTAGGGTTTAGCGATTTTGATTCATAGGCAATTATTTCCTTTCATAGAACTTTTATGATTTATTTATATTTTGAAGTCTTTGGCCCTGGCCGGTTTGGCTCAGCGGTTGGAGCGTCGGCCTGCAGTACAGAGAGACCCGGGTTCGGTTCCCGCTAAGGGCATGTACCTCGGTTGCAGTTTGTCCCCGGCCCTGGTTGGTCGTGCAGGTGGCAGCCACTCGATGTGTCCCTTCACATCGATGTTTCTCTCTCTCTCTCCCCCTCTCTCTCCCTCCCGCTCTATCTGAACAAAAAATGGAAAAATGTCCTCGGGTAAGGATAAAAAATAAAAAATATATATATTTTGAAGTCTTTGATCCCTTCTATTCTTTTGTAAAGTATAGACCCAACTTTTTTCTTTTTTCTAGTGGCTGCTCAGTTTTCTCAGTACCATTTATCTAATTGTTCTGGTTTGGGATGTCACCTTTCTTATATTCTAAATTCCATGTGCACTTGGGTCTGTTTCTAGAATTTGTTCAGTGTTGGTGGTTTTCTGTCTAGTTGTGCTCCATGGTCTTTGTCCTTACTGATGCTTTGTGATCTATTTGAAGTATCTGGTGGTGCTAGTTGCCCCTCATTGATCTTTACAGTTTTCTTAGCTACCCTTACTTATTTATTTTTTTACATGAACTTTAAGATCAACTTGTTAAAAGCAAAAAAAAAAAAAAAAAAAAATCATTACTGTCTTTATTGGTTTGAATTAAATTTATAAATTAAAAGGAATGGATCTTCTTTGTGTCCTTTAGAGCTGTTTTAACTTTTAGTCATATAGATTTTGTACACTTAAGTTTATTCCAAGGCAACTTATCTATTTTTGGTTTGTATTTGGTGATTATTATAAATGAGGTCTTTTCTAAGATTTTTTTCTTATGTGGTGTGCTTAATTGTATATATAAAAGCAATGAATTTCTTACATTAATATTTTACTATTAGGAATCTTGAATCCAATTTTATAAATTAAATATTTAATGTGTATCAGATAGTATGCTAGATAGTGGAAAATAAAGATGAAGAATAGATTATCCCTAAGGATACATCATTAAGGGTATTATTATTAATAATGAATTATAAATTTTATCAGGATTCGTCTGTTATGAGAATTATGAGTTTTTTACTCATTTTACCTATAGGAATATATTTACTACATTAAACCATCTTTGCTTCTGGGATAAAAAATAACCTATTGGTTCGACCTCCTTGCTGATCTTTAAATTTTTTTTCTTTCTTGTTTTGTTTTTTAATATAGTCTATTGATTTTTTTTTTTTTTTTAGAGAGAGATAAAAGCATGGATCAGTTGCCTCCTGCACGCCCCCTACTGGGGATCGAGCCCACAACCCCGGGCACGTGCCCTGCCTGAGAATGGAACCAGGACTTCTCAGTCCATGGGATGACACTCAGTCCACTGAGCCACACTGGCCCGGCTCTTTTTCTGTTTTGAATAAGTTTTTACTTAATATTTTATTTTGTCCTGCATTTTTAAACTTTGTGTCATTTTGTTTGGGGTGTGTCTCTGGAAAGAAAATTGTGTTGAAGTAATGCTGTTTGGCTTCTTTTTAAAAATGTTTTATTTATATTTTATTTTCATAAGAACACTTAACATGAGATTTATTCTCTTAACAGATCTGTAAGTATACAGTATAGTTTGTAACTATAGGTACAGTGATGTTCAGCAGATCCTTAGAGCTGACTCATCTGGCTTCACTGAAACTTTGTGCTGCTTGGTTAGGAACTCCCAGGTCCCCAGCCCTTGGGAACCACCATTCTATTCTTTGCTTCTGTGAATTTCCCTGTTTTGGATCCCTCAGATAGGTGAAATCATGCAGTATTTATCTTACTGTGACTGGCTTATTTCACTTAGGATCATGTCAGCTTCAAATTCTTTTTTGGTTAATCCTCACCTAAGGATATTTTTCCATTGATTTTTTAGATAGAGTGGAAGGGAAGTGGGGAGAGAGAGAAACATCGATGGGAGAGAGACACATCAATTGGTTACCTCCTGCATGACCCCATTTAGGGCCAAGGATCAAACCTACAACCCAGGTTACATGCCCTTGACTGGGAATCGAACCTGTGACACTTGGATCCGTGGGGCGCTCTACCCACTGAGCAAAACTGGTCAGGGCTCAACTTGCAGTTCTTAAATGTGCATTACCTGAGGGCCTTTGCCTATACCAGTCCCTGCGCCTGGATTGGTCTTCCTGTGTGTATCCATATGGCTTGCTCCTGTGCTTCCTTTAGGTTTCAAGTGTCTCCCTACCACAGCAGTCTAATAATTCATAGGAAATATCACCTTTCTTCATCAATATATTCTTTACTGTTCTTTTTCTTATAGTATTTATCTCTTCCCAACCAATATTTTATGTTCATCTTTAAATTTGTTCATTGTCTCTCCCCAATAGGAGTATCTTTAAAAAAACAAGAATTTGTCCTGTTCACTGTAATTCTTTGGGTGCCTAGTCATGACCCTGGCCCTTGATAGGTACTCAGTGAATATTTGAATTTATTCCTTTTGCAGTGTAATGGTTAAGGTGACTGGGCCTCAGCCCATTATGCTGTTTCCAATCCTTATTCTGCCACTACTAAGTACTTGACCTTGGGCCAGACATTGCCAAAGACATTAACTTCTAGCTCCTTCATCTGGAAAATGGGATAATAATACAACCTGCCTCATATGATTGTTTTAAGATGAATTTATCCTCTCAGGCTTTTAAAACAGGTTGGCATATAGAAAACTTTGAAATGATAGCTTTTTATTACTGATATTTTTTCAACAAGCATTTATTGAGCACTGACTAGGTACCAGGCACTGTGTTAATAATGCAAAGTGCACAAATCCGTCTTCATGGAACTTATGGAACAGTAGATATGAATGAAGAATCATTGACATCACATGGGAAGGGCATGGTGCTCTGAATTGGAGTTAGGTTGGCGAAGGGTGGGGAAAAGAACATTCTATAAGAGGTGAAGAGCAGTGTATGAAGGTGGGTCCCAGTGGCACTGCAGCTGCAGGCTGTTGACCAGCTGTGGGGACGTCTGAGCAGCATACCTCAGGGGCTGTGTGGCCTCCTCTCCTGGTCTCTGCCCTACCGCTACCTTCTCTGTAGCAGTACATTCTGTCTGCAATCTGTTCAAGGTCCTTGAACATGCCGCCTGTTTCACACACCGTGCTTGACATCTACTTTTCCTTCTACCTTAAATACCCTTCCCTTTCTTTCTTTGCCTGGAAAAGTATTTTCAAAAATCAGCTCAAGTGTTAAAACTTATGATGCCTTTCCTAACCCTCAGCTATATATCCTTATCTCCTCTGTCCATTGCTTGCTGAGTCACTACTTTGCATTGACTTTGGTCTTCCCGCTACACAGTGAACCCTTTAAAGAAAGACTCTTGATCTTTAAAGTAACTTTTTTCACTGTACTCTACATTTTGAGGTTGGTGTTAAATGTTTATTGTATTGAATTGTGTGAAAAAAAGGAAAAGGCCTCATCTGTCATCAGAAGTTTAGGGTTACTTACTCCTTTTCAAAGGACAAACGAAGTATTCCCTTTTATTTCACTTAATGATGAGCCTAGTGTGCACAGATTTGCTTTTAGTACAAGTGATAGACCTGGGAGTGGTAACTTGGAAGAGGGTGCAGTTCTCAGACATGAGCACAAAGTGCTTCAGTAAGGAGGCACCTAGCACTTAGCAGTACTGCCAAGGATACGCTGATGTGACCTGGGTGTGGGATGATGTGGGCCACGACCAATAAATCTGGGAAGGCAGCAGCCACACCCATGACAAACGGGAAGTCTCATTAAACTGAGCTTATTTTCCTATTGGGCAAGCAACTCCAAGAGGACATGAATAAAAATGAAATGTGTGCAAGATATTGATGGCTTGTTCTTTGGTACAGTTCAGACACTTCTGAAATTGAAGAAGATGACAACGAGTCTATAAAAATCAGTGCAAAAAAGGTATGTAGGCGTGTTCTCTCTTCTATTTTAAGTTGTAAGATACTTCATTCCTACTTAGATTGGATGTCCGTAGAGTAAATGTTCCATAAAATATTTCATGTCCTGTTTAGATTGGACATAGATGAAAAAGTTCTGTAGTAACATTTTTCATAGAGAAAGAGTATTATGTTTTAGAAGGTACTTTTTATTTTATTTTTATTTTTTTATTTCTTTTTTAATCCTCGCCTGAGGACATTTTTTTGTTTTTTGTTCAGATGGAGTGGGAGGGTGAGAGAGGAAGAGACAGAGAGAGAAACATCGATGTGAAAGGGACACATCGAGTGGTTGCCACCCACACGACCCAACCAGGCCCGGGGACAAAGTGCGACCGAGGTACGTGCCCTTAGCGGGAACCGAACCCGGATCTCTCCAGACCGCAGGCCAATGCTCTAACCACTGAGCAAAACCGGCCAGGGCTAGAAGGTACTTTTTAAATAAAAAGTGAAATATTTTTATATTGGACGTGTTTTTCATTACAGAGGTCTCGTGTCTTTATGTACCTTGTCAGTTTTAACGTGCATATGTTTAGATTGTGATTTACAAAAGCAGAACGATGTAAGTGGGGGTGTTCGTTTGGAGCTTTCTTTAATCTAGGTTTCCTGTCCTATCCACGAATCATGTTGTCATCTCCCTGTTCCCTCTTGAAGTTTAGAAATGAGAAGTGTGGTCCTTATGGTTAGCTACCTTACAAGAAGAATGGTTATCTACTATTACAATAAGAATGATAAGCATTTGTATTTTCTAAACATGTAATGCTGTTTTCTTGACATAGCTAGGAAGAAAGCTCAAGCCAGTTAGTGATGACTCTGAAAGTTGCAGCGAAAGGGATATGATGCTAGAAGATAAACCAGCAGAGAAAGTAAGTCGCCAACAACATGAAGCTACATCATCTTCAGAACTGTCAGAGAAGTCAGCTGGATTTGGCACTCCTAAAAAGATAGGACCTGTTAGTGCCAAATCTGCTATTGAAAAAGAGACCACAGCAGCAGAAAGCCAACTGGTAAGAGAGTGTCTGCCATCCCCTTGGCAAGAAAAAATAAGTTGATTGGAAAATATTTAGGAAGAAAATAAAACATTTTCTCTCTTTCCTACAGTTTAAACATTTTATATTATTTTTTAATTTATTTTACTTTAAAAAAAGTTTTAATTGATATTTAGAGAGAGAGGAAGGGGAAGAGAGAGAGAGAGAGAGAGAAATAATCAATGTGAGTAACATCAGTCAGCTGCCTCTTGCACACCTCCTCCCCCCACAACCATAGCATGTGCCCTAACTGGAATCAAACCAGTAACCTTTTGGTGCATGGGATGACAACCAACCAACTGAGTTACACTGGCCAGTTTTTTAAAGAGACTCTTTATATCTTATTATAAATTATTTTATTATATCTTAGAGTATTTAGAAGGTATGGAGAGGAAGATAAAATATCTTACAATTCTGTCACCCACATTTGGTCTTCAGTTTTTTTTACTGAGCCTTTTTCATCCTAAATGGGACCATGTCTTGTCATTTAGTATTCTAGAATATAGTTTTAATGAATGCATGACATTTCATTCATGATAGTGCCATAGTTTAGTTACTCTCTTACTAGTGAATGGTTGCATTTAAAGAAATATTTAAGTGCTGTCACCCTGGCCAGTTTGGCTCAGTGGTTGAGCATCAGCCTGCAGGCCAGAGAGTCCCGGGTTTGGTTCCTGCTAGGGGCACGTACCACACACACACACACACACACACAAAAAAAAAATCTTTTAAGTGTTGTGATGAATTTCTAGCTAAATGTTTGTGTGCACCCTTGATCATTTAGAAAAAAAATTGCTCTAAGATTCTTGACATAAAATATCTTGATCAAGCTCTTACTATGTCTTCGCCTGCACCTCGATTTTGGCCCATTGACATGGATTTCGGACTTCTGACCTCCACAACTGGTGGAGAATACATTTCCGTTATTTTAAGGCACCAAGTTGTGGTAATTTATTAATAGCAGTTACAAGAAACTAATCCACTCTCCAAGGACATTTTCTTTTAATTATGTTGCTTTTCGGTTTTAGAATTTCCTTTTATTTCTTTTAAGTATAGTTTCTACTGAGATTCCCTATTTGATTATTAAAACCATCATTTCCCTTACTTCTTTGGACATATTCATGATAGCTGCTTTGAAGTATTTATTTCCTAAATTAGATATCCAGGCTATCTAGGGTCAGTTTTGTTTTCTGTCTTAAGTATAGGTCACAATTTTTGTGTAACATTTAATTTTGTAATTTTTTATTTTTCGAAATATGTTTTTTTAATTTTTTAGAGGGAAAGAGAGAAACATCAATCCGTGACCCCTGTACGTACTCTAACTGGAGATCCAAACACGCAACCTGGGCGTGTGCTGTGACCAGGAACCAAACTGGCGACCTTTCAGTGCATGGGAGCTAAATGAGCCACCCCGGCCAGGGCTTTTGTGTAACATTTCAAATCTGGTGCTTTCTAATCGTGTATTGGACATTGTTGTTGATCGTTTGTTGTGACTCTGAATTCTGTTAATTTCTCCTGAATAATGTTGACTTTTATTTTGGTAGACAGCTTGATTATTGGCTGATCATATTGAACTTCTCTAGGCTTGCTTTTATTCTTTGCTCGAGTCAATCTGAAAAGCCTAAGGCATTTTCCAAGCTTCTATATCTCAGTAGGACTCAATCTCTGTTTTAGTTTTCTATTGCTTCATAACAAACTAGCACAAACTGTGTGACTGAAAACAACGTACACTTGTATCTTAGTTTCTGGAGGTCAGAAGTCCAGGCTCACCTTAGTTGGATTCTCTACTCCAGGTTTTACAAGGCTGAAATCTCATCTGAGACTCAGGGCCTCATCTAAGATCATTAAAGTTGTTGGTAGAATTCAGTTTCTTGCTCTTGTAGGCCTGAGGCTCTTATTTTCTCTCTGGTTGAAGCTGGGGGTCACTCTCAGCACCTAGAGGCTGCCCTTTGGTCCTAGTCATGTGGCCCCTATATCCTCAAAGCCAGCCAGAGAATCTCTCCATCCGGCTTCAGCAGTGTCTTATACAATGTGACTTAATCAAGGCAGCTGCTATCCCATGGTGCTCACAGGTGCCACCACACTCAAGCAGAGGAAGTCTTACAAGTCACTGGGGTCATAGAATTCTGTACCACACCCTCAAGGCCCTGCTCCCAGGTGGAGCTGATCAGAGACTGGTTTGGAGTCAGAGGCTGTGTTAGGATGGGTCTTGAGTAGGCCTTAGTCTAGGGTAGTGTTTCTCAATCCTTTTTCATTATTGTCTGCTTTAGAGCCTTTTTAGACATTTTTTCTCCTAATTACTCTCTTCCCTGCCAAAATTAGATTTTAATACCACAAGTATACTGCATATCTGTTTTTGTACTTGGGTTCTTTGGAGGTTTACAGACCACTGTAATATCTAAGTTTTGTTAGCATTCCCCTAAGAATCAGTTATTGCCCTTTTGGGAACAGTAGCGCCCTGTTTGAGATTGCACGCTCTGGGGTATGGTTCCCACCCGTAAATAAGTTGTGGTTTTTCTGCTAGCTCAGCTGGATAACAGGTGTTAACTAGTTTTAATGAGGTTTGTGCATTTCTACATCTAATTTCCCCCAGCATTGCTTATCTTCTGTTACCTGTGATGTTCTTAATCCCTTGACAGCCACTGTCTAGTAAAGTGTGTAGTGTCACTCTGCAGTGTGGAGGACTTGGTCAGACCTTGGGGGGAACCCTCTTCTCTGAACAGCTCTGGTTTCTGCCTCCTGTGTGGACTGGGATTATCATGCTTTGCTGGGATTTAGCTGCTGTGCTGCTGTCTGAACATTGTCCCCAGGTGTGGGCTGGGGGGACATTCATAGGGTTCACTTTCTGAGTTTCCTGGTCGTGTTTTGCCTTTTGTCCAGTGCCAAATAAAATCGCCAACCCCGCCCTGGCTGGATCAGCTCAGCAGTTAGAGCATTGGCCCACGGGCCAGAGAGTCCCGGGTTCAGTCCCACTAAGGGCACATACCTCGGTTGCAGTTTGTCTCCGGCTCTGGTTGGGGTCATGTGGGTAGGAACCAGTCGGTGTGTCTCTCTCTTGCATTGATGTTTCTCTCTCTCTCCTCCCCCCTCTCTCCCTCCCACTCTGTCTGAAGATAAATGCAAAAAAATGTCCTCGGGTGAGGATAAAAAAAAAATTTGCCAACCCCACACTTGATAAGAAGCTGTCACTCCATCTTAACTTGGAAAATAGCCTGATTATCTTAAATAGTAAAAGTTCAACTGCCTCCAAGGCAACCATTGTTAAAAACCAGCAGAAAGGTTGTTTTTGAGGGAGTGAGGGAGACACTTTAATTCTTTTAAGTATTTCCTCATATCACTTCAGATAATTTATAGAATTAATTAATAATACATTAGAAGTAAATCTGAGAAACATAGCTAAAATAGTAACTGACAGTGTTTAATAATACTGTCTTAATCCTTTTAAGAAAAAGAAAGCTGTCCTTGCTTCGGCAGCACATATACTGAAATTGGAACGATCCAGAGAAGATTGGCATGGCCCCCGCGCAAGGATGACACGCAAATTCGTGAAGTGTGTCATATTTTTTATATGCACCCCCATGTTCATAGCAGCACTATTTACAATAGCTAAGATCTGGAAACAGCCCAAATGTCCATCAGTAGACAAATGGATAAAAAAGCTGTGGTACATATACACAATGGAATACTATGCAGCTGTAAGAAAAAAAGATCTCTTATCCTTTGAGACAACATGGAGGGACCTGGAGAGTATTATCCTAAGCGAAACAAGCCAAACAGAAAAAGACAAATATCACATGATCTCACTTATTTGTGGAATATAATGAACATAACAGTCTGAGGAATTGGGGTAGTCCCAGAGATGCGGAAGTGGGGTATAGACTGACAATCCCCAGAAGAGGGGGTGGGGAGGAGATAAACCACAGAACTTATATGCATGTGTGCATGAACAATGGACATGGACAACAAACTGGGGACAGGGTGGGGAGGGTAATGGAGGGGGTATCACTGGGGGAAAAAGGAGAAACATCTGTAACAAAAATAAATAAAAATTAAGAAATTAAAAAAAAAAGAAAAAACAGCATTTGTGGTCTTGCTTCTCAGCAATGTCTTCAGCTGGGCTCAAATAAATTCTTATAAACCGCCCCACCCCCACCAATAAAAGAAAAAGAAAAAGAAAAACTTTTCTTACATAAAATTCTTTATTGTTTCTTTTTTTGTAGAAAACTCAGAAAAAGGAAAGGATGTTTTGTGGCAAAAGAAAGAAATCAAGAAATGAAGCCAGGGACACAGGTACAGAAGAGTGATTTATGCTTTAACAATCATTTGAGAATTTTATTTTAAAATCCTGAATTCCTTTAAAGCAGTTAAAAATACGTGACTTCGGAGTAACTTTTTCCCCCCTAACACCATGAAAAATTTCAACATACAATGGTGAGAGAATTTTACAATATATATTTATATACTCACCACCTAGATTTGATTATTAAAATTTATTATATTTGCTTTGTCACCTGTCCATTAACCCATTTTAATTTTCATCATATAGAATATACTCTTTTCGTGCATCATTTAGTATGTGATCTTTTCTATAAGGTTTCCTCCACTTAGCATAACTTCTCTCAGATTCATCTATGCTATTTTGTATCACTTTTATTGACCCAAAATGTTGAAAAATGTTTCAGAAGAAAACAAAGCATTTTCTCTGTCTTTCAATTTTTTAAAAGGAGAAGTTATATGTTTTTTTTTGTTATAGAAACATTTTAGAACATTTAGAAAGTATGGAAAGTAAGATAAAATCACCCATAATTCTATCACCCCAAAATAACCACCATGTTTTTGTCTGTACTCTTTCATCTTCTTACTGGGCTTCTCTCACCCCAAATGGGATCTATTCTTATCTCAGCATGTCTTACCATATCTTAAGTATTCTATGACACTGTGTCGGAAGATATTTTGTTCAAAAATGGACTGTTGTCAGTCTGTTACTGCATATTACACAGCTGTCTAAATCAGTACTCTGAGTAGTCTTTTTGTTCTAAAGGTGGCCTGTTAGGTAGATTAAAGTTAAGAAAGTGTAGTGAACAAAGAACTCTGTGCCAGCGCTGTTAGGACTGGTAACGAAGGCACAGCAAAGTACCCAAGGCAGCAGCCAGGAGAGCCACCCGACAGCTGTGCAGAGGGACGGTATAGACGGGACTCGGAGACCCTGCACTCGGCTAGAAGTGAGTGTGTCTCCTCCCCTTGCTGCTTCAACTGGAGCTATTGTTAGCAGTTTGGTGGAGTGACTTTTTGTTGTTAATCCTCACCTGAGGGATTTTTTTCCCATTGATTTTTAGAGAGTGGAAGAAGTGAGGGGAGGGGGGAAAGAGACACATAGATTGGTTGCCTCCTGCACACAACCCGACAGGGGCCAGGGATCGAACAACCCAGGTATGTGCCCTTGATCGGGAGTCAAACCCATGAGCCTTCAGTTCGAGGGCTGATGCTCTAACCACTGAGTAACACTAGCCAGATGATTTTTGTAGGCTTGCAGAACCCTGGACTAGAACCAGATTATTAATAATCAGTATATTACATGGGCTTATCTTAATGTTCCAGATATTTCCGACTGTGAACATATTTGGTGTCTAAAAGGAAAGAAAAGCAGTGACATCATGGACTTAGATGTTGTTTTGTCAGCTTTTGAGAAAGCCTTCCCTGAGTATAAGTAAGTGTCGATTTGATGTGTGTACCTAGTAACTTCCCTGGAAGCACCACCTCTGCTTATCCCCCAGATTTTCATTACAGTATTTTCACTATTCAGTTTTACATTTCCATTGTAACTTTTCTTTAATCCTGTGAATTATTTAGTAGTTTGTTTATGTCCAAATATGTGGCTTTTTAATTTATATTTTTGTATTAACCTTCTATTTAAAATGTCATCAAATTCCATGGACCCGTGATACCTATTTTTTTTTTAATATTCAGGTTTTCTTTATGACCTAGCATGTAATCTGTGGGATTCTCTAATTAGTGTTACTGGATCCATGTAGAATCAGTAATTTTTCCTGATAGTTACATCAATTTATGATATTTATAGTTCAAGACTTTTATAAGGACATGATTTTTAAAATTGCTGTCTTGGTTGAACATTTTATCCTTCTTTGTGACTCTCTCCCTTCCTAAAAGTAGACTTTTGTCTTAAAATCAATTTTATCTGATACTAACATAGTATCAATAGATTTCTTTTGCTAGCATTTGCCAGATTTTGGCCTCTTTTTACTTTCTTTTACTTCCAACCTTTGTCTGATCTTAAACTTTTTTTTTTTTTTAACCTCACCCGAGGACATTTTTCCACTTTTTTGTTAAGATAGAGTGGGAGGTAGAAAGAGGAAGAGAGAGCGAGAGAGAGAGAAACATCTATGTGAAAGGGACACATCGAGTGGCTGCCGCCCGCACGACCAACCAGGGCCCGGGACAAACTGCAACCGAGGTACGTGCCCTTAGTGGGAACCGAACCCGGGTCTCTGAACCGCAGGCCGATGCTCTAACCGCTGAGCCAAACCGGCCAGGGCTGATCTTAAACTTTTTTACAATATCTTTTAAAATCAATTGTGAGTCCTGGCCTGTTGGTTTAGTTGGTTAGAGCGCTGTCCCAATATACCAAGGTTCTAGGTTCTCTCCTTGATCAGGGCACAAACAAGAATCAGCCAATTAATGCATAAATAAGTGGAACAACAACTCTATATTTTCTCTTTCTCACTCTTCTTCTCTCTAAAATCAGTACATAAAACAAATAAATTGAATGTGTCTGCATTTGAGTTTCAATTGTTGACTTTAGGCCATTTACATTTTATTGTAATTATCAGTATATTTGAAAGAATGGATTGATAGTTTCTTGATTCTTTAAAAAAGTTATTTTGTTCTAACTTTTGATGTTTTTAATTCTTTCTTGCTTTAAAATAGAATTAATAACTCCCCTCTAATAAGAATAGAACTTTTGCAAGGTCTCTTATCTCTTGATCTTCTCTCTTTCCTCCCATCTCAAACCCCATATGTTTATAATACCTATTTTTTTTAAGTTTTTTATATTTACATCAACGGATCTGGAATTGGTTTATTGTTTTTTAATGGTGTGAAGTAGAGGTCCAGTTTGTTTTTTTCCCAAGTGGATAACCAGTTGTTGTATTATAATTTGTTTATTTTTTTATCCTTATCCAAGGACATGCTTAGAGAGAAGAAGGGCGAGAGGGAGAGGGAGGGAGGAGTAGAGAGTGGGAGAGGGAGAGGGAGGAAGAAAAGGAGAAAGAGAAATATTGATGTGGGGGAGAAACATTGATCAGTTGCCTTTTGTACATGCCCTGACCAGGAATGCAACCAGAAACCTTTTGGTGCACTGGACCACGCTCAACCGCGTCACACTGGCCAGGGCTGATTGGAGGTTTTTGATTACTGATCCAGTCTCTTTACTAGCTTTAGGTTTCTTTAGACTTTATTTCTTTATGATTCATTCTTGGTAGGTTCTAGGTTTCTAGAAACTTAGGCGTTTCTTCGAGGATTCCCAATTTATTGGCATATAATTATTCATAGTAGCCTCTTATGATCCTTTTTATTTCTGTGGAATCAATTACAATTCTCTTTCTTTCTTTCTTTTTTTCTTTTCTTTCCTTTCTTTTCTTTCTTTTCCTCACCCGAGGACATTTTTCCATTTTTTTGTTCAGATAGAGTGCGAGGGAGAGAGAGAGAGAGAAACATCGATGTGAAAGGGACACATCGAGTGGCTGCCACCCACATGACCAACCAGGGCCGGGGACAAACTGCAACTGAGGTACGCGCCCTTAGCTGGGACCAAACCCCGGTCTTTCTGGACCGCAGGCCAATGCTCTAATCGCTGAGCCAAACAGGCCAGGGCCTTTGTTCGTTTCTGATTTTTTTTCCCCAGTCCTCACCCAAGGACCTACTTACTGATTTGAGAGAGAGACATCGAAAGGCCACCTTCCTGTACACACCCCAACCAGTGATTGAACCTCCACAACCTATGCATGTGCCCTGACTGGGAATCAAACCTGCAGCCTTTTGGCATAGGGGATGATACTCCAACCAGCCGAGCCACACTGGTCAGGCTCATTTCTGGCTTTGAGTCTTTTTTCTTAGTCTATCTAAGGATGTGTCCATTTTTTTTATCTTAAAAAACCAACTCTTAGTTTTATTTTTTTCTATTATTTCTGCTGTAATCTTTATTCTCTTCTTCTGCTAACTTTGGGGTTAGCTCTTTTTCTACTTCCTTGAGGTATAAAATTAGGTTTTTGATTTGAGATCTTGTTTAATGTAGGTAGTTAACGCTGTAGCTTCCCTCTTTAGTACTGCCCTTACGGCAGGGTTGGCACGTTTTTGTTTTTGTTTGTGTCTAATTTCCCTTGATACTTGTCTGGAATACTGCAACTTAAGTGGTTTTGGGAATGCTCATAAAGGCTTTTGGGCCTTATGTAGTTGTTAAGTCGGTTTCCCTGTGGGGAATGAAGTCTGGGGCTTCCTCTTAACCTCCTTGCTGATGTCACTAGAAATGCTTTCTTAACACGCATTTCATGATGAGAACTTATACGAAGATCTGTATTGAAAATTGAAGGCCTTCTGTTGGACATTCCTAGCTTCTAAAGAGTTAAAAGGACACTTGATAGTATCCTCTGCCCTGGCAGATGGCAGAGTGTCTGCTGCGCAGTCAGTCACTGTGCGTCTGCCACTTGCCATGAAGCCAGACTGGGAGACTGTACTCTCTTCTCTCTTGTCCCAGGGACCCGAGTCAGTTTCTTTTTGGGGTTGGCTTTGTAGTTTTTGAAGATTGGACAGCTGGCTTTTGGCTGCTTCCTTGTTGGTCAGTCCACAAGTTAATACGATTATTCCTCCAGCTGTTAGCAGGCAGGAAGGTAGGGACTGACGTCTGCTGGTCACTGGATCAGGAGGCAGGAAGACTGGGATTGGCTGTGCTTTTCCACATCACTTGGTATCACCTATGGATGTGGCCCATGTCAGCATGTTTAGCTGACCACATACCAGAGGGTTTAGGGAAAAATATTTCCTGTTCTTTTTCTGTTATTGAGACATTTCCAGTATTTTCTAAGCCTGAGAAAGGGCTGCGAGCTGACCATGCTGTCTTAGATACTCAAAATGCTGTATGTAAAACTGTGTTGATGTGCTAAACAAGTGAAACACACCTTTCACAGTACTTGTTTTCATACCTTGTTTGATCTTTTTTTTAAAAAAAATCTGTTACAGACAAAATGTAGAATCTAAAATTTGCAAGGAAGCGATCAACAAATTTCATTCTAGTATGAAAGAAGAACTCATCAAAATGGTAAGTTCACTGACATAAATTTATTGGTCTAGCTCTTTTTTACTGGTCCTGAGGCAGCATAGTTACTTAGAAGGACTGCATTTGCTGATAATGTGGTAAAGAATTCATTAGAATTATTAGTATTTCACGTTTTAAAATAAATGTAAGATACTGCACGCTTCCAAACATTTAATTTTGGAAAATGCCATGTGAATGCTTTGTTTTGTTTTGTGTAGCTTGCAGAAGTGCAGATGTTGACAGCTCTGAGGCGGAAGAATGCTAAGGTGAGCCGTGTGACTGGAAGCATGTAGTCATGTAGCCAAGTTCAGTGGAGTCTTGGCTCTGGGTTTTATGGCCTTCAGTTTGCATCAGATTTTTATCTTTGCAGTCAGGTTTTTATCTGGTCGATCTTGTGGCTGAGTACTGTTAAAGCATGCTGTGAAGCCCAAAATGGGTAAGCATTGAGTAATGTATATTTACCACTCTTGTGGATACGAAAAAGCAAAGCCTTTCAGAATAAAGAGCTTCCCGTGCTCCAGGTGAAAGGACAGCCTGGGAGAGCACTGTGTTCGGGTCAGGAGACCTCACTTCTTGGCCTTGCTCTGCTACTTGTGTCGTGCCACAGTTTTTTTAAAACTGTTCACCAGCAGCTGTGCAGGGGAAAGCCAGTCGCACTAGGCACTAGGCTCCATCTGTTTACGGTTGACCAGGTGACCCCTGGGTTCTAGCTCTAAACGCGCGTGAACCCAGGAGAGGAGGGAGCAGCTGCCCCTCTGCGTTTATAATAGAAGCGGGTGGAAACACACACGTTTTCCGGCCTGTGAGTACAAGCCTTTGATGTGTTTCCTTTGTTTTAATTGGTCAATTCTGCATTGCTTGTAAGCAAGTGGGAACAGTCTGAATATCCAGCAGTGGAATATCACATAGTCACTTAAAGTGATGGCTAAGATAATAAAGTTTATTATATGGAATGTTCTTTATAATAATGTATCCTGACCCTGCTAACCCATTTCAATATTTTCCAGTATACCTAGATAAAATAGAAATAACTTTATGTCTCAGGAAAGGTCTGGCCACACTTCTTTGAAGTCCTGGTGGTAGCCCTGCTGTTCTTAGAGTTCCCCGTTTTCCTGCAGAGCACATTACCGACGTAATTACACACTGTTTGTATGTAATGTCCATCTTCCCAATTAGACCAAAGTTCCATGATGGATAGAATGGGGTCTGTCTTGTTTCCCGCTGTATTTCCAACCCCTGGCACAGTATACATAGTGTTTGAGCACTTACGAAATTAATTTAACAAAGAAATTATTGTATTACTTAGATGATTTCAGATATTGAAAAGAAGAGGCAGCGTTTGATTGAAGTCCAGGACGAACTGCTCTGGTAAGATATCAAACTCCTCTTTCAGAACTTGCCTGAAAGGATTCTGACATGCCATGTGGGGCTAGGAAAACTCGCTGCTGGGTTGCACTGAAATCCCAGGTTGTCTGAGCTTGGAAGTCCAGTGAAGATAAGTTGTGCTGCAGAGTTGGAGAAGCTTTTAGCAATGGAGAATTCGGCACAGATCTATCTGCCATGAGATCTCTCAGCTCTGGCCTGAGAGGCAGCCTAATCAGGGATTTAATGCATAGACTCTAGCACTAGACTGCCTGGGGTTGGAATCCAGGCTCTGCCACTTACTGGCTTTGCAACCTTGGGCAGATTATTTAACCACCTAGGGCCTCCATTCCTTCACTTGTAAGTTAGCGTAATACCTACACCTCACAGTGTTGTGAAAACGAAGTGAATAAGTACACAGGAAGTGCTGTGTAAGTTTTTGTTAATGTTATTGTTAAACAGGTACCCGGTTGTGGCACTTGTGCAAATCCATTCCCAAGTGTTGGGCACTAAGCCAGTGAGAGAAAGCAGTTTTTCAAAGGTCACACGTTTTTCATCCAGGCACTGGGATAGTTACCCCCTCCCCCACTGGTTTTATTGGACCTTGGAAATGGATAAGATTTAGATAGAAGGGGCAAAAGGAAGGCTTTCTGTCCATGGTTTTGCTGTTGCCTGTCTATTCCTGCCTGAGGCTATAAAATGACCAAGTTATGTTTTAATTCAGCGACTCTCAAAACCGTAAAAATGACTTGATGATTTTTAGGATATATAGGACATATTCTTCTGTGGGCTTCATACTCATTGTGCATCGTTTTTCAGAGTTTTAAATTGAAAATCTAGAATCTTTCACGCATTCATCATTTCAGAGCCAAAGATATCTTAAACCATCCAGTCCACCCCCCACCCCCCGTTTTTTCTAACTTCACTCAGTATACTTACATACGCAGTCTCATACACTGTATGTAGGCTGTTACTATTACATGCCATTTATTTTTAGGAAAACTGATGTTTTTTGTTTTGTTTTAGGTCAGAACCACAGCTGAAACAACTACAAATAAAATATGATGAACTTAAGGAGAAAAAATCTTCCCTTAGGAATGCAGCATATTTCTTATCTAATTTAAAACAGCTTCATCAAGATTATTCAGATATTCAAGAGAGAGAACCAAACGTAAAGGAAACGGTGAGTTCAGTTTTTACTCTCCACTGTGCTTCATAAGCTATGGGCGCGTGCATGCTAGAGTGCCAGGGGCTTGGAGGAAAGAAACGTAGATGCAGCGTAAGTCTCCCAAACAGCATCACTTTAAATCTGGGGGAATTTGTTATATCATCACTTCTTTGGCTACTTAATTAAGGCTAGAGGAATAGAAAAAAATAGTGAAACATGGATTTTACAAAGGTACTTCCACTGCAGAGAACTAAATCCCATGAAGGGAAATGTATCCTTTTCATACAGATTTCAAATGAACAACTCAGCTTTATTATAATTATCAACGTAAGACCACTCGGACATGTTTGAAAGACCAGCCTCTGGTTCTTTGTTCAGCCTTGCTTGTCAGCCGTTGCTTATAGTACAGTATCTTTATCAGAGAAACAAGTCATTATCCCATAAAATGGTAGGTGTAATATTACAAGTTGAGAAACATAAAAGAAATATAATAGGAGCAAGTGTGGTATATTGTTTTAATAAATTTTATAGCTGCTTCTGGATTTTTGCCTCAGACTTTGCTATTATGAGAATCAGCTCAGATTAATAAGAATGTCCAAATTTCAGAAAGAAAATTTATGTATTTGGATCATATATCTTATGATCATACTTGTATTCTTCACTTCTAAATTCAGTTTTAGATTTTTTAATCCTCATTCAAGGATATTATGTTCATTGATTTTTAGGGAGAGAGAAACATCAATGGGTTGCCTTCCTTATGTGCCCCAACTGAGGCACGAACCTGCAACCTAGGTATGTGCCCTGACCGGAAAGGGAACCTACAACCTTTTGGTGTACGGGACAATGCTCCAACCAACTGAGCCACCTGACCAGGGCCAATTTTAAGTTTTTGACAGTGATCTAAGGTTTGTTTATAGATTACAGATCTGGAAATAGAATGTTTTTATATTTTTTCCTATGACAGTGCCCATTCTAATCTAAAGCTCATCATTGGAGTTAGAGATTTAGCTACTGAACTTGGAGAAACTGGTGAAGCTGTGACGCCGTGTGTGAAATACACTGCTGTTTCTCTGGCAGCCCATCCTCTTCGCTTTATCAAGTGTAGCTATTTGGGCATATAGCTTACCTTTTCTCTTACACTAAAAATCTAGTACCAAATGTCCCTTCTTTTCCCTCACCCCTCCCTGACAGCAGGTGCCCCACAGGAGCTTGAACACCTTAGGCTCTCAAATATTTAACTGAATTCCATAGTAATATGGTAGTTTATATTCTAGAAAGAATTCCATTATTAGGTGGGTGGTATAGGCTGACGGATTTTCTGCGCAATTTTCATTTCTAAGAAAACCACATTAAACTACAAACTCTCATAATTATAAAATTCTGTAAGGGGAATTTAGTCCCTTTCCCTTAGATACAGTTTACAACATAAAGTTTGGCTTTGTTAATTATTTTAAAATAAAGAGTTGGGGTGTTGTTTTTTTTCTGCTGCAAGATTTGTATCCTGATTTTGTCTTTAATTATTAAGAAATTTTGATTGGCAACTTTTAAGATATTTAATTGATCCTCCCAATAAATCATTTCTCTAGATGATGGATTTTTTTTCTCATGAACTTTTATGGGCCTGCAGTAAAAGTAAATCTGCCTTATACTTTCTTCTGAAAACAGGATGCGTGAGATCAAGCAGACTTGCTGACGCCCAGTTTGATCTGTATCAGGAATGATGTTTCCAATAATTCACATGCCACAGTTCTTTGAACCAACTGGTCTGGGATGAGGTCAGCTCAAACCTTGCAGAGCAGTTTCCTTGAAACCTTATTTATCAATTATGCAATGGGTTAAAATCAAATGAATGATCCTACTTCAAAAAAAGAGGAGGAATTAGTTAATGGAAAGCTCTATTAAAATTGGCATTTTGTCATAACATGAGCTAGGGAGAACAAACAGGGTTATAAAAGTTCTTGGTATTGTTAATCTGAATGATTTTCCTTCAACAGTATGATTCGTCCAGCCTTCCAGCTCTGTTATTCAAAGCAAGAACCCTTTTAGGAGCTGAAAGCCATCTGCAAAATATCAACCATCAATTGGAGAAGCTCCTTGACCAGAAATGAGACCAGTCTGCGAAAATATGCCTGTGTAAAGATAAGTCCCACGCTCCTGCCCGTTGCCTTCTGAAGCTACTTCTTATGGTTGAAGCAACACTCTCAGATATGTGCAAGAAAGTAAACTTGTCTAGTTGTTCAGGCTGGTGTGTGGCCATGTCACCAGTTTGACTGTATAGTAGTTCTAGAGACCATGATGAACTTTCCTGGTTAGTGTCTTAAGTGACACGTTAAAATGTTGACACCTAATCCTAAGTGGCCACAGACATAAAGACTTTTAACCTATAAATAAATATGCAAAATTAAGCTGATGTGAATACAGACTGACTTTGCTTAATAAGAGATTTCTACTGAATTTAAGTACACTGAAGCTAATTTTCAATAAAATTGGTTTATTTCAGTAAAAACCAAGAATTGGAAAGCAAAATGATAAAACTTAGTTGAATATGAACAGATTTAACAAAAACTTACTAGTATCTAATGTTTGTTATTAAACTTGTCTTCAGGCAAATTATAGCTAGTTTATAGGTATACATAGTTAATTAGCTATTCTTGTAATACTTCTATTATTAGTTCATCAGGAATTTCATCCACTCCACCTTTATAACCAAGACTATTCTCTGCAGCTTCTGCTAATTCAGCATCTTCAGTAGCTTCCAAAAAATTAGTATCGTCAATGCCATTATCCCACTCAGGGTCAGAAAACACACCTTTGGACAGTGTACTAGATGACATATGGGGATTCTCGGTTTCATCATTCATTGTTTCATGTGTTGTAAACTCTTCTTCCTTTAGTTCCAGGGGGGCGGGGATAGACGGAGGTACCAGTTATTCAATCAGAAAAGGATGACTTCACTACAGCAATCTATGTTGAAGGAGGTATTAAGACCAGTGCAACAGATAATCAAATGAATGTGCTACATGACACTGTCTCCAATAGAGTCACCATGGGAATTCATTTGTTGAAATATTACTGCTATTGTAGCCCAGACACTCTAGAAACTCCAAATCTGGAGATGCCTGCAGTTCCGGTGCTACATTCTGTTCAGTAAACACAGAAGACTAGAAAGAGTACAGAGTTTTTTTGGGGATAATCAAGCTGAAGACAAATTGAAAAATATATCTGCTATCTTAACAGACTTATTTCCCTATTTATAAAGTACAAAGTATTTAGAAATCAAGAACATGGGTTGAAAAAAATTGTTATAAAGAAACAGTTTTGAGACAACTGATTATGATTATGGATTGTACATTAGATAACAGTATTGTATCAACATTAAATTTCTGAATTTAATAATTTTACCATAGCTATATAAAAATGTCCTTCTCTAGCTACATGCTTAAATATTAAGAGATGAAGGATTTGATGTTTGCAACCTCCTTTCAATAGATTTTTATGGACTGACTGTCAAATCCTAACACCCCTTGTGATGGTATTTGGAAGTGAAACCTTTGGGGTTTTATTACATCATGAGGGTAGAGCTCTCATGAACAGAGTTAGTGCCCTTATAAAAGAGACCCCAGAATGCTCCTTCCCAACACCTGTGATGTAGAAACAAATGCAATGTAACAGCTGCATCTCTGACCCAGAAAGCTGACTCTCATCAGCCATCAAATCAGCCAATACCTTGATCTTAGATTTCCCAGCCTCCAAAACCGTGAGAAATAAGTTTCTATTGCTTACAAGCCACCTGGTCTATAGTATTCTGTGATAGCAGCCCAAACGAGGAAGATAAGACTCATAAAAAATAATTCGTATGTGCACAGTAGAGGGAGAGAACAAATGTGGCCAAATGTTAACGACTGGCAGATCGAGGTGAAGGGCATATGGGAGAGTTCCTTGTGCCGCATTTCTGTACATTAAGTGTTTAAAAACTAAGATGATCAATGCACTAGAAAAGCAGGCAAGTAACACTGACTGGTAATTTAGTGTAAAATACTTAAACAACAAAAAACAGGTGAAGCAGAAGTGACAAAATGTTCACATTAAAATAAGTGACAGGTACAATAATAGGTATTCATTATACTGTTCTAAGTTTCAAATGATTAAAAAAAACAAGTCATAGCAGCAGTAATACCAAAGTACTTTCAATTTGACATTTTTGAGGTATAATGGATAAGAGAAAAAAACAAAAACCTACAGAAACTACATGCATTAACATACTCCAAATGAACAAGGATGACATTCTTCCTCTTAGAGGCATAGTTAATTTTTTAAAAATTAGTTTGTTCTTGGTCATTTCAGAACACTTTTAACCTATTCATCAAACATTCTGGCTATCAGCTATTTTATATCAAGCTTCTAGAGGACAAGAATGAGATTTCCACATTTCCATTTTGAATGTATGAGTTTTTTCAGGAGACTTAAAAAAAAAAAAATTGGCCCTGGCCGGTTTGGCTCAGCGGTTAGAGTGTCGGCCTGCGGTCCTGAGAGACCCGGGTTCGGTTCCCGCTAAGGGCGCGTACCTTGGTTGCAGTTTGTCCCCGGCCCTGGTCGGTTGTGCGGGTGGCAGCCACTCGATGTGTTCCTTTCACATCGATGTTTCTCTCTCTCTCTCTGTTCCTCTCTCTCCCTCCCACTCTACCTGAACAAAAAATGGAAAAATGTCCTCGGGTGAGGATAAAAAAAAAAAAAAAAAATTGGATAGGTACCAGACCAGTATCTAGAATGTAAACCCAAGCACTAACTTAGCTTATATTGGGTAACTTTTATTCTAACCATGACACTAAAGGACAAGGTCGATGTGTGGGGCGAGGGACCACCACAAAGTCTAGAAGGTAACATGACAAAAGAGTACTTAATAAAAACTTCTTGTAAAATATGAGTAAGATGCCCTGGCCGGTTTGGGTCAGTGGTTAGAAGGGTCGGCCTGCGGTCCAGACAGACCTGGGTTTGGTTCCCGCTAGGGGCGCGTACCTCAGTTGCAGTTTGTCCCTGGCCCTGGTCATGTGGGTGGCAACTACTCGATGTGTCCCTTTCACATTGATGCTTCTCTCTCTCCCTCCCACTCTATCTGAACAAAATATCAAAAAATGTCCTCGGGTGAGGATAAAAAAAATAAAATACGAGTAAGACCACATAGACAAGTGGACCATTACAGGCAATCTATTACATCTGAAAAAAATGCAACTTCATTAATAAATTAAGAAATGTAAAATAAAACAACAAAAAATACCACTTTTTGCCTTCTAGGTTGGTAAACATTAAAAAAATAAAAACAAGCCCTGGCCAGTTTGGCTCAGCGGTTGGAGCGTTGGCCTGCAGACCAAAGGGTGTTGGGTTCCATTCCGGTCAAGGACACATACCTCGGTTGCGGTTCAGTCCCTGGTCGGGGTTGTACAGGGGAGGCAACTAATCAGTGTCTCTTTCCCTCTCTCCCACTCCATCTGAAGATAAATGGGAAAATATCCTCAGGTGAGGATTTTCTTTTTTTAAGTAAAAAGAAGTAATGATGACAAAAATGGAGGGTAACAGGTGCTCTCATAAATTGGAAAGTAAAGAGCAATTTGGTAATATGTATTACTGAAAATGTTCGTTATAGTTTAGGAATAAAAGCCTATAATACAGTATATTTACTATGACTTTAGAAAAGATAATATGTGAGCATGCATGGATACAAATTCTGGAAGATATATACCAAAACATTTACATGTTATATCTGAGTAGTCAAATTATGAGTGAGGATGATTTTCCCCCCTTTTGATTTTTATGTATTTTCTAAGTTTCTACAATGAATCTATATTACTTGGGTAAGGAAAAGTTTTTAAAGGAAAAATGTTGGTTTGGCAATGTGGCAGTATCTACCAAAATTGAAAATGTAAATGTATCCTTTGACATAATTCCACTTCTAAAAAGTCTTCCTACAGATAAAGAAACACAAAGATGGGTATTTTGGTATACTTTATAAAGCAAAACATGAGAAACTTTACGTTTCAGTGACTGGTTAATACATACGGAGCAGTACAAAAGAATGAGGTGTGCTGATATGGGGACAGTCACTACAACTCATTCCTAGGTGAAAACAAAGTACAGACAGTGTGTTTGAAAGCTTTCTGGAGACGTTTAGACACTACTCATAGCTCATTTACACCATGGTATCAAGAACTAATTAGTAAGGGGAGGGAAACTAAAAATTGCACTTACCTCTTTGAGAAGAGATGGGAGACATACTTCGGCAGGTAATGGAAAACCTAAATCAGAAAGATAACAAAACTATTTTACACAGATATCTAATTTTTACTTTGTAGTAAACGTAAAAATGAACAACTCACGGTCAGATTTGAAGTTTTCTGCTTTACATATGGGGTCATGACATTTTTGATACCAAACTTCATTTTTCAGATCAACCAAAATCCTTTGTTAAAAAAAAAAGTTACTTAATAGCCAGACTGGATAGAAATATACATAAATATACATATATGTGTATATACATGTATGTATATACAAACACACACACACACCCCCCAAGCAAAAGAAAACTAGTTGCCAAATATATACAAAATGGATTTAAGGCAAAAGAAATACACTTCCCAAGAAGATACATTAATTCCCACTGTGTACACCCCAAATAAGATAGTTTCAAAATACAGGGTGGGGCCTTGGCCGGTTTGGCTGAGCCTTTAGAGCAGCGGTTCTCAACCTTCCTAATGCCACAACCCTTTAATCCAGTTCCTCTAATCCAGTTCCTCGTATGTGGGCGTATGTGCACGTGAGTGGACCCGCCTGGAGACGGATAGAGGAGCGGTGTCTCGGTTCCTGAGACCATCGGAAATATGTGTTTTCCGATGGTCTTAGGTGACCCCTGTGATGAAAGGGTTATTCGACCCCCAAAGAGGTCGCGACCCACAGGTTGAGAACCTCTGCTCTAGAGCATCAGCCCACAGACCAGAGTCCCAGGTTCAGTTCCCACTAAGGGCATGTACCTCGGTTGTAGTTTGTCCAGGCCCCGGTTGGGGTCGTGTGGGTGGCAGCCACTCAATGTGTCTCTCTCACATGGATGTTTTTCTCTCTCTCTTTCTCCCTCTCTCCCTTCTGCTCTATCTGAAGATAAATGCACAAACAAAATGTCCTCGGGTGAGGATAAAAAAAAAATAAATGCAGGGTGGGGCAAAAGTAGGTTTACAGTTGTTCATATGAAAAAAATACATTAATAAATAATACAAGAATAAGCTTGGTGTTTTGCGTACTCACAACTGTAAATCTACTTTTGCCCTACCCTGTGTGTGAGCAAAACTGACAATTTCTAACATAAATCAAGATTTTAAAAAACATCTTTTGATAAGTGATACAATAAATAATAAGATATAGGAAATTTGAATGATATAATTAAACAATTAACAAATTTGATATAGTCATATATGAATACTTCAAATAATTAAAAGCAGCTCTTACAGAAGAAAAATTGACTGCTAGGTACAATGTGAATCCTATTAAATTTAAAATTATTCATTCATAGAACACATTCTCTGACCACAAACTATTTAGAAATAATAAAAAGCCACTAGAAACCCATAATTAGAAATTAAAAAAACAAAGGGCCAAAATCTGAAAACGTAAAATTCTCGTGAGATTGATTAAAGAATAATAAAGTGGAGACACAAATGTTATTAGAAATTAATTGTAGATGTAACTATAAATGTAGAATAGACTAAAATATAAGAAGATTATGAACTTTTGCCAGTAAAATTGAAAATTTTGGTAAACAAAATGCTAGATATAAAAATACACCTGCCCTGCCCTGGCCAGTTTGGCTCAGCGGTTAGAGCGTTGGCCTGCGGTCCGGAGAGACCCGGGTTCGTTTCCCGCTAAGGGCACGTACCTCGGTTGCAGTTTGTCCCCGGCCCTGGTTGGTCGTGCGGGTGGCAGCTACTCGATGTGTCCCTTTCACATCGATGTTTCTCTCTCTCTCTCTCTCTCTCTCTTCCTCTCTCTCCCTCCCACTCTATCTGTACAAGAAATAGAAAAATGTCCTCGGGTGAGGATAAAAAAAAAAAAAAATACACCTGCCCTGGCCGGTTTGGCTCAGTGGTTAGAGCATTGGCCCGCGGACCAATGAGCCAAAGGTACCTCGGTTTTGGTTTGTCCCTGGCCCTGGTTGGGGTCATGTGGGACGCAACCAGTCAATGTGTCCCTCTCATGTCAATGTTTTTTTCTCTCTCCCTCCCACTCTACCTAAACAAAAGGAAAAATATCCTTGGGTGAGGATTAAAAATATACACACACACACATTTTATTTTTACATATATATATAATATACACACTTGTGTATATATATTTATATATACATACACACACCAAACTAAGCAAACTTTAAAAGTTACAGAAAACCTGAACAATCCCATAACCACTAAAAGTAAATTCTAAATAGTGGAAAATCTTACCACATTTTATAGAAAAGGAAACAAAAATGGCCAATATTCCACATGATAGTTAGACGTGTGCCCAGGAGAGAAAAATGCAGGCAACCCAGTCTAATTGCTTCATGAAATTCCAATAATAGACTTCTAGTAAACCACCAATGCTGCGGTCCCCGGATCTGCACCAGAGAGTCCCACGGCAATGTAGGATATTTACGTTTTTCTAGGGAAGCAGTGATACTTGGTATCAGTCAAGCATCCTGCAAACAGCACGCAGTTCACAGCTTCAGTGTTACATCACCCTTCATTCCTTTCACTGATGTCCTGTCTTTGTAGAGCTGGGGTTTTGGTGGTGGCTGTGATAAAAAGTACCCTAAACATCAATGTGGAATGAGACATAATGGTGGGGGTGGCAGTGTCCAATCTGATGCCAACGTTTAAGAGGTTATGCAATGCTCAAAAGGACACACATTCCACTAACAAATGGCTGTTACAAATTTATGAAGGGCCAAAAGCTACAAACTTCATTATAAATAAATTAGTCATGGGGCTATAAAATATAGCACAGACTATGGTTAATAATAATGTATTACATATTTGAAAGTTGCAAAAAGTAAATCTTAAAAGATCTCATCATTAGCTACATACAGTGGCAGATGTTTAAACTAGACTTACTGTGGTGATCATCCCGCTATGTATACAAATAATGAATCATCCATCTGAAATTAATGTTATATGTCAATTGCACATCAAAAATAAATAAGTCCTTTCAATTGATGAATATTGTTTTTTCAAAGAGCTACTAAATTGTTAGGACAAAAATTTTAAGCTGTTTGGAACTATTTCATGAACAGAACTTATTTCTTTTGGCCTCAGAGCAATGTGAAAAAACTATGAGTCTAAGGGCACCACAAACTAAGTCTAGGAACCTCTGGACCAATGCTGTTCGCTAGGCAGAGAGTCCTTATCCACAGAATGTTCTTTGCAAGATGCTTCTGATTTCTGCATATAGTAAATAAACCTAGAGCCTATGGACGAATGAGGCACGGTTCCCTGGAAATGTCACACATGCTATAGAACAATGAGTATAAAATGCAGAAGTTTCATAACCTCCATGCTCCCTGCTATATGGGGTGACTGCCCACTTCTGCCTCAGCTTTCAACCTGAGTCAGAGCATCAGTGTAGGAGGGACCCGGGAGTCGGGCCAGGTGTCCCCGGCCTCAGTCTGTTTCACCTGTGCTTTTGAGTCCTTGTATCTTTCAGTCAAGCTTGACAGTGGGTAAGAATCTCAGATTCATGAGTGTGGTTTAACAATCCAATCCTTAAATTCACTAGTAATCAAGGAAATTCAGATGAAACTACAATATCATTTTACACTCACCAGATTAGTCAACCAAATATTTTAAACCTAACAACACTAAAATGTTGGTGAGAATGTGGAGCCGTAGGAAATTTGAAAACATTGCTGGTGGGAGTATAAATTAGCATGGCCATTAAGGAAAATGATTATTACCTAGTGAAATTAAATACATGCATATTCTATGACAGCAACTCTATTTTTAGATACATATTTTGAGCAACTCATGTGTACCAGGAAATATATATAAGAATATTTGTAGCTTCATTATTCATAATAGCAAACCGAATGTCCATAGTAGGGCAAATAATCTGGAGTATTTATATAATGGCATACTGTACAATAATGAAAAATAAACAACAGCTACATGTAGTCTGGATGAACCTCCCTTAATACAGTGTTGACCCTAAAAAGCAAGTCAAAGGATGCAATTTATATAACCTTAAAAATCATGTAAAATGAAATGAAATACTGTTTGGGGATACAAATACATACAGAAAAAAAAAAAAAAAAAAAAACATGTTTAAAAGCAAAGGAAAGACTACCACAAAATTCAGGATAATGGCTATTGTCTCTGAGGTCCAGCAAGTTGCTTCTGAGGTTTCGTCACCCCTTACAGTGGGCAGATATGACAAGTGGTCATTTTAGTGTTAGTCTGTAAAAAGTACATGTACATGATATCCATGCCTTTACATGTATATTTCACAGTTAAGAAAAAGATTACATACTACAACCTGGTAATTCTTCAGAAAGAAATATATTGCAACCTGACAATTTCAAAAAGTTAAAAGATGGTCATCATATGATAATTTTCTGGTAAATTTAATGTATAGAAAAAGACTAGAAAGATATACCAAAATCATAACCATAGTTATCACTGGTTCTGGGACTATGGGTGATATTTCCCTTTGTGTTTTTCTATGTTACTGTGTTGTATATTGAGCATACAGTTTTTGAAACCGTTTTTGTTTTGTTTTTATCCTCACCCGAGGACATTTTCCCATTTTTTTTGTTCAGATAGAGTGGGAGGGAGAGAGAGGAACAGAGAGAGAGAAACATCGATGTGAAAGGGACACATCGAGTGGCTGCCACCCGCACGACCAACCAGGGCCAGGGACAAACTGCAACCGAGGTACATGCCCTTAGCGGGAACCGAACCCAGGTCTCTCTGGACCACAGGCTGACTCTCTAACCGCTGAGCCAAACCAGCCAGGTGCTTGAAACTGTTTTAACTGAATTAATCTACTTATACAAGTATGGTACTGAATCATGCTACCCAGCATGCTCTCTGGCTTTTCAGCAGAAGCTGTGTGATCATTTTCACATGTGTAGCCCATGATATACAGAAGTCTCAGCTTTGACATGAACCAAACAGCAAAATTTCTTATATAACATAACTATTGGATTTCTTTCTATCTGTATTCTAACCACATCCTTTTTATTATTTAAAATTCTGTTTCTGATTTTACTTCATCCTTGACTACTGCTTCTTTTGCCAGAGGCAAAAAACACACAAAACAAAACTAAAACAGGGCCTGGTGTATACAGCAAGCATTCAATACCATTCTGTGTCTTGAGTATCTTAACATAACCTTAATGCCAACTCTTTACACTGAGTGGTTTCCTGCTAGTGCAAATTTTCTCCATTTCTGTCTAGATTCCATATGGTGTCAAGGGCCAATGGCAATACAAGAGACACACTTCCATCACTGTTCCTTCATCTGTCTACTGTCTCATTTCTTTTAGCCCCACTGAATTCTACCTTAGTCTTTTCAAGATTATACTATCTACAGGATTATTTTACCAAATAAAGTACAAATAAAGATGACAGGTGCTGGATGGAAGGTAATAATTAAAATCTTCAAATTAAATATAACATAGACTAAATACTAATATAAATTGAATTATAACTATTGAAACAATCATTTTTATATTCTCAACTTTAAAAATTATAAATATTAAACAATATTCGCTAAATACATAGAATTTATTAATAAACAGTATAACTTACATGATATTATTACTCTTGTGGGCTCTTCCAATGTTGCCACACCAACGATATTTACAAATGTCATAAACCAATAATTCTTCTGGAAAAAAGTAGTTCCAACGCCGAATTCCTAAAATGCAAATAATGTTTCTTGTTGTTGTTGTTTTTTTTTTATCCTCACCTGAGGACATTTTTCTATTTTTTGTTCAGGTGGAGTGGGAGGGGGAGAGAGGAAGAGAGAGAGAAACATCGATGTGAAGAGACACATCGAGTGGCTGCCACCCGCACGACCAACCAGGGCCGGGGACAAACTGCAACCGAGGTACGCGCCCTTAGCGGGAACCGAACCCGGGTCTCTCGGGACCGCAGGCCGACGCGCTAACCGCTGAGCCAAACCGGCCAGGGCGCAAATAATGTTTCTAAAGGCATTATTACTCTATTCTATAACAGCTAATAAATAATAAGATTATCTTTACCTCCTTTAATGCCATTTTTATTCACCAAAGAAAGAACAAATTGATCAATTTCAGGGTAGGGTGAACCCTGAAAACCTTCAATGTTTCCTACTGCAACAGAGAGAAAAAATAATTATAAATTATTATAAATTACAATGGCTCAAAGTTGAGAAGTTTAATTTTGATTTAAGTTGTTTAATACAGTTATGGGTTACCTCCACCCCCCCTTTCTTCCCCTCCCCCCCTTTTCCACAATATTCCTTGTAGTCGGTTATGGATTCTTATTATCCTACAAGGAAGCAGGTAAAATTCAAACCTCTCAATTAAGTCAAATGTCAAGTAATTATTACAAAAAGCATTTATAATCATATCAATTGCTTTCTTCATCTTGATAAAAAAGAGACAGCCACTTATATCCAGGAACTGGCCTAGTACTATGAGGTTAGCCTGAGTGTTGCTACAAGCTGTCCAGGTACTCACAGCTCAGCCCTGTGTTCTGCTAATCATAGACTATTTCACAGAACTTCAATATTGGTAAGGCCATTCTGTGGCCATGATGACTCAAGACAAAACCAGGAACACTGTAATCATGTCTGAACACAGACAAAATGAATGAACATTTTCCAAGCCACAAAAATTAGCAAATACCCCCTTATCTAATATAACTGCTGTTTCTTTAGTCTCCTTGTAGTCTGCCTTCTAAGTAAGAGTTACCAAGATATCCAATTACAGAACTGTCCCTGATGGCATCCAATTCAAAACAATGCCACACTTTCTTGGACCCTCCTCAGAAGCACCTAACTCAAGCCTGAATCCTAACACCCTTTTACTGAGATGTCCCATGGTTCCCTATGGTACGCATTCTCCATTATTGCGACCAATAATAAACTTGGCTTACTCAACACAGGTATGTTCTCTGGTGGTCTTTAGCTGTGGGGCACTGACAATTCAGTTATATTTTGTATCTGAGAATCTACTGGAATAATTTATTATTTTTTTTCTTTATCCTTACCCGAGGACACTTTTGCATTTATCTTCAGATAGAGCGGGAGGGAGAGAGGGAGGAAGAGAGAGAGACACCCATGTGAGAGAGACACATAGAGTGGTGGCCACCCACACGACCCCAACTGGGGCCGGGGACAAACTGCAACCAAGGTATGTGCCCTTAGCAGGAACCGAACCCAGGTCTCTCTGGTCTGTGGGCCAACACTCTAACCGCTGAGCCAAACCGGCCAGGGCTCGACTGGAATAATTTAGAATAATATATTTACAGTCTCACTGTTTGAAAACAGAATAACCTACTTTTCTAAAAATAAAGCCTATATTTCACTTACAAAAGTGAAATACAGCCCTGGCTGGTTTGGCTCAGCAGTTAGAGCATGGGCCCGCAGACCAGAGAGTCCCGGGTTCGATTCCCGCTAAGGGCATGTACTTCAGTTGCAGTTTGTCCCCAGCCCCGGTTGGGGTCGTGTGGGTGGCAACCACTCGATGTGTCTCTCTCACATGGGTGTTTCTCTCTCTTCCTACCTCTCTCCCTCCGGCTCTATCTGAAGAGATAAATGCAAGAATGTCCTCGGGTGAGGATTTAAAAAAAAAAAAAGTGAAATACACATGATTGGAGAAAATTTGGAAAATATATTCAAGCAGAAATAAGAGAAACTCCAAATCAGTCTAGAAATAACTGTTAATCAGGAGAAAATAAACGTATAATAGGTTATTCATATTTTTAATAAACTTATGATCATACCTCAACATTATAACTTGAGTCTTTTTTCTCTTATCATAAATGGACATCTATATTATATAGGCTTTATAAATTTTAATTAAATGACTACAGAGAATTTTTTATCCTCAACCGAGGACATTTTTCCTTTTTTTTTTTTTGTTCAGATAGAGTGGGAGGGAGGGAGAGGGAGAGAGAGAAACATCACGTGAAAGGGACACATGAGTGGCTGCCACTCGCACGACCCAACCAGGGCCAGGGACAAACTGCAACCAAGGTACATGCCCTTAGCAGGAACCGAACCCAGGTCTCTCTGGACCGCAGGCCAACGCTCTAACCGCTGAGCCAAACTGGCCAGGGCAACTACAGAGAATTTTATGTTATGTAACCAATCCCATTTTGTTGTACGCTTAGATTTTCAGTTTCTCACTATTACAAATAATGATGCCCAAGATAAGTATGTAAAAATGTTCACTGAAGAGTTTATGTGTGAAATCTTAGAAAAAGAACTTATGTTCTTCAGTATAGGAATGAAGAATATATACAGTTCATGAAAATCTGTGCAGCCATTAAAAGAACAAGATACTCGCCCTGGCTGGTTTGGCTCAGCGGTTAGAGCGTCGGCCTGCGGTACAGAGAGACCCGGGTTCGGTTCCCGCTAAGGGTACGTATCTCGGTTGCAGTTTGTCCCCGGCCCTGGTTGGTTGTGCGGGTGGCAGCCACTTGATGTGTCCCTTCACATCGATGTTTCTCTCTCTCTCTCTTCCTCTCTCTCCTTCCCGCTCTGTCTGAACAAAAAATGCAAAAATGTCCTCGGGTGAGGATTAAAAAAAAAACAAAAACAAGATACTCCACATTACTGGAAATACAGGGAAAAAACTCTCCTAGTTAAACAGGAAACTATTATCAGTAGTTACCCACCTTTGTGGACAGAGGAATGAAGAGAACTCTTGGTTTAAATGTGTGTTTATTTTATACAATTAATTTTTTTTTCAAAAATGCTATAAAATGAAAATTAGTGACTACGTTGTTGTTTTTTTTAATCCTCACCCGAGAACAAACATTTTTCATTTTTTGTTCAGAGAGAGTGGGAGAGAGGGAGGGAGAGGAAGAGAGAGAGAGAGAGAAAAATCGACGTGAAAGGGACACATCGAGTGGTTGCCACCTGCATGACCCAACCAGGGCTGGGGACAAACTACAACCGAGGTATATGCCCTTAGCGGGAACCGAACCCAGGTCTCTCGGGACCGCAGGCCAACGCTCTAACCACTGAGTCAAACCAGCCAGGGCTGAATACGTTTTTTAAGATCTCTTTTTAAATTTTTTTTTTTTTCATTTTGGATAGAAACCTAGTCGTTTTAGAAGGTCAGTAGATATGAATACTTACGATTTAAGATTTTAAAGGCAAAATAGACTTAACATCCTTAAATTTTCATGGAAAATGACTTCGGTAAAATTACCTGAAGTGCTGGTATCAGAATGCCCAGCCTGTTTCTGTTTCTTCTCAGATGTGTCACATCTAAGAACTTGTAGAGTGTCTGAGAATCTGAAGAAAGTATGTTCAAGAAACACAATAATATTAGAATTAAAGAGACCTAACTACAGAATGGAAACAGACTCAAATAATTCCATATTAAAATCCTTTGTTCAATAGCTGCTGTTCTAGGACATTTATGCCAGTTGCCTATAAAAGCACCAATCCTACCCATATAAAAAGAGTACTTTGCTGATCCTTTGAAATACTTTCCTCAACTACAGAATCAGAGGACTCCAGGACTGCTGAGGCTGTGGGATGAAGTGTAATTCTAGTCCCCAAACATACAGAGTCTTTGAAATTTTTGTTACAGTGACTGTAAAAGTGTGAATAATAGGAAGAAAAAAGAAGGAAAAGTATGAGAGCAACAGGAAAAATGGATTAAAATTAACTGTGATAAAAGACGTACTTATAACCTTAAAGAATTTCGTCTTTAATTTCAAGAAGAAAAATACCCGGTATTTACTTGGATACACAAAAGACAATGAAGGTAACCCTATTCAGTAGAACTCTACCTTTCTGTGAAGTTAATATTGAAACTACAAAAGAAATGGGATTTGGTAATCAGAAGATTACCTGGACTTCAGGCTGTGTTATGGGTTAACTGTGTTGCTTTTCTTATTCTTCTCAGAAACTACTACCACCACTAACAACCTTTACTGAGCAGATACTATATGCCAGGCACTACTGTAAGTATTTTACAAGTAGTTTTAACTTATTTAATCCAAACAACTCCCTAAGACAGACGTAAATATTATTTCCATTTTAAAGGTAAGGAAACGAAGACTTTGACATCATTTCTGAGACAGTTATGAAAGAACTCAAATAGTCCAGACGTATATGAAGAAAAACACCCCATCTTCCCACCCTTCTCGGAACCACTGTTAATTAACATCCAGACACAATTTCCCCAACAGTAAAATGTTTTAAATATCTCTGTTAAAAATTCATTTCTATGGAGTTTCTCTTTAAGATTATATCTAGGGAAGGCAAAGAAGGAGCGAGTTAACAAGGTAACTTAGTGTGACCCTAAAGTTTTGGACTAAAATAATTGCTAGCCTAGAATCAAGAATAAAGACTAGTATTTCTGTTGAAAGATGTCTTTCACACTTTTTAAAAATGACCAAAACATGTAAACCAAATTTTCAATGAAGAACTAAAAACAAATTAGAGTATATCAATAATATAGAAAATTATATAGTTGTTAAAAGTTTTATTTACAATTAACTGCTGGCAAATTATGAACTTGGCAAATATTCATGATAGGTTGAGCAGATATAACAAGTGACATACCATATAATCTCAAGAATTATTTTTTGAATGAAGGAGTTACATAAATTATATATATGTGCATATATGGAAAAATGAAATGTTAATAATTATACTTCTAAATTTAGTAAGACTAATTTTTTTCTTCATAGAAATGTTAGTCATTTTAGAAAGACTGGAAAAATACATGAAATATAATTATAAAAGGACATAAGGGGAATACTGAGTGGGTAGAAAATAAATTTTACTATTATGTTTCAGTTAACAGACAAAACAGTGACCTAGAATTTTTTTTTTTTTTTGATCCTCGCCCGAGGACATTTCTCCATTTTTTGTTCAGATAGAGTGGGAGGGAGAGAGAGGAAGAGAGAGAAACATCGACGTGAAAGGGACACATTGAGTGGCTGCCACCTGCATGACCAACCAAGGCCAGGGACAAACTACAACTGAGGTACGTGTCCTTAGTGCGAACCTAACCCGGGTCTCTGGACCACAGGCGGACACTCCAACCGCTGAGCCAAACTGGCCTGGGCGTGACCTAGCATTTTTAAGAACTGACTTTATTTTAAGGTACAATGTATTTATACAATTTATACTTCAGTGCTGTGCAATGCCATTCACTGCTTAATTTTTATGAATATACAATATTTTAATTCTGATACTACATACCTGACATTGCTGACCAAAGAAGAGAGGAAGTATTGCTTTTCTTCAGAAATGTTCTTTGACTGTGTAAGAGAAAATTTGTTATCTTCGGCGACCTCCAAAACCACAAGCTTTCCTCTTTTTGATGATTTATACAGCCGAAAGTTTCTATTTCTTGTATAAACGCCTATATCAAAAATTAATAACAAAATAAATGTATGTTTTGTTTTTACAGTAAGCAAATTATTAATTCAATTTGTATAGCATTTTTAGAAGAAACAATTGTTCTGATTCAGTTGGCAGCACAGAAAGATCCTGAACTCACCCTTTCCCTGGATCCAGTGGACCTACAGCTCTAGAGAAACATGGCTGCCCTGGCCGGTTTGGCTCAGCGGTTGGAGCGTCAGCCTGCAGTCCAGAGAGACCCGGGTTCGGTTCCCGCTAAGGGCGTGTACCATGGTTGCAGTTTGTCCCTGGCCCTGGTTGGGTCGTGTGGGTGGCAGCCACTCAGTGTGTCCCTTTCACGTTGATGTTTCTCTCTCTCTCCCTCCCACTCTATCTGAACAAAATATCGAGAACAAAAAAATGTCCTTAGGTGAGGATAAAAAAAACAAAAAAACATTTCTTATGGGAAAAAACCTAGAAATCTGGTGGAAAGTCCCCTTCAGAGAGAAAAATGAAAGGAAACCACATCAAATCAGGTAGGAAAGGCTGAGACTTACTGTAAACCCCAGCCCTGGCATGGCAACCCATATCTGGAGAGAAATGGAAGCCTGAGCTTCTCCTGGGGAACCCCAACTTTTAAGACCAGCAACTGAGAGAGAAAACCTCCAAAACATCTGGTTTGTAAGACCCACTGGCTCACACCCATGAAACCCGTGGGCTGTGGTAAACTGAGGCATGCTCTTAGAGGGCTCACATGCAGACTCGCCACCCAGGCCCCACACAGAAGCAGCCCTTGACAAAGCACAGACCCACTTGCCAATTCTAAAGTGATGGTCCGCGGGGCAGGGGACTGCTGAGAGACTCTGAGGGTGGAGGCTGGTGCACACGTCGTCCTGCGATCCCTCTGCCTTGTAGAGCCGACAGGGGCCTTTTCCCTTCCCAACATGCACCTGTTCCATGTTCTCACCCTTTGCCTTGCGAAAGCCACTGGGCACCACCTTTTCTTCCTTGTTCCCTTTTCTTTCTTCATCGGGTACCATCAGTGTACTCTGTCTCACTCGCCAGGGGGCCATTTCTGCTCTCTGTTGTGTGCCAGAACACCTCTGTCTACCAGAGGGGTGCTTCTGCACGTCTGGTGCCCCAATTCGCCACTCAGGAGGCACCCCTTGATTGCCTTGCGTTCCTGGGTCCCACAGGACTGGAACGATTGGAGAGGCAGCTCTTGGCAGGTTACCACCCCCAGGGCACCGCACTGACAGCGGACAAGCGCACCCACAGCTTCTCTATGAGAGGCTGAGCTGCTGGCCTCACCCTTAGTGACAGGCTTCAGGTTTGACACACACCCCGAGGCTCCAGAGCTGCTCCGGGAACGGAAGCCAGGGCACACTATGTTTGCACTCCCGTCTAGCTCACTACAGCTCAGTATGTCCCAGAAAGGACTCCTGCTCGGGAAACACCCAGTTGCCTGGCTCTGATGGCCAGTGGGGCTTACACTTCCAACCCCATGGCCAGGACCGTCTGTATTTGCATTCTTTAAAAGCTGCAGGCATTTTCCAGAGATTCTTGAATGTTAGTCCAACTTGGAGAGGGCATTTTACTCATAACACATAGGTTTCTTCAGACCCAAGCCAGTACATTGCACCTATCTGACTTCATTTCCATTATGGCACTTGTTTGCTAGGGGCGCTAGAAAGTAACAGCAGGACACTGCCCTGCCCTGGCCTGATTGGCATGATAATCTTGCCTATGATTTAAGCCTCCTCTCCCTCAACCAGTAGACACCGGAGCTCAAGGAGTCGCTTTAACAGTCAGTGGCAAACGTGGAGCTTTTACTGTTTCTCAGCTCAACTCACAAGCTACACAGCAACATGAAAACGAGCTCAGTCTCCCGAACCGAAGCTGGCTGCACTGAGTCCTGCCTGGCCTGAGGCCCAGCCAGGCCGAAGCCCTGCTGCCAGTGCTTCCGAGGCCAGAGGCGAGCAGGGCACCAGCTGGAGCAAGTCGGGAGGCTCAGAGCTCGTCAGTGAGGAAAACACCAGCCTTACTTTGCCACGCAAGAGTTCTAGTTTTCTCCTGAGTCCGTTTCTAAACCCACTTCACCTCGTTGAACCTCTCGGCAGTGTCAGAGTGCTGGTCCAGCTCTCCGCTGCCAGGACTCCCTGGCTCGAACCCTTGGCCACTGCAGAGCAGCAGCCACCGCAAGCATTCCTTCTGCAGCCCAGGCCAGCCGGCGCTGATGTCCCCAGGGACCTCTGTGAGCAGTCTCCACAGTACACAACGACAGTCTCAGCTGTCCGTGCTACTTACCCAGATCTACAAAAAGATGCTTTTTTCCTGTGGTGTCCTTCACAATTAAGAATGAAAGGTCAGGACTGCTCCGCTCTGCTGCTCCCAGCCTCTCCGGGGCACCTGAGTCCAGCATCTGGCTCTCACGCAGCTCGTCTGCGGGCATTCTGCTGAAGGGGGTTCCTTGTTCACCAGGGGCTTCAGAAAAATGGGAGAACCCGTGGCCTGTTGTCTCGGGAATCCCACCATCGTCTTTGTCATCTTCACTGGCAAGTAAATGAATAGCAGGCTCCAAAATTTTTCTCACAAAATTACCTAAGGGAAAAAAATATGATTAATCTAATTCTTTTTCACAGACTATAATTTATGATCTAGGCACAAATCTACACATGACAATTTTATACAGCAAGGCTGCTTTTTTTATTTTTGGTTTTACAACTGAGTTGTTATTACGAGTTGTACATGCCTCTCCTGTTCCTTCCCCTGTGCAATCTGGAACTTTCCTGGTTGCCTGCATGGACGTGCCCCAGTTCACCTGGTCTGTCAGGACTCGGTGCAGATACCATCGTCCGAGAAGCCATTTCTGTCGAACCCTAAGACTTATAAACCAGCTTACAGGGGTCTGCCAAGGGAAAGTTAATCTGAGATGTGTCCATGTTGCTAATATGTAAGTAAGCCTAATATACTGTCACCAAAATCCTTAACTTGTATTAATATAAATTGAGTATCTTCACAGTCAATGATTCAAAAATGAAAGGTTTTTTGTTTGTTTTTTCTGTTTCAAAAATAATGAAATCTTGTCAAAAAAAGAGTGAAGGGTCTGTGTGAGTAAGAGGTGCTGCCAAGGTAACGCACAGAAACCCCTCAGGAGTCTTGGCCACACTCTCCTGAGTCAGGACGTCAGCACATTTCCCTGGAGCTTCTTCTCCCCCCTTTACCTGCCACAGCAGGCCGTGGGGATGCTCACAGCCCCCTTCAACTGATGCTCCTCCCGCCTCCCCTATAACTGGCCACGAGATGGATCGTGGCCTAGAACTAAAGTCTGGAGCTGCAGCAATTAAATTCATTCAGTGTATTTCTTTTTTTTTTTTTAATCCTCACCCGAGGATATTTTTCCATTTTTTGTACAGATAGAGTGGGAGGGAGAGAGAGGAAGGGAGAGAGAGAGAGAAACATCGACGTGAAGGGACACATCGAGTGGCTGCCACCCGCACGACCAACCAGGGCCGGGGACAAACTGCAACCGAAGTACGTGCCCTTAGCGGGAACCGAACCCGGCTCTCCCCGGACCGCAGGCTGACGCTCTAACCGCTGAGCCAAACTGGCCAGGGCCATTCAGTGTATTTCAACGTTAGTCTAGGAGCTCTAAATATTAACAGTCCTGCCTTTACCAAGAATAGATAGTATGACAAGCTGGAACTTCTTTAAATGGTCATATATTTACAATACCATAAAATCAAGTAATTCGGTAAAGTTGCTTCATGTAAACAATACTAGTGAAATACAATACTATAAAAAACTAACTTTAATCTTTAAAACTGGCACAGTCTAGGTTTGTCACTTTATTTACAAGATAGCTGGAACCCTTAAGTCATAAGCCATACATGCTCTAAATTAAAAACTCTTTCTCCAAATCAGACTTAATTACTTCCCTACTCAGATAAACAAACCCACTGTCTCATAAAGTACTAAACACCAAAATGAAAGCAAAGCCTTTCATCTTTGCAATGACACACACACATCGTTGTTTCTGGAATGAGGGAGGTTGGGTAGATACTGTGTGAAAAGAAATCATGATATATCAAAGGACAACAGAGCAATGCACACACAAACTGGTAACGTAATTTTCCTGGAAGTGTGGAACTACATCTCGATAGAAGGCAGAGAGAGAAGTGAAGCCCCGGCTGCAGAACCAGGTGTGAGGTCGTGCTAAGGAGGCCATGCAGGCCTTTGACCTTTGGCAGGTAGTTAACGGCCAGGATACGACAGTGTAACTGCCATAAGTACTAATACTGGCCCCTAGTAAATTACTCTGCTTTCTACTTCCCTTCCCCAATATTATCACCCTCACCTCATCATTAATACAGGGACAATTTTATTGGCTGGGACTAACTCAAAAGAATGTATCAGTCATAGAAATTTCAGGTCCTGTGGCAAGCAGGCAAAAGTATGTTCGGCAAATCCATTTCATACATTTTGCTAACACACTGTGAGCTGTTACATTTAGCCTAATTTCCCTTTTCTGAAAGGTTAGCAAAATGAACTAGAAATGTCACCGAGACACACAGCTAAGGCGGGAACTGAGGAGAAAATCTGGGCCACTCTATAACCCTGCGCCTCTGGTCCGGCAGCCCTCAGCTCAGAGGAAAGCACCCCGAAAGGCATCGCACTGATCGGTAGGTCTCACTCCAGCTGCACTAACTCCCACTACACAAACGCCTCTCTCTACGCTTTTGCTTATGCTGTTCTAACAGTAAAGCCTTTCTTACCTTTGTCCACAGGATGAAATCTGATTGTACGCCCAGCTTGCACCTGCTGTCAGAAGATATATGTAGTAGAGACTGCTAATTGTTTTCACATCTCTATTCTCCCCTTCTTCCCTAGCAACAAATCTCCATTTTTAGCCTTGTTAGGTAGGAGTCACAGAGCTAACTATGAAGAGTACACAGGAATCAAAGAAATACCTTGCTTAGGACTCTGCCTCCAACCCCGACAGCAGAGCCCACTTGATGGTCAGTCATCCATTCAACAAATATTTATTAAATGCCTGCTTGTATTTGTTATTGCTGCTTCTGCTATTGTCACACTATTAATATTATCCATAAAGATATTACATAATAAGCTCTAAAAATACAATAGTGAATAATAGTCGCTGCCCTAAAGAAATACTAAGTCGAAGAGACAAAAACAAAAAACACCAGGAAATGTCCTCAGGAAGTGGTGGCTGCTGATACAACAAACTCCAGGCTGTCCCTGCAACTCAGAGGAAATGCCGACCCAAGTCTTGGTTCCATGAATGGCTTCTCAGAGGATGGTATCTGCACTCAGTCTCATCAGACCAGACAAACCGAAGGCATGTCCATTCAGACAGCAGCATCAAACACTGCAAAGGCCCCAGGACTAGAGGAAACGTGGCCGTGGTGGGAGCTAAGTAAAGGATGGGGGCAAGGAGGGGGGGAGATGAGATGAGGCTACAGCCCAGTGGCCTCACTGTGCAAACTGAGATCTTTCTCCTGAAGGCAATGCATTATCCTTGAAGGGCCTGAGGCACACTAGTGGTATAATCAGATCACTCTAGCCAGCTGCCTAAATAAGTACAGTACATCTTATTAAGGCATCTAGAGGTCAAAGATGACACCATTTCTAGTTGGGTAATGGGTGGATGGTGAGACCACTCACTGACATCCATACCACAGGAGAAACAGCAAGTTTTAGGGGAAAGGTGAGGAGTTTAGTCTAGAATATGTTGAGTTTGAAGTTGACTTATGGGTCTGGTGTCAACAATCATCTTGACTGAAGATAAAAGTTTTGAGAGCTATCAACAATGGATGGTAACTGGAGCCATGACAATAGATGACCATCAAGGTCACAGGCTGAGTAAACAGAACAAGAAGAATGGAATCTACAATTACTAATACCTAAGGGATGAAAAAAGACCAGAGAAGCAATGCACAGCTAAGCTAACAGAAAACGGAGATGATAATGCATTAGTGACTATGTTCATGTCTTCCACCCTACGTACCCTTGAAATTGTCAGACTTGTAGTTATGAAATGGATCACCTATTACTTGCACTTCAGTGAACTGTCTGCTGTTTGAACTTAGGAATACCTGCTATACTCCCGCTTGATAAACTCTCAGGATTTTGACTTATAGTTAGACCTCAGTGTTTGGTGTTCCCACTCTGCCTACTTCTTCCCCTTTGGACTGACTTCATTTTATACCTGGGACTCTAAATTTCCAATCCTGAAACAAATACTCTGGTCACAGTTTCAGGCTTATACCTCTAGATTTCCTCCCAACCCTAAGGATTGGTCTGGAACAATAACCAAGACTTCCTGGATGTAACCTGGAAACCAAGCCCCAGTTCTCATGGACTAAAAGCTAAGGCTGAAGCGAAGGTCAGAAATCCAGATCTGAGGTATCATAGGTAAGACTTGAATTAGGCCTCTCATGTATTAACCAGAAAACTTCTGAAATGAATCTTGTGGAGCAGAAACCAGTACCGGGGAACAAATGGCCATCCCAGTATCTATACTAAAAGGCACTAATACCAAGAATATCCTAGGTAGGCTAATGTATCAAAACTGTTTCTAGAATAGGAAGATAGGTCTAGATTTAAAGGCAAATCCTAAAAACGTGAAAAATCACCTTTCATTTTTTTTAGGATAGGTTAACACCCATAAAACCTGAGAAATATTTATAAAATGTGGGGGGGGGGGGAATATAAGCGTTTACTATAACTCCATGACTGTTTAAAAAACAGTATACTTACCAACATGAATGTTATCTTGAAATGCCACCCCATGGAGTTGAAATATTAAATGGCGGCTAAATTTTTCATCAGTGCTAGAATCTAAGTTGAGAACATATTCGGCTGAACAATTAACCCTGTATAACTCTTGAAGTGCTTTACAAACATGCTAAAACACAAGTAAAACATAAATATTTTAAAATTTGTTTAAAATTTTTTCCATGAGCAACATTCAAATATCTTGGTACAAGTATAACTCATTTTTTATTATTTTATTTTACTGTTTTTTTTGTTTTTATCCTCACTCGAGGATATTTTCCATTTTTTGTTCAGAGAGTGGGAGGGAGAGAGAGGAAGAGAGACAGAAACATCAATGTGAAAGGGACACATCAAGTGGTTGCCACCCATACGACCAAACCAGGGCCAGGGCCAAACTGCAACCGAGGTACGTGCCCTTAGCAGGAACCGAACCCGAGTCTCCCTGGACCACAGGCCGGCGCTCTAACCACTAAGCCAAACCGGCCAGGGCTATTTTACTCATTTTTTATTTTGATTTACTATCAGAATATTTATTATACAATTTTACCAAATTATTTATGTATTGAATTAAATATATTTAAGTTATATGTGTTTATATTTCAAAAGTCATAGGCTCTCAGAATTAAAGTCCTCTTAGAAGTTGAACTATTTAACTTATACATTAATCTCCTCTAAAATCACAATATTTCTTTTTAAGCATCTCTTTAAATATCACCTAGGAGTTAAAAAGTCACTAATCCTGTTGTTTATAATATTTTCAGAAAATTCCTCAAGCATATTGAGCCCAAATCTACCTGCAAGAATATAGCGCCTGGGGCCATAGGACACTGGCATCAAAGGCAGGTCTGCATCCTAGCCCGGCAATGAGCTTGGGATAGGAGCACAAGATTTGGGGTCAGAAAGGTCTAGGTTTGAGTTCTGGTTTTGCCACTTAACAGCTCTGTGACTTTGGTCAAGTGCAAACATTACATTCCTCAACTATAAAATGGGATAATATTAGGACCTAACTTCGGGATTGTTGTAAGGAGGGAAAGAGAAAATGAGGGTAGAGTTGGCACAGTGCATGGCCTTAGCTGTGCAGCTACCACACAAGTCACTTCTCCTGAAGCCTCAGTCTTCTCTCTGCAAAACGAAGTTACCAAAACATGCAAGGTTAAAATGTCTGTAAACTGCCAAGCACCTAAATATCTAATAGTCAGGCAACAGATTGTATTTATTAATGTTGTTTTGGCATTATTATAGCACCCCCGTGCTCTCTGATCCTATTCTCTTTCAGTAAATTCTCACTTTCTCAGAGAAGTCTTCCCCATCTACATAAAATTCCCTCTGAAACCTCTACCTCTGTAGTACGTGCACAGCTACAATTTTATGTTAACTTGTGTGATTACTCTGACATCCATTTTCTCTACATTACAAAGGCTATACCTCACTATCTGTTCTCTCCTGCTACTATAGATTATTATTAGCTAGATATAAGGCCACCTGGAATAAAGACCACATTTTCCAGACTCCCTTGCCTAAGATGTGGCCATGTAACTAAGTTCTGGCCAGTGGGATGTGAGCAGAAGGAAGGCAAGTAAGTGTGCCACTTTTCATTATACCCTTAAAGGCAAGGAGCAAGCTGCCCCTTCCCCATTTTCTACAGACTAGAATGAGGACACGTGGTAGTGAGCCATCTTGAACAATGTACAGAAAGGTAACATCTTAAGAATAGCAAAGCAAAACAAGTCTAGCCCCTAATACAATGGAGCCTCATCCAGATATTACATGAGAAATAAATTTATATCTTGTTTAAGCTACTTTAATGTTAGGTCTTTATTATGGCAGCTAAAGCTATCCTAGTTTATTATCCTCCATTAGACTACTGTTAGACTACTGCTGACTCTCAGCCTGCCAGGGGGTCGTTGCAACACAATGAACTACAAGCAGACACTGCTTGGAGTGAGGGGGAGCACTGCAAGGGAGCAAATGCTCCAGATGGATGCAGCCCAATTTATTTGCAAAGTGGTTCCCTAGGTTACATGGTATTTCAAGTAATTAAGTCCTTGAGATCCTGTCTCTGCTGACCTTACTGCCAACCCCGGCATACTTCCTGTCTCTGTTTTCAGGGGAGACACATAACAAATACACTCATGGTGGGGCACATCACCCACTGGCGCTCTCAGGGTGACCTTCTGAACCCAATTCACGCATACCTTATCTATTTGCATGTATACTTTACACTCAGGGTGGCAGTTCCAACCCTTTATCACACATACCTTATCTATTCACATGCATACTTTGATCCCTGGCTGGCCAGGCCACGAGAATGCATATCTCAAGCTTACATTTTGTTCATCCACCAAACCCCAACCCTACAACTACAAATCCTATGAAGGCAGAAGTCATGTCTCTTTGAGCTGACCACTGTATTCCTGGTGCCTAGGTACAGTGACACTTCATCAAGGCTGAACATTTTTTGATAAATGTGGAGCTGTACCAAATAAATGTAATAACTCAGTTGCTAATAAAAGTAATCATAGTGCCCTGGCCAGTTTGGCTCAGCGGCCCTGGTTGGTCGTGTGGGTGGCAGCCACTCGATATGTCCCTTTCACGCCGATGTTTCTCTCTCTCTTCCTCTCTCTCCCTCCCATTCTATCTGAACAAAAAATGGAAAAGTGTCCTCGGGTGAGGATTAAAAAAAAAAAAAAGTAATCATAGTCTCCAAAACTTTAAGTAAAATTTAAGTTATTTAAATACAAAGGTTTGGGGATCTGTGAACCAAGGACTGTGGAGGAGGACCAAATATATATGAGATATATACTTTTGGTTATCTGAATGATCAAGTATATTTTTTTATGAATCACAGTATCGCATGGTATAAGATAAAATAATAATGTAAGAATAAACTCTATGTTTCATGTACTCACAACCGTAAATCTATTTTTATCCCCCCCCCATTTAAGTTGTAAAATTCAGAAGTTAAAAATATGATTATTTGAACAATGCTACCTCTCAACATAGTTTTATAAAATGCTTTAACATCAGAATTCATAGCAGTTGGGGGAAGGGGCATTCTGAAATTTGTCAGTTAAGTCACTGACTCAAAGGGCATTATATATTATCACTAGTAATTATTAACTAGTTACTTAGTAACCAACCATCAGTTAATATATGAGCTAACCTATACCTCCTCAGAGACTAAAAAGGAAATGTACTTATTGCACTGTATATTTGTTACAAACAAAGTAACCAACAATTCAAATTAATTTCAATATAATCATTTATGGAGGTTATATTAAATAAAATAATCCTAATGACTTCTGCCATTTAAACATGTTAAATAAAAATGGTATATAATTTTAAACTCATATTTCTCCAATTCTTTCCAACTTTTGCTGATGTAGAAGATAAGTTGTTCAAGACTAATTTTGATAAGATTATATAAAGACCCCTAGCCGGTTTGGCTCAGCAGTTAGAGCTTCTGCCTGCAGTCCAGAGAGACCCAGGTTCAGTTCCCACTAAGGGCACATACCTTGGTTGCAATTTGTCCTCGGCCCTGGTTGGTCGTGCGGGTGGCAACCATTCGATGTGTCCCTTTCACGTCGATGTTTCTCTCTCTCTCTCTCCCCCTCCCACTCTATCTGAACAAAAAATGGAAAAATGTCCTCAGGTGAGGATAAAAAAAAAAAAATTATATAAAGAATCAGGAAGAAAAACACCTACATGATCTTTGCCATGCCAGTGTTTATTAATCTGTGTTACAAATAGGATTTGTACTGGTGCTGATTCCATTAGGAACATTTCTAGTTTCTAACACAATGTGATACTTCTTTGTTAACAGTATCACCATATTAAAGTGCCAATGAAAATCTCTGATCACACAGAGCCCAATAATGAATCCTACCTTAGATAGAAGTGTATCATAAACCAGAAAAAAGTCAGTATCTATGAATTATTAAAAACATAATTAAAGTTAAAAATTAAGCACAATTTATCAACTACAATAAAATAAGCACTTGCTTTGGCAGCACTTATACTAAAACTATAATAAAATAAGACATTTAAATTTATTTTTAAGGGTCCAATGGCTATTTTAAGAAAAACATAATTTTTTGTTGTTATTGTTTTTTGGGGGAAGGGACTTATGTATATTTCTTCTGTATCAAAGCCAGGAGGAAACTAACATAATATGATTTTTTAAAAAACAATACTTGCATATATTTTTCAAATAAATTAAAAATAAAACATGTAAAGATCCAACATAATCAGCAGGTATTTTTTACCAACTCCCAAACCTGGTACTTCCAAAAGTCACCTCATTCACATAATAAAAAACACTTCCATAACTCTCAACACTAGGAAATTCCAAAGGTTTAGGAATCTGTGAACCAAGGACTGTGGATGAGGACCAAATATATATGAGAAATATATTTTGGTTATCTGAATGATCAAATTATATGTGTGTGTGTGTGTGTGTGTGTGCATATATATATATCACAATAGCATGATACAAGATAAAATCATTTCCAAAATTTCTGCCAGCTCAAAAATTCAGGTACTATTTTTATCAAAACTTTCTTAATATTCACCACAATACCCAATTTTTACAGTAAAAGTTACTTTGCGTAATCTTTATCAGAGTCAGCTACTTATAAAGTTAAGTCAGAGAATTAATTAAAAAACAGAAAATTCCTCAACTGCCATCTTTCTTAAAGCTTCTTTTTTTTTTTACTGGATATAGTGATACTACAAAATATATGAACATAATCTAAACCTTCCTCCTTTCTAGAAGTTTACTCAGAGAAGCAATATAAAGAGATACATGTCCAAAGGAAGAGTCTCAAGAAACAGGAGAATCATAGGACGTATATATTACATATGCTAGATTCACATAATGAATGAAAGAAAGACAAATACCTGAGTCTGTAATTTACCTCAATGAGTGATGCAACCATCTTTTTTCCATCAGCTCCTGGATTGGCAAGTTTGTTAAATTCCAAATCAAAATAGAGCTTGCAAACAGCTTTTTCAGGAATGACTTCATAGCAGTGTAAGAGATTTTTTCTGAATTGAATAGTTCATGATTGTTAGGTTTATATCTTATACCTTTGAAATCACAGAACTTGATCTTATGTCTCAAGATACCTTATTAACTGTTATTAGTTACATATAACTATGACACAATGAAAACATGATGAAGTGAACAACTACTCATCATACAAGATGTTAACAATCATATTCTATAACATTGTTTTACTGGAAAATATGGTCAACTTCATACTGCTATTTATTCGCAGATGATTTTGATATTGTGTAACACTTCCCTATTTGTTTCTGGTGTCACCATGAAGCAAATTTTGTTTAAGAAGTTTCTTGCTCAAATTGGGATCCCAGACTTACATATTCTTGGGATTCCTTAAATTTTTTTTATCCTCACCCGAGGGCATGTTTGCATTTACCTTCAGATAGAGCAGGAGGGAGAGAGAGAGAAACATCGATGAGAGAGATACACATCGAGTGGTCACAACCCACACAACCCCAACCAGGGCCGGGGACAAACTGCAACTGAGGTACGTGCCCTTAGCAGAAACCGAACAGGGGACTCTCTGGTCGGCGGGCCGACATGCTAACTGCTGAGCCAGACCAGCCAGGGCGATTGCTTAAATTTTGTAATGAGATTTTTAAATTTACATCTTTTCATTAAGAAAATAGTATTTTGGAAATTATTTAAAAACATATTCAGAATCACCTAACTTGAATGAGCTTTCAATGCTCATGTTTGCGGTTCCATTGTTGCTGGCATCCAGAAGCATGACCTTCACAGAGGTTAGTAGGAATATGTGTTAGCTTGATAAGTAAATGATAACCCGTGCTAAGTGAAGTCTGGATGGCTCCCCACACAAATAGAAGGTTTGTAGTTATTAGAACAAGGAAAAGTGATGAGGGAACTGTGTCATCATGGGGCACAGGTAATACAGAACCTCAAAACACACACACACACAGTTTTTTTTTCTCCCAACACCTGTTGAGATGATTCACTGGGTGAATTCACCAGGTGACAAGGAAGCTTCAGAATTCAATTCTAACAGTAAAGGGATAGTAACTAATTATGTGATTGAGAACTATCAAAGCCAATTCAGTTTGAATTCATTTCACAAACATTAACATATGAGGGGAATGTAACTTTAATGTGATGTCTTTTACAAACTACTTACCGGGATTTATAATAAAACCAAAGCTGAACATAGGTTGTTACAAGGTAAATACGTTGTCCATCTCCCACTTCGCATTCCAAAGCAAATACATGAACATCCTTTATAAAATTTTTTAAAATTCAAAAAATTAATAAAATGAAAATCTAAAATCAACTGTAGCTATAAAATGTTCATAAAGAATTTTACTATTCAAATTATCAAACACTGGAATTTGAACATTTATATTAAAAACAAGAAAAATAATCACTAGGTCTATGCCAATCAAAATCTAGTTATTTGTATTTATTTATTTTTATTCACTCAAGCAATACATGTTCAATGCAGAAATGATTAGAACATTCGAATTAAAAAGAAAAAAATCAGTTTTCAATTAGTCATTTGACTTCCTATTATAATTTTATTTGCTAATTTATGAAATTCAACTTATTGTTTTAAAACCATCTAAACATTATAAATGATTTGTGATAAAATTTAAAAATTCTACAGTACATATAAAAACATGTGGGAACCATTTTTTTTTTTTTAATCCTTACCTGAGGACATTTTTCCATTTTTTGTTCAGATAGAGTGGGAGGGAGAGAGAAGAAGAGAGAGAGAGAAACATTGATGTGAAAGGGACACATCAAGTGGTTGCCACCGCACGACCAGGCCAGGGCCAGGGCCAAACTGCAACTGAGGTACGTGCCCTTAGCGGGAACTGAACACCCCCCCCCCCATCTCTCTGGACCTCAGGCTGATGCTCAAACCGATGGGCCAAACCGGCCAGGGTAGGAACCAGTTTTTTTAAATGGAATATTTTTAAGTCAATCTTAAAAGCTTAAAGGAAGTTTTAAAAAGTTTAACTTAAACAAGCAACTATAAATTGTCTTTTCTATAAGAAAGCAATCATTTCAAAGTTATTTGCTGTGGCACTTGTTATAATTGTTTCTGTCTGCTGCCATAAAGAATTCTTCCAGCACTGGCCAGTTTTGGTCAGTGGTTAGTACGTCGGCCCACGGACCAGAGAGTCCCAGGTTCGGTTACTGCTAAGGGCATGTACCTTGGTTGCGGTTTGTCCCTAGCCCCGGTTGGGGTCATGTGGATGGCAACCAGTCGATGACTCTCTCTCACATCAATGTTTCTCCCTCTCTCTCCCTCCCACTTTATCTGAAGATAAATGCAAAAATGTCCTCAAGTGAGGATAAAAAAAAAAAGTTTCTTCCAATAAAGGAATACTCAAGTTCTTCTGTTCCCACTTAACTAAAGGTAGCTGTTGAATGAGAAATCATAGGAGGACTACATTGCCTGACCCTATTAAAAATCTTCTTGAGATAAATTTTACAGAATGTTGATTGTTTAAGTCCAACAGACACTCCTCTATATACTTTTTAATTCAAGATCAAAGGAATCTGCCAGTATTTTAATTTTTAATATCTGAATTTGGTTTACACAGGATGAGCATTAAAAGTGTTTCTTATATTTCCCAAACTGTTCTGATAAGATCTGAGTGAGCTTCTCCTTACTAGGCAAAGAAGGGGCCTTTTGCTAAAAAACTTTTAGCATTGAGTTTTTATATAGCATCAATGATCAGAACCACAATATATTTATGCTATATTTCATATATATATCTTTTCATTATATAGTTCTCACACAGTCAAAAATTGACTCCCCAAAAACAACTACTGTTGACCAGAAGTCTTACCAATAACAAAAACAGTCGATTAAATATGTACACCTTGCTTTATTGCACTTCAGATGTGTGTTTTACAAGTTGAAGGCAAGACCCTACACCAGCAAAAATATATGACTACAAGCTGAGACACTCAACTGCATGGTTTAGAACCAAACCTGTAATATCTGAAATATGCCTGTATTATATACTGTATTCTTACAATAACGCTAGCAAAAAGAAAATATTATTAGGAAAACTATATAGATGAGAAAATACATTTACAGTATACATTGAAAAAAATCCAGGAACAGGTGAACCCACACAATTCAAATCTGTTTGTTGTTCAAGGGTCAACTGTACTTCTTTATTGTCCCCACAATGCCCCTAAAACAAATGGTGTACAACACACATCTGATTTGGGTTATTTTTTAGCACCACACCCTTTGGGAGGCTAGCATGTAGCAAGCACTTCTTCCTACTTGCCCAATGTGTTGGAAATTGTTAAGATAAATCCATTCTATGACTCTAAGCACAAAAGAAGAAATAGTAGAAAGATAAATACATGTGTGCTTTGGCACTATGATTTAAATTCTAGAGCATATTAAATCTAAGCTATAATATTTGAGACATTTTTATTTCCTATTGTTTAAATTCAATTCTCCTTTCCCTAATTTTGTCCTTAAAAATCTCATACTCCACTCATTCATTTCCTTGTATTTCTGTGAGTAGTTTTAGTTTTACTCTTTTTTTTTTTTTTAAGATTTTATGTATTTATTTATTTATTTCTAATCCTCATCTGAGGATATCTGCCACTTCAGATGGGGGGGGGGGGCTTGGGGAAACATCGATGTGAGAGAGACACATCAATTGGCTGCCTCCTGCAGGGCCCCAATCTGCGCCTGGGACCTACCTGCAATTAAGGTATGTGCCCTTGATCGGAATAGGACCGAAGATTCGATTGGTCTGAGGGCTGACGCTCTAACCACTGAGTTAAACCAGCCAGGGCTAGTTTTACTCTTAAAAACTCAGTCATTCTATTGCTTTTGAGTCCATAAGCATGGTCACTCTTCCTCTAAGCACTAATTCATTTAAATGTCATTACAATTTTAAAAAACGAATTGGCACTGGATATGCCATTCTGTTTTCATTATCAATATAAACAAAGTGGCTAATGAGTCATAGGGATATTTTTCTTCAATCAAGTGATATTAAGATTGCAATTAAATTCTTTTGATAGATATATGGCCTGAAATAAAGACAAACAGTAGATTTTTAAAAGAAATCTTAAGTTTCAGTAGCTCTAAAAAAGTAGAAGATGGAAAAAATTACCTCTTTACAGCTTTTAACAAAATTAAAAGCTTGAGTTTGCCGAGAAAATAGTTTCCAAATAGAGGGTGGTTCTTCTACCTTTGACAGCCGGGGTCTGTACACTGAGGACAAGGGTTTCCTTTCGTAACTGGATGCTCGTTCTTCAATCTGCTTCAGCTTTGCTTCCCATTTTCTCTTCATTGGTTCAGAAGTATGGGGAAACGAGACCCCATCCCAGGAAGATTTCTATCAATTACTGCTAAAACACATAAACAAGGACATCAGTGTCTTTTTTTAGAATATATCTTGTTTGGTAAAACTCAAAATGCATGTCCTAGTCTGCTTTCTATTTTATATTTTGCATGAAGTTTTCATGGAAACGAGAACAGTGCTGGTTATCAGAAACCTTTAGATCCTGGCTCTTTCCATCTAGTAGTGCTATGGCTTTGGACAAGTTAATGAAGCTCCCTGAATCTTACTCAGCTGAAAAACAGGAATCAGTATCTTTTTTGAATACTTTATGTAGTTACCTTGAGGATAAATATGAAAGGCATAGGAAACTGTTTTGTAAGGTACAAGACCTCACGTAGATGTGTTTTTATATCATTATGGTTTTTATAATAACCAATTTATTGCATCAAGTGCTATCCAGCTGGAGCTACTACCTTGGCCATTATTCTTGTGCTATTATTTGTTAGTGTAGAGTTCATTTCTAGGCTCCACTGGCAGTTCTTAGCTCCTTTTTCCTCTGTTTCTGTTCATTGTTCTCATTTCTCAATACAGTTGTTAGTTGGGGAGGATAACTCAGTGTATGAATGTGAATGACAATATTGGCTAGTTTTGCTTTGGGATGTCTACAGTAACCATAAGTATGATTTTAAAAAGGAATAAATAGCCCTGGCCAGTTTGGCTAAGTGGTTAGAGCATCGGCCTGCAGTCCGGAAAGACCCGGGTTCGATTCCCGCTAAGGGCGCATACCTCGGTTGCAGTTCGTCCCTGGCCCTGGTTGGTTGTGTGGGTGGCAGCCACTCTATGTGTCCCTTTAGCGTCGATGTTTCTCTCTCTCTCTCTTCCTCTCTCTCCCTCCCACCCTATCTGAACAAAGAATGGAAAAATGTCCAGGATAAATAAATAAATAAATAAACTAAAAAGGAATAAATAAGTCTTTACTTATGTATGTTAATTTAACGACTATATTTTGTGATAAGTCGATGTGAATGACTGTATTTTAACTCGTGTTTACTAATGACATTTGTTTTTGTTTGCATACAATGGTTTCACATTCGGAATCAGTATCTACGCCAAGGTAGCCAAGGTAAGGAAGCCAGGCAATACTTTTTCAGTTTGGGATCATGGTTTACTTACAAAGGAAAAGAGATAGGTTTTTGAGAAGGGGTATGCGTGTGGGGGAGGGGTCCATTGTAGATTTTTTTAAAAAGGCCACAAATTCTTTGTCATTCCTCTCAAGAGATGCCATCTAAGCCCATTCCCACACTGACTCTGGGCTTGGCCACATGATTTGCTTTGGCCATGTCACATTAACAAATGTAAAGCAAACAGAGGTTTAATAAGTGCTTTTGCACTGGACTTGGCTATCTCGGAGTTCTTCCTTGAGATCGTCTTGATACAACTCTAGCCTCAGAGAGGATAAAAGGCCATTTGGAGGAGAACCAAGGTACCCCAGCTAACAGCCAGCACCAACTATCAGATTATGTGAGTTAAGCCATTTTGGATTATCCAACTATCATCAGAATTCAATACATGAGATCAGGTAAGACCTGCCAAAGAATTGCCCAGTCAACCCACAGAACTGTAAGAAAAAATCTGTTGTTGCTTTTTAAAGCCAGTAAGTTTTGCCTGGTTATACAGAAATAGATAACTGATATAGTTTCCCTCTTCATAGTAGCATCTATGTCATAATTTATCTATGTAGAAAATAGGTATATTAGTTTTTTTGTGTTTTGTTTTTAATCCTCACCCGAGGATATTTTTTCCATTTTTTATACAGATAGAGTGGGAGGGAGAGAGAAGAAGGGAGAGAGAGTGAGAAACATCGACGTGAAGGGACACATCGAGTGGCTGCCATCCGCACGACCAACCAGGGCCGGGGACAAACTGCAACCGAAGTATGTGCCCTTAGCGGGAACCGAACCCGGGTCTCTCCGGACCGCAGGCTGACGCTCTAACCGCTGAGCCAAACTGGCCAGGGCGGTATATTAGTTTTTATGTGAAATAATAATATATACTAAAGTATTTGATGATAAAATGCCTATTTACCTTTGGCAATGTCTTTCCAGTACTGGTACTTACCAAGTTGATAAATATTCTCTTGAATTTTAGCAGAAAACTCTGAGACAACACCAACTCACTGGCAAATAATATACTGTTTCCCTGAAAGAAAAAAAAAAGGATCACCCTGAAGGATTAAAAGGGTAGGAATGTCATGACATAGTTAAAAAACAAAACAAAACATAACATATTATCCGCTGTGGCAGGTTTGGCTCAGTGCTTAGAGCGTCAGACCTCGGACCAGAGAGACCTGGGTTCGGTTCCCACTAAGGGCATGTACCTTGGTTGCAGTTTGTCCTCAGCCCCAGCTGGGGTAGTATGGGTGGGAACCAGTCGATGTGTCTCTCTCACATCAATGTTTCTCTCTCTCTCTCTCTCTCTCTTCCTACCTCCCTCCCTCCCACTCTATCTGAAGATAAATGCAAAAAATGTCCTTGGGTGAAGATAAAAACAAACAAACAAACATATTATCCATAGATTCCAAATCTGACTTCAAACATAACAGACCTAAGAGAGATTCTTCTCCCAAAGTTACAGCTAATTCACATGAAAATTATGTTATAAACCAAGAAACAGAAATATAATTCTAAAGGTATCAACATAAATTTCATAACAGGTATGGCTGGCAAAAGAATGTAATTTCACTGAATTGAAGAGATGGGGCAATTTTTAATAAAACTGGTTTAATTTTTCAATACAAAGTGATACGGCTCCTTATTGCTAGATTCTGAGTATTCAGTTCACTTTTATCTGCTTCACATACAGATAAAAATTCTGTACATTTAGACAACCTAATTGAGAAACTGACTTTTCTTCTATGAAATTTAACTTTGAATAAAGCCCACTGATTACTAAATAAAGAAAATAAACACAGAATGCAATCCAATGTGAATTATAACTGACTAGGAATAACCATGTGGATGTTCACACTTAGTGACACAGACATCAGGAAAATGTTTCTGATTTTTAAAAAATATTGGTATGATCATGGGACTGTGTCATTCTTAAAAGACATGAAGTCACAGTGAAAAACCAGTTTAGCACTTACTGGACTAAGAAAACCATGACTGTCAACAGAGAAAAAAGAGAAGTTCAATATATGTTATGCCCTCATGTTCTGTGCACAGTTTGAAAATTATAACAGCTGGTTGAGAGCTAGGAGACAACTGGAGCTTGGACTATTCCAGCAAGAGGGCTGAAGGACAAAAGCAAAGGCAATGGAGAACAGGAATGCATCTGGTTTTGGACTATCGTATTCCTCATTCCTACCCTTTGGGAGAACCATTTCAGAAACACTTGGAATTCCTGGTGGGGAAAGAGTTCTGTTTTTCTTTTATATAATTGTATAGCAAAACCCCTTTTCACATAGGGACTATAACTATTTTTGTTACAGTTTCCACATTCCAAAGAAAAATATCTGTTGTATTTTAAAATAGTCGTCTTTAAGAGTTCTATTATTTGTTTCTAAACATTGCACCAGAACTTTTATTTACCCATGTTTGATACCAATTTTACAACTAAAGGTGGTCAGGCTAGAAAAAAGGCTAGCTTACTCTAAAAGGATGAGAGTAACTGTAGTGGGAGAAGGGGCAGTGGGGAGGGGGTGGAGAGATGCCTCAGATGGATAAGCTCAACAGCCCTGTTTCCCTGTTTATGCCTAGCTATGGCACTTGATGGCCTGGTACCCAGAAACAGCTGGACTAGGGGGCACATGCTTCATGAATACTGGCTTCTAGGGAAATCCGAAGCCTGCTTTGTCATGGTTCTCCCTAGCCCGGTTTTCTGGGTTTCTTTGTTTTTTTGTTTGTCTAATAGCAAGTCAATTTTTATTCCCCAACTCCCAAATTTTCCTCCCTGCCCCGAGAACAAATACATCAGTATTTTGTGTCTTCTGGCATATATGTATGTTTTAGTTCCAGTATTTAGTAATGTTCTGGTATTGGTAATGTTTTCTTAATATAATCCTTTTACGGCCTCTTGGAATACATTTGTGCTGTTTCTCCCACTGCTAAACTATTCAAAATAAAGAATTTGATTAGAATTCACTTATAGTAATATTATTATATAAGTTTCCTTTCCAGATGAATCACACTTTAAGAAATTAAGTAAAACTAACTCATTGAATTTTGTTTTTCTCCCCACTTTAGTCGCTTTGCCTGTCTGGGCTTGAACAGAAGTAACTCCTCTTTAAGTTTCCCAAAGTCTCCTAAAAGGGATAAGACATATAGTGCTTTCCCAATTCTCCCTTTCCACTATCCCCACAGGATCTCCCATGTAAATCCCAAACTCTGCCGAACTAATCCCTCTTAAACCCATTTCCATAACTGCATAGGGCCACTCATTAATCAGAGCATCACTCGGTTCACACTTTGGTTTACCACAAGAAGTCCGAACTCTCTCTAGAATGTGTTCTAACCCTAAACCAGTTACCCCGTTTATGTCTTGCTGCCCAGCCTTCTAGCCAAATTAATAACGACCACTCCCTGCACCTGGCCCCAGTGGGGCTCGCCTGGCACGCCCTACTTGCTTTTGCTTTTCCTTTTCCTAATTTTTTCCCCTCACCGACCACAAGTTCTGCCACCAGTGTGACCCCCTTTAAAGACTGGGTGGGGATTGGAATTCCCACCTCCAGGGGTTGTTGAAAGAATAAAACAAGAAAATGTGTGAAAATGTCAGAGCACAGAACAAGCACTCAAGAAATGGTAGCCATACATATAACGATGTATATTTATGTACGAAACATAGGCCCTGGTTTACGCCCGAACAAGCAATAAGCGTGTTGGGGGCCTGCAGAATATCATGAACCCCTTGGCATAGGATCCTGAAGTTCCTTGTCAGTCGCTGGTCCATTCTTCAGCGAAAACAATTCAGAGCCTGCATCAAGGACTGAAAGCGCTCGAGACCCAAACAGGCGAGGAGCCAGGGGGCGGCTAAGGCTCTGGACTTAGGTCGCCCGAGGCGAAGCAGAGGCGGCGGAGCGGGTCGCGGCCCGCTCCCTCCCTTCCGGAGTTCAGACAGGGCGTCAGGCCCGCCCCGGACTCCCTTCCCTCTGCCCTGGCGCCCGACGCGGCCTTCGGGTCCCCCCCGTTTACCTCCAGAACCCCGCTCCCGGGGCGGAAGGCTCTGCGTCCCTCGGGGCTGGCGGGACCCTGACCCAGAATCTCGCTTTCAATCTGCGCGCGGAGGCGGAGCGCGGCGGGAGCGCGGGGAGCGCGGGGACCAATGAGAGGGCGGCGGGGGCGGGGCGCGCCGGGGCCGCGGGACGTGTCAGCAGCGGGGCCGAGGGGCGGGGCCAGCCAGGATCTGGAGGCTTAAGTCGGGGCTGCCCAGACCGAGCTGCGGCGGAGCGGGGCGCGGGTTGGCTTCCGTGTGGAGGCTGTGCGGTGAGTACTGCCCTCGCCCCTTCTCGCCGCGGGGCCGTCAGTCCTGGGCCAGCTCCCTCCACCCTCCCCAGCCCCGCGCCCGCCGCTGGGACCGTCCGGGCCTGCAGCTGCCCCGGGGCGATGGAGGAGACGGACGCGGTGCGGGCAGCGGGTCTTTTGTTTTGCCACGACGAGGGGTGCGAGGGGCACGAAGCCCGCGGAGCGCGAGTCCGGGCTTGGGGTGGGGGTGGGGCGGGAGGCCGGGCTGGGGGTGTGGAGGCGGGACCGCGGAGACCTGGCTGGAGCTGCGAGCCTGGGAGGACCGGAGGCCGGGCCGGGAGCGTCCAGCCGGTGATGAGGAGTGGAGGGAGGGCGGGAGGCCGGCCGGGGCGCCGAGGCCGGGTAGCAGGAGGCTGGACCCGGGTCCGGAGCCCGGTGAAGGGCGCAGGAGGCCGAGCCGCCGAGGCCGGCTGCGGGGGGCTCTTGGGACCAGGGGCTGAGCTTTGGATCGGGAGAGCTGCAAGGGGAAACAATGCCTGGAGGGCAGGAGGTAGGTATGGGGCTGTGTTTGGGCTGGCCCTTGGGGCTCATCCTCCCATTATTTGTCGACGGTTGGTTTCCTTCAGTTTACTGTGTGACTCAGTTTTCCAGAGAAGTAATTTGAAGTACTCAACTCCAATTCCTTTTCAGACCCTGAGAATCCTTCCAGCCTATTCCCGTGACTGTATCCAAGGAGCTGCTTTGAAATCCCCCTAGGCCATATTGAATAAGTGTCTTTCTCACCCTTGCCACTCAGTTTTCATTGTGCTTGTTGTAAAGGCAGCTGGTTCTTTCCTTGTGACACCCACGCCAACAAGCCAGGAACCAACCTTCTCAACTGTTTCTCCCAGCTCCTTCTCCACTTAGCCACCAAGCCACCTTGACCTCCTAAATGTCCACTTCTTTCCATCACTGACTTAAGCCACCCTGGGCTCTCACCTGGTTACAGGTCTCCACACTTTTAGATTCTCTGCGTCTCACCCATCTATTCTTTAGAGCACAGGCTGAAGGATCTTTACAAAATAAAAACATAAAAAGCTGTTCTTTTGCCCTTATGATAAATCCAGTCCCTTATTATGCTTAACAAAGCCAAGCCCAGGTTGGCTCCTTGGTCCCTTCCCCTGCCTCATCTTTTATTTGTAGCACCTTTTCACTTTGTACATAGCCACAGGGATCTTAATACCCAATACCCGTTCTCTTCCTGAAACACTCTTGTGTTCCCTCTCTCCCTCCATCAAATCACATCCGCTTGAGGAACCCCTACTTATGTTTCTGTTCTCACTAAACATTTCAAAGTTAATTTTTCCTATCACGTGTCCCTTTTTTGTATGTGTCAGTTCCTAAGAAGAAAAAGTCATATCCTTTGCAGTTGCTTGTTTACTGTCTTCCCTATTAGCTTGTAAGTAAATTCTATGAGAGACTATATTTATCTTGTTATCTTCTTGTTCTTGACTGTCTTTCCCCATATGTAGGGCCTGGCGCAAGTGAATACCCACAACTACAGATGTATGCTTTTTAATAACTATGCCCTATCCAGAACAAACAAAACTGTTTCAGGATTACTTAGTAACTTTTAATGAAAAGATGTGGATTAGAAGGGAACGGTAGCCGTGAAATACGGAGTTGCTGTAACAGTGTGAATGTGCATGATATTAATAGGTACTAAGCAAGTGGTTAGACCAGCCTGTATCAAAGTGTGCTCAGCCAGT